CTGAGCTCTGCCGGGTTGGAGCCTGGACCGAGACTGTGCTGTGGGCTTCTATGTAGACCTGCAATGTAGGTGGCCTGATACTTTAGGGACCTTCAGGCCTCGGCTTGTGGCTGCTGCCAGGAACATGTCATCCTGGCTCTAGCTTCACTATATTTACATAATATCTACATATGCACACACACACATACACTCAAAACCTAAATAAATGGGCACGGTACATGTTCCCTGCTTGTGGCTGCAGCCGAGGCTATGGAAGCACTGGCATTTAAACTAGACACATATACATGTGCCAGCCCGTGTCTTGGTCTGGGTGGGCTCTTCTTGCTGTGGACTAGCCGAAATTGGCCCCGGGTCCAGCCCTGTATACGAGCATGCAGTATAGCCGTGTCGCGAGTCCGAGTGCAAAAGATTCGGGATGTCTGCCGGCGAGCATGCGCTGCCCTGCCCTGGCGATTTCCTTGTGTTGCATGCTGTGCATTGCAGTGAGGGCAGAAGAGACAAACGAGAGAAAACAGCACAGGGCACAGAACTATAAACATTAGCTTGCAAGGTAACCTGCAACTGTGCAGTCGCCTCCCCCTCTCTCTCTCATTCTCTTAGACTCTATATCACTCTTCATTATATCCTTTATGTTCTTATACATATACTAACACTATAGAGCTATATTTATATGCATATATATATATGGTCACCCCCCCCCCGTTGACAGACCATCCCCTTCAAAACATCGCTCCCACCGGTGTGTTCGTGCTTTTTCCGGGGTATCGAGTTTGAGCCCTCCGAACGTATCTGTGGAACCACCAAAAGACTCGTTGACAGACCATGCCCTTTCAACTCAGTCGTAGTGCATGGTCTGTGATCGGGGGAGGGGGTACTCAGCTTTCAAAAACTCAATTCCAAAATTTCCAAAATTTCCAAAATTCTCTCCCTTAACTTTCCGGATTTCCAAAATTTCCAAAATTTCCAAAATTTCCAAAAAAATTTCCAAAATTTCCAAAATTTCCAAAATTTCCAAAATTTCCAAAACGGCCCGACCTAGTGGACAGGATTTTTCCAAAACATAAGGGCGGACTTTTTGGAAATTTTGGAAATTTTGGAAATTTTGGAAATTTTGGAAATTTTGGAAATTTTGGAAATTTTGGAAATTTTGGAAATTTTGGAAATTTTGGAAATTTTGGAAATTTCGGAAATTTTGGAAGTTTTGGAACTTTTGGAAATTTTGGAATCTCTGGACCTTGGAATTGATTCTCAGGAGGGCTGATTGTGACCCATCCGATGACAGACCATGCACGACTTACTTGCAAAGGCAAGGGCTGTCAATACTCATGCCCATATTTAAACGAATATCTCTCAATCTACCTGTCTATCTGTATATACATATATGTATTGATACTCCTACATATAGTATTGCCATTGGAAATACTGACAGTGATCATTTGTTGAATGCTCAAGCTAATACCAGCATTACTACTAATATTACACTTCTATAAAGCTTAGTACGAATATGCATAACACAAATACTAAGATTGATTAGTATTGCTCTTATTACTCCTACGCATATCAATAACCATATTCATATTGATAATAATGTATATTAATACCAATACTAACACACACCTGTATGTACTAATGTACATAAACATGCATACCACCATATTAAAATACAAATCCTTTAACTCACTCATGTATTCAACTGTTAGAATTTCACGTGATCAAGAGTAATAATACTACAAACATTCTTTCGAATGTATATCATCAATAATATTATAGTACTAACGCTAACACTACTGCTAATACTTAACACAAAATTTATACTAACATCAATATTTACATAGCTATTGATACTCCTACGAATACGAATACGTAAACTCTTGTGCGTTAACAGTAGTGCTATCACCAACACTAATACGGACTTTGATAATCTGCTGAATATTCAAGAATGCCACTAGTATTACCAGCATGAACACCCATATTATGGCTATTACGAGTATAAATAGTCCTATTTCTAATAATATTGACATTAATACTGCTACGAATACCAATAGTATATTCATATTGATATGAAAACTAATATCATTACTAATGGACACCTGCTTATACTAATGTACATAAAATACAGCTAACACTACTGCTAATACTTCACACAAAATTTATACTAACATCAATATTTACATAGCTATTGATACTCCTACGAATACGAGTACGTAAACTCTTGTGCGTTAACAGTGATGCTATCACCAACACTAGTACGGACTTTGATAATCTGCTGAATATTCAAGAATGCCACTAGTATTACCAGCATGAACACTCATATTATGGCTATTACGAGTATAAATAGTCCTATTTCTAATAATATTGACATTAATACTGCTACGAACACCAATAGTATATTCATATTGATATGATGACTAATATCATTACTAATAGACACCTGCATATACTAATGTACATAAAATACATACCACTATCTTAAGATACAGATATATACGTCAGTGCATTCATGTATTAATGCTTTGGCATAGGCATATGCCCATATACCAATGTATCAATATACCTCTCGTTGTTGTATGAGTATACTACACGAATATGTGACTGTACTCATATACGGCTACTGCACTATGCAAGAATACCGACATGACAAGTTCGTATACCAATATGCCAACATACTGATATACTTATAAATGATTAGATAAAACAGTCATATAGTACACATACTCGTACACTAATATGCTAACGTTCGAATATACTGGTATGTCAATATACTAGTAAGCTAGTACAGCAGTATAGTAGTGTATTCATGCACCAGTTGTACTAACATGTAAAATATACTAGTATACAAGTATGCAAATATTTTACTGTTCGAATACATTGATGTACTGATATACTCATCTGCTAATATACGAGACTATCAATATACTAACATATCCAAACTAACTAGTTCTAATATTGATACTAATACTAGCACTTCTGCGAATATAAGCTGCTGTTAAACCCAGCATTAAGACTGATACTGATACTACTCGTAGCAGTGGTGCTGTATTACTGACATTGACACTGGCACTAGCGCTAACTCTAACACGAACATGAGCACTAACACTAATTTATAGTTGGCAATATTGATACGTATACTTACAGCAAACAATAGTACTAATATTAATAATAATACTCACCCTAATACCGATACTACCACAAGACTGTTTACGTAACTCATGTGCCGCACGTCTGGTGCTATACTATGTACCTCATGTAAAGGTTTTGCTTCATAGAATATCGTCGTGCACGGTGTTTTTTAGACCCGCGGTCTGTCAACGGGGGGGGGGGGTGAGCATATATATATATATATATATATACATACATACATACATACATACAGATACAGACATATATATATATATACATATACATATATATATATATATGTATATACACATACATTGTTATAGTTTATACATATACATATATATATATATATATATATATACATTGTAGACATAAGCTATATATATGTATACACACATATATACATATACATATATACATATATACATATATATATATATATGCATGTATACATATACACATGCATATATATATATATATATGTATGCACTATAGATGTGAGTTGTATGGTTGCCACAATAAACATATGCTAAATACTGTATATACATGTATATAGGATGAATATATATATATATATAGATAGATAGACAGAGATATATATATATATATAGATAGATAGATGGATAGATAGATATATGTATGTGTATATATATATACACATATCTACGAGTTGCTTGGTTGCTCGCTTGTTTCATTGTTGCTTCTCTGGTGTGCAAAACAAGCAATGACATTCGGCACACAGCCAACCAAGACACGAAGACACAACAATGACATCGTCGTCAGCCCTTGTTTCCGGATGTGGCATATTTCTCGGTACAAGTGGTCACCAGGACTGCATGTGCGGTCCTACATGATGTGCATGTGTGTTCTTGTTGTGTTTCTGTTGCTGTGCTTTCGTGTGTATCTATATACTGCTGCTGTCTTTGTGTGTCGCCATTGCTGTGCACGTCGGTGTCTCGCTGTGCCTGCATGCATGTGGCTGTCTTTGTGCACTGTGGGACTGCTTCTGTGTCTCTCTCTGTGAGTGTCATGTGTCTTGGCTTTGTGTTTTCATGTTCTCTTGGTGTCTTGCGATCGAGACGACACAGACAAAGAGACAGAGGCATGCATGACCGTCATGTATTGACACATGTGCCCAAAACAGGAAGTACAGAGACATGCACAACAGACATGCATTCAGATAAACCAAGCAGGCATGGGAGGGATCGAGGCAGGAGGAGGAGGGAAGCAGCCAGAGAGCCATGGATATATAGGAGGTGGGCATGGCTGAGGCAGCTTATATAAGGGGCCGGAGGGGATGGTGACTGGAGAAAAGGACGATGGAAGGAACAGGGAGTTTAGATTCGGCTGCAAAAGACAAAGGAAACGAAGTGAGGATGCCGGCACACCACACATAAGACATGAGAGCGAACAACTTCAAATCATGTCCGGGTGTATATAGTCTGTATACGGAACTATCATATATATATATATGTATATATGTATATATATGTATATATATATATATGTATACATATGTATATATATATATATGTATATGTATATATATATATATATATATATATACTTTGGAGAAGGAGAAGCAAAAGCCAGAGACAGAAACAGAGAGAGAGAGAGAGAGAGAGAGAGAGAGAGAGAGAGAGAGAGAGAGAGAGAGAGAGAGAGAGAGAGAGAGAGAGAGAGAGAGAGAGAGAGAGAGGAGAGAGAGGAGAGAGAGAGAGAGAGAGAGAGAGAGAGAGAGAGAGAGAGAGAGGAAGAATCCAAAATTTCGCGAACCTGGCCCGCCGATATGTCCAAGCAAGGCTCAAAAGGATTGATTGCAAAGATCGGTTGCAGGGCTTCAAGCTCGCAAACAGATCGACATGTCTGCTGCCACAGCCATGGATCAGTTGAAGGGGGATTTGGCTGCTACAGCCAATTTTCTCCAGTCCATGACTGCACTCCCGAACTACGACAGTGTTAGAGAGGTGCAAGCACAAGCCCTTTGCCAGCGAGTGAAGAACCTTGCCTCCGTGGATGCAAATGGAGCCTCAGCCCTGCTGGCTGCATGGACTGCAGGAAAGCAATGGACTTCTCAACAAACAAAGGAGTTCAGTGATCTCTTGGCTGGAGCAGTAGCTAGAACCAACACCGGGACAGGTCAGGGTGGCAAGAGAGCTACTCAGAAAGTTGATGCTTTCGAACCTTACCTGTCCGTCAAAGATATCCAGGCTTTGGAAGCTGGTGACAACATCCACGTGAAGTTGGATGTCTTGGCATGCCGGTGCATCAAGCTGAGGCTCACCTGCCCATCTGAGGCTTGCTGCAAAGCGATCTTGGCAGCTGGCTTGGCCAGGGCAGGCGGTGATGTGGGGGCGGTTGACAGCTATGCCAACAAGCAGTTGTTCAAGAAAATGCTGAAAAGCAAAGCCAAAGGCTTGCCCAAGAATGGCTTTCACCTCGAGCATTATCCAGCATCGCCAGACAATCTGCCCCCTGAGCTCGCCGATGCATACTTTCAAGAGGATCCTGCATGCACTGTGCAGATGCAATCTCCCGACAGGGTGCAGGCAGCATCATCTGCAATCGTGTTGAGAGGGAGCTCGAAGAAGCTTCGTGGTGGAAACATGATGGGTGCCGGTGGCATGCAGAGCTGGCCTGCAGTGTGTGCAAGTGGCAACAACAACCCCATGAACATGCAATTCAACATGGGCCTGCAAGGCATGCAGCCCGGGATGACGATGATGGGTATGATGAACACCATGAACAACATGATGCAGAGGCTCATGCAGGACCAGAATAAGCAGCAGCAGGACCCGATCCCGAACATGCAGTACTTCGCACCCGGTGGAGGTCAAGCGGGGGCAACCACCATGGGCCAGGGGCCTGCAGCAGGAACCCAGGCACCTGCAGCAGCAACCCAGCAGGCACCCGCAGGGGCATCTGCATCGGTCCAGCAAACAGCACTTGTGGCGGCAACGAATGCATCAGCTGGTGTCTCGCCGGCAGTGCAGCTGGAGATGAGTGATCCTGAAAACGACGAGGCCGACGAGGCAGAAGTGTTGAGGCAGGCTGGGCTCGTTGCAGATGCAGTCAACAAGAAGAAGGGGATTCTTAAGAAGCCTGCAGGCTTGCCCAAGGCAAAGGCAAAGGCCAAAGCCCATGCCAAAGCAAAGGCAGCCAGTAAGGCCAGTGCCAAGGCCAGTGCCAAGGCCAGTGCAAAGGCCGTTGCAAAGGCCAGTGCAAAGGCCAGTGCAAAGGCCAAAGCCGCCCCGGCCGGTAGCAGAGAATACTATGCCAATCTTTCCATGAAGAAAAGGGTGAGCCTTCGCCCGAATGGTTGCAGCAAATGCAGATTCGCACCAGGCTGCAGGCCCAGCTGCTTCTGTAAGTAATAGCTGCTTGCCCGATTCAAATGACCGGCTCGATGAGTGGGGAACTCGTCGACTGCAGCACAGAGGGAGGAAAAGATCATCATGCAGGCATGCACTCATGCACATCATGTTGCCTCTTCTGCTGCATGTGTGTGTGTCTTGCCAGGCAGCATGTAAACCTGAGTGATCGGATCGGCTTGCAGATTGGTCTGATGCTGCATTGCAAGTATAAATATCTCCTGTATATATATATATATATGTATATATATATATATGTCTGTATGTTACATACTTACACACACACATATATATATATATATATATATATATATTATATACGTGATATTATATATTGGTAGATATAGTCCAGCCATTATAAGAAATTAGTTGTAGATCGTGTGCATACATTGTATCATACGTGCATCCAGAGGTTTTTGTTGTGTTGAAGAAGGTTTCGTGGGGACAAGGATTTATAGACAGGTTGACACATGTTGTATGTACAAACATATTTATTGTAAGAATTGTTACTTCTAATATCCGGTGCCTGCAGGGCATTTTGCTCGCGGGCAGCCATCTTTATAATCTATGTCGCTCGCTACCATCGGCAGAAAGCACTATGTGGGCCAGAGTGCACTGGAGGCAGTTGCCCATCCTCAACCTGATGGCATGGATATGGCATGTTTGCCAGTCCATGCCTGGTGTAGCTGCCTTTTTCCAAAGGCAGCTATCGAAGTACCCGTGCACAGCAACCAGCCCATGGCGCATGGCTTTATACAATGATGAGATTAGTCCTGGCAACCAACTAAAAGCCAGCAACACCAGGAAGATCCAAGGGTACTACCTCAGTTTTCTCGAGTTTGACGCCGAAGGCCGATGCCAAGAAAACCTTTGGTTCCCTTTGAACTTGACTCGGTCTTCGGTGGTCAACAAGATCCAGGGCGGGCTGTCTGCACTCACCCACATTCTGGTCTCCTCGGAATCGTTCCTGAACCTCCAGTCGGGCTGTTTGCTGAACATGCCAACTGGGGAACGGGTCATGTTCTTCGCGAAACTGCATACTGTAGTTGCAGACGAGGCAGCTTTGAAATCTATGTACGACTTCAAGGGCTCCAGTGGGACTTTGGTTTGCCCGCTATGTGCCAACATAACAAGCAAGACCCACGGTGATCTGCCGGCAAATGACCACTCGGGAGAATTGCATGACATATCATGCATCGACAGCAATCTGTTTGTCCGCAGAACCGACAATCAGATCTTCACTGCACAGGCACTGTTGGCGAGAAGGCAACCCATCCTGAGCAAGAAGGATTTTTCCTTGCTCGAGTCCAGCATGGGCTTGAACTTCAACCCATGTGGAGTGCTTGCTCACAAAAGCATGCCGCTTGTGAAATGCTTGATGTGGGATTGGATGCATTGTTATGTGGTAAGCGGCCTCCTGCACGTGGAATTGAGCTTACTCTTGCCACTCTTGCATGTGCAGGGTGCAACATTTCAGGTGATCCAGAGCTTTATCTCAGAGTACGAATGGCCTCACAACCTGAAGAACCGGAGAAGAGAAATCTTGCATTTGTTCGACAAAAGGAGCAAACCTTCTGAGTTCAAGGCCGGTGCTTCGCAGTGCATCACTGTCTATCCCTTGCTGCGGCTTTTCTTGCTGACTCATCACTTTGACACAATGGACGACGAACTTCGGCGATGCATCAGGTCCTTTATGAAGATTTGTATGGTTCTCGACCTCCTGCTTGAATGCAATCGGACTGGGAACCTGTCGCCGGACGAGCTCGAGAATGCGATTCGGGCCCATAGCCAAGCTTTCCTTAAAGCATATGGAGAGCAGCACTGTATACCGAAGTTCCACTATAGCCTCCATCTTCCCCTGATGGCTCGAGACAGGCCTCTGATTTCCTGTTTTACACACGAACGAAAGCATCGGCAAGTGAAGCAGTTTGCTGACAACACGAAGAAAGTGACCGACTGGTTCGAAGCTTCACTCTTTAAAGATGTTTTGGGCAGGGCTCTTCTGGATCTGTCTGAGCATGCTGGCTTCATGCGGCCCCATTTGAAGTCCCCCAAGTCTGTCACTGATGGCACTTTGCTGTGGCACCTGGGGCAGACATTCGGGTTTCAGACTCTTGAGCATGTGCAGTCGGCCATGCAGGCCGAGGTCTGCCCAGGACAGACTTGCGAGAGGGGTGACCTGGTGCTGCTTAAGACGGGGTCCGTTGCAGAGGTGTGGTTGTTTTGCCGGTTGCAGCATGGCGAGCTCCTGGCTCTGTTGAGTGTGCTTGAGCCACAAGGGAAGAATCTCTTCCGGGTCAAGCAGGACGGAGCCCAGTTCATGCGAGTGGCCGAGATCAGTCGAACCTGCCTCTTCAAACGCATGAGTGCAGACAGCATGCTGGTCGTGCCATAAAAAAGATTGTTGTGCATATATGCCTGCGAGCGAATCGCCCTGCATGGCGACACATGAATTGTCACAGTTTTCATGTTCTGATCCTGCCTGCGAGCGAATCGCCCTGCATTGCGACATTGGATTTTTCATCATCCTCATGGGCATCATCATGGTTTTAAGGTGCTGTTAGTAAAATGCTAACTTCGTTAACTGTGTTTGGCTAACTTCTGTAATTGTACCTTGCTAACTGCACTTAGGTCAATTGCTATGTTAGACTAGCCATCCCCACTAAACTGTACAATCGATTACTAACTTATGTATCTACTTATTAACCCACCGCCCTTAGAAGCAAGGTACAACGCAAGGAGCTAGAGGGGGTCCTAGGCCTGCTAAACTGGGCAACGTCATTGAGCAGACACATGAGGCCCTTCATGGCACCGCTGTACAAAGACTTGCACAGCTGCAAAGGCACCTTGCACAGCATCTCCCCAAGTGTGTGGGGAAATTTCCTAGATAGCCTTGACAAGAACGCCAAGCTCACACTCACACCTGCCGGCACATGGCTACCACGCAACGCACAGCTACTGGAAGTAGGTAGCCTGAAAATATCCAGCAAGTCTGACGTGCCGCTTGTGCCGCCGTCGCACAAACACCAATGGGTGCGCTTGGCAGACCCGCACCGCTCCGAAGTGCACTTGCGCCATGAAAGCAAGTTTGTGCTGGCGTGGCTTCGGCACTGTTTCTCGCACGAACAGCCTCGCTCGCTGCGCGCAGCCCCACGCATGCACTGCTACAGCGCCGCCGACGCATTTGCAGACACGCATCGCATGGGCATTGGCGGCTGGATCAGCACGTCTGATTCTGTTCTTTGGTTTAGCGCCATCTTCTCCTCTGAAGAGGTACGCAAGCAGTGGCCGCAACTGCAAGGCAGCTTGCAGCCATACATTGGGTGCTTCGAAGCACTCGCCCAGCTCGCGCTGGCCCAGTGCTCATGGCAGCTGCTACGCAGCAAACAGATTCGCTTTGTCCTGCCCACAGCATCGGACAACACAAGCGCCGAATCCGGTCTCAACCGGCAGAGCCCCTTGGGACTTTCCTTCGCCTCGCAGCAACCTGGGCGCACCTGCACCACGTGCAGTTTGAAGTTGAGCACCTCGCAGGGGAGAAAAATGTGTGGGCCGACAAGCTTTGTCGAGGTTCCACTGCGTTCCTTCAGCACCGCACTGCTGACAGGGTTGAAGTGACGCTAGTGCAACTAGCCTCCGCATCGCATTGCGTTACCCTGCATGATCACACGCTTGAGTGGCCACAGCAGCTCCTTGAAGCTCAGCACGCAATGCTCATATGATGAAAAAAGAGCGACGCTCCTCTCTCTTGCTCTCGTGGTGCGCCTCACTGCTTAGCTTTTGCAAGCCCCGCCTCGCCAGGTACATCCGCCATCTCGCGTGGTGAGGGGGAAATACAGCAGAGATTGAAGGATGCACCTGAAGTGGGGGATAGCTCGGCATCGCATGCCTCTTTCTCCTACGGCGAGCAATGCCTCGCACTGCAGCGCATCCTTAGCAATCTCTGCGGTAAAAAAGGGATTGCCGACAGAACGCTCTGCAATGCAATCCATGTCTTCATTCGAAGTAGATTAGAGAACGCTAGTTGTGAGTTTTCTATTTTGAGTCAACTGTGTTTTCTAACTTGTGTCGAATGTAACTAACACTCCGCACTGCTTTTCGGCACAATTTCTCACAACTAGCTTTCCACGCGCGTTGCATCGCCTGCAGGAAATCTTTTTTCACCCACTCTCCACGTCCTGGGGGGATAGCTCGGCATCGCATGCCTCTTTCTCCTGCGGCGAGCAATGCCTCGCACTGCAGCGCATCCTTAGCAATCTCTGCGGTAAAAAAGGGATTGCCGACAGAACGCTCTGCAATGCAATCCATGTCTTCATTCGAAGTAGATTAGAGAACCTTATTGTTCTTCGTTGCTTGCTCTCTGTGATAACTGACGCAAAAAAGGCATTCTGACTTCTTGTCGGAGACCAGCAGAATTCTGACTTTTGAGAAGCCATCAGTGCCAAAGGACACAGAAATAAGTCGGGTTTGTGTTGAGAAAAAGTGGGGGTTCGCTTGTTGGAACGAAGGGACGCATTTGTTTTTCGGAAAATATGTGTCATCATTTTCGTCGTTTCTACCCTCTTAAAAGAAAAGCGTTTCGTGTGGCCACTCTGTGTAGAAGAAGACTTTGGATTCATGGGCACTCCTGCCATTGGCCACCTTGTTCCTGTTTTTCCCTCGTGCTTGGTACGGCTCCGTCTCCTCGTTGGGCGCGGCGTTTCGTGTGGTGGACTAAATTAATGTGAAAAAAATCAAAGCCGAAGCCTGCCGCCAGCTTTCGGGTTCAAGGATTGGGGTTTAGGGTTGGGGTTTAAGTGTTCGACATCTTTCCCGGTCAGTCAAAGATGAGGACTTGCACCGTTTTTGGCCCGTCAAAACCATACCTGCAGACGCTCGGTCCAAGAACACTTGCGAACTCAATCGCTTGTGAATTTTTATTAAGTTTTTACAAACCAAATACCAATTTTCAGCAACTTGTCTCTCTTACTCAGCGATGCTTTGGTTGAACCCGTCTCACTGAAGAAACCTGAGATTTCTCCGTCTACTTTGAAACGCTTATTTTCAGTAAGAAGGCGCAATGACACACAGCTGCAAAAGAATGGGTGGAAAGTTCAGAACGACGGCCAGTGGTTCTCCACTTGATTCATTGGGACACTGGTGGAAAAGACTGCGGGGTGCCAGCATCGTGTTTTGAAAGAGCAAGTCGTTTACGAAAAAATCAAACAACATGATCTGAGTCTTTGACGGTGAGTCTTTGACGGTGCGAAGTTCCCCGGACGTGCAACTTTGAAGTTCCTCCACAAAAGCTTTGCAGCTCGAACAATCAAATCACTTTTTCGACTTTGAACCGCAGTGGTCTGTTCTGACCTACTCGCGAGCTGCTTGCACGAACTATGTCGCGGCCCCTCAAAGGCGGCACGACAGCACAGGCAAAAGCGCAAGAGCCGTAGCTCACTAGGCTGCGCCTACAGAGGCTCAAGTGCAAGGCCGTTCCACCCAGCTTTCTCGCTGTTACTCACCGGGGAACTAGCAACAGGAGCCTAAGCTGTAGAACGCGGCGAAAGCAACAGTGCACTCAGTCAGGGGCCGAGCAGCGGCGCCCTGAGGACTCCAAAGCTTGGCAACCCAAGAAGGCAACCCGCATGAGGCCTGGTTGCCGCAAAGCCTGGCAACCGCAAATGGCCATGCCATGGATTGATATGAAAAGCTCAAATACCACAATCACAAACGAATATTTCAATAACCATGTAGATCGGCTCATCACCATTGCACAAGCACTCTGATTGCACGCACCAGGCGACCACGACGCGCGATGGGGTGTTGGATAAGCGGTCAGGCCGCCCAGAGCACACACACTCTGTAGCAATCAAGGAGCCACTGAAAAGGGGATAAGTTGAAAGTAACAAGGCATGGAATCAAGCGCGAGCCATCTGGCAGCTGAATGCTGCACCTGTTGCTGTTGTCGTAATATAGATATTAGCTTTCGCCACCCCTTGGAAAACAAATGCGCTCAACGTGGTGGCTCCCGCTGCAGCACTGGTATCTGCAGCAACCCTCGCTTCCGCCGGCAGCATAGTGAGGAAATAAAGTCCCTGCTTGAGCTGCTGGCCGCCGGACTTGGGACCGGCGCGGCTCATCATGAAAAAATCTCGTCGAGACTCACAGATCGTAGCTGGCTTAGGTCTTGTGGAAATGTGTATCCAGCTTGCTTCATCCCGCTTGCTTGCACTTCGGCACCCCAACAAAGGGCCGATCTCGGATGGCTTCCCGCTGACCGATGCATCAAAGCGCCGCCGGCACGACCCCTTGTTCCAGGAACAGAGGAGGCCCCCGTTGCTTATCATTTGCATGATCTGTTGTTTAAAAGGCCGGATAGCGGCACCCTTTCACAGAATACATACATAGATGCCTTTCCCACGCAAAATCCACGTGCTCCATGAAGCAAATTGGAAGAGCCATGCCCTTTCTTCAAAAGCAAAGATAGTGCATAAACTCTCCAATAGCAGTGCATGCCAACGAAGAAAAAGCCCTGTCCGGGAGGCAACTCTGCAGAGTGATGGTCGAAAGTCAGTTTCGCTATCGGTCCTCATCACCAGTCGCTTGGGGTGGCGTAACGGCAACCAGCAGCACAGGGGGAGCTGTGGCGTCTGTCTGACCGATGCATCAAAGCGCCGTCGGCACGACCCCGGCCCCCGTTGCTTTTCACCTGCATGGTCTGTTGTCCAAGGAACCAAAAGTGGCGCCTTACCAGGAAATGCTTCCACATAGGCCCATCCCTTGCAAAAAACCACAAGTGCCATGATGCAAACTCATGTAGCCAAACCCATGCAGCAGAATCAAAAATCATGCCAAAGATCATGGTGTCAATGTAAGCTATCGATAAAACAAGCCATGACCATGATGCCTGCTCTGCAGAGTTGGGGCCGGAAGTCGGCTACCCAATCGGTCAGCGCAGAAAAGCCATGCATAGGGGGGAGGGGACTACGAGTAAAACAAAACTTGAGCCGAGAAGCTTAACAAGCAAATCAACAGTGTCTGACTTGGATGGAACACAGTCGAGGAACTTCATGCACACATGTTGGTGAAATTTCGGAAAACTATTTCTTCTTGTGTGATTTTATATTTAGTTGATTTTCTGTTGGGTTCTGACAAACTCGGAGTTCTGCAGTCACGGATTTTTTTCAACTGTGCTGCTCATGCAGCTATACGGACCACACTGATCGTAATGGTTGAGGTTTGAAGCAGCTTGAAAGGCTTTGAGGGGACGGAGAGCTCAAACGGTACTTTCAAGAGACAAGATAAGAATGGGCCAGACCGTTTTTCTTCACCAGATGGTGCAATACGAGTGCGGCTTTATGGCGTTCGAGGAACCGTTTCTGAGCAGTCTCCAAGTCTGCGGCCGGCTTCCATCCGACAGGTCGCGAGTGGTCGTGGAGGGCGCCGGTACAGCAAAGCAGTGCAAGAACGGAGTTTACAAGTTGCGCGAGATCACATTCGACGGGGTTGATTGGTCAGCAAGCAAATCTAAACCAAACTCCAGGACGAGATACTGGGACAGCGGAGGGTTTTGGGGTTTCCAGGTTGGATGTCGGTCCCGCCGCTAAGAAGGCAGCTCTGAGCATGTGTACATGTGGACCCCGAACCCAGAGTGAGCCCTAGGACCGCTAGGAGACAACTTTGCAAGGTTGCTTGGCAGCTGCGGGATCCCTGCAAAGAAAAGCACCGTACCGGAGAGAAAGCTGAAAGCACATCTGGAGTCAGGAAGTTCGGCTATCCCGAAAACGAAGGTCCGCGTCGTGCTGCAATCGTGGAAAGCTTGTGTACAAACAGGTTCAATGTCAATGTTTTTGGGAAGTATACGACTTGTTGCAGACTGACTCAGCTCCACTAGATTGTTGCTCAGTGCCGGTTGCCACACAACGACCTTGCGCACCTGTGGCTGAGAAGCATATCGACAAAATCAGCAGCACACGTGAAACATCGGTCGCATGTGCAATTGGGACTTGCAGAGGAATGATGTTTCTCGTGTTACAAGCAGATGACCATCAACGTCAGTCGAACATCGACCGGATTGGAGTTTCTTGATCTTCAGAAACGCAACTTGACGGTTCTACGATCTAGAAATTCAAGCGTCAGCTCTAGAACCCATGATATGAAAGGGACACCGCCATGTTGCAACTCAGATTGAAGACGCCATGCATGGCACGTCAAAGGGATGTTCAGAGCGACAAAACACGTTTGAGAATGCCGATTCGTTATGATGTTTGCGACGGACAGTCTGATGAATTTCACACGAAAATGCAGCCACTCATCTGATGTGTGCAGGTTGCTGCATCATACAACGTTTGCAAATCTTCTCTTGCCCTGGCAAGACCGCGGAAGTAAGTGAACTAATTTAACTAAGTATTACAGCATGTTTCCGCGGTGTTTTTTTTTCGACGCGTGTTGCTCGCTGCGGGGATGCGAGCGCAAAGCCTTACATGCATGTCTGCAGCTGCTTTCCAAACCAACTCCGAACTCGGCTGTCGCTGTTTTTGCGTCTCTGCAGCTTGGCTTCACCGCAATATTTCAGTGACCATTGATGCAGTTTCGTGCTTGGGTATGCAATGCGGAAGCCAAAACCACCCTCGTTGCAACCTTGACAGGTCCTATTGCTAGATATGGCATCGGCAATCGGGACCAACCCAGCCCGGGCCTTGCATACAACGTCTTTTGCAAGGCATGGAGATCAGCTTCAAGGCAATATCAAGTTCTCCAGCATCTGTTTTCCATTGTTGTTGCCATTTTTGTGATTATGCTTGCTCTTCGTCCTTTTGCCTTTGCTCTTGCTGTGCTCAGCAGGGCGCACTGTCGTCTGTGTTCAATCGCATTCGTGTCCGAAGACGCTCGAGGGAGATCGTGCCCTCTGGTGGGACTGCTAATGGTCATGGCCAGGATGGTATTTGCACTTGTAACAATCATCAGAGAACTCGTAACTTGTTTTAACAGTCGCAACAGAAGTAGTAGTTGATTCAATCAATAGGTGCAATGTAGTCAGAGTCATGAGTCAGCAACTTCAGGTCATCATTGTCGTGGCAACGGACGTTTAAAAGAGAGAAATAGGACCGCTCCGGAGCAGCAATGTCCATGTGATGAGAGTTCTTGTGCAAGCAAAAAATTTCACGTTGCCCAAGAAAAGCTCGCGATGTGAAGAAAAACTGTTATGGAGGTGATCCTCAACTGCATCAAAATTCGTACTAGCCATAGCTTGTTCGATTGATCATACATCCCCGTTGACCATGACGACCATGACAAGAAGACCACTAAAAGATAAAATGTATGCATAATATATATATATATATAGAGTGGGAATGGTCTTAAGAATCTTGCGAAACCCTAAGGCAGTAAACGCAGAGAACAAGAATCATCAAACTCACAATGTAGTCATGTCGTGGATGCAGTGTTTATGTGCATCTTGTGGTTGGGAGTATGATTGTCGTGAGCAGCACTGAGGTGACAACCTTGCCAAGTGGCCAGCAGATGCTGATGGAGCCTGTGACTGGACAGTTCCCCCCGCAGACTGTCGCACCCATGGGCACACAGCCACCTGGCCCTGGCTACATGTACGCCGCACCGGCAGGAACAGAGGCCGCACCCACGACCCTGCCTCCGGCAACACAGGCCCCTGGTCCAGGCTTCATGTATGCAGTCCCCACCGCGACGGAGCCCGTTCCCACGGAGCTTCCAGCTGACGCTGCCCCCGGCCCGGGCTACATCTTCGCTGCTCCCGAGGGTGTGCCACCTGGCGCAATGTACGCCGCCCCCGCGGCCACTGAGGTGCCACCCGGTGCAATGTACGCCGCCCCAGCGGCCACCGAGGTGCCACCGGGTGCAATGTACGCTGCTCCCGCGGCTATGGAGGGTGCAATGTACGCCGCCCCTGCGGCCACGGAAGTGCCGCCAGGTGCAATGTATGCCGCCCCTGCGGCTACTGAGGGGGCGCCAATGATGTATGCGGCTCCACTCGGCGAGGGTAGTGAGGGGCAGCCAGCACCGGCGCCCATGTTGGGGCAGACCATCATGGGCAACACGTACCAGGCAGATCTTTATTCGTAGAGGGATGCTTTATCCAATGCAGTCCAATGCAGGAGCATGAACAGTTGGTACCATGTAGGAGACCTCGAGGGCCGTAGAACCTGAGAACATCGAGGAGTTCGTCCTGGCTGTGAAGTGAAGACAGAAAATTGACAGAAACGAAATGTCTCCCGACACTCGAACATGCCTTCAGCCAGGTGAGGGTCCCTGTGGACAGCATGAGGGACGAAAGTGGCGCCACCACTACGCACCTTGTCGAGAATTGCTAGCTGCTGGTCTTGCCAAGTTCCGAAGCAGCTTTTTCACAGGCAGTGATCCATTGAGAAAGTTGCGACCGTGTATATTGGCCAACTCCCCTCTCCCATTCGGTGTGTATAGGCAGTGGCCTGCCGCCTTCAAGCAGATCCAGGCACCGGCATTTGTTTGCCATTTGGTGTCTGCATGTGTTGCATGCCAAGCATGGGGCAGTTGGCGATAGCAGTTCTGTAAGTTTTGATGTCGTCGTGACGCTGTTGAGGCTTTCTCAGAAGTCTCTTTACCGCTGGGCAATGCTGCTGAAATCGCCAAACAACCGTGCACAGACTTCCATGTAGTCGTGAGGTGCTTGCACATAGAGTTACGGCATAGGACTCAGGACTCCGGTCTCACAAGGAGACTGCAATCAGCTTAATCAGCTCTTTCAAGAGCTCGATTTACTCAAGGATTCCGAACCCTTGTTGCTGCAAGCCCTTCGACTGTGAGGTCTCAGAATGTGGTAAAGAGCAGCATCATTTGGATAGTAGTAGTGGCGGTAATGGCAACAGTCAGACTTTATGTTGCAAACGCAGAAACAGTCCAAAACATCAAGAATGATTGTGAATGTTAGTAAAACTATGGTAGCTACCACTACCACTAACCAGGACCACGACCGCTACCACTCCCACTACTACTAGCACTAGCACTTAGCACTACCACCACCGCTACTTCTACCACCAATCACCACCACTGCCGCTACCGCTACCGCTGCCGCTTCCGCTACCGCCACCGCTACCGATGCCGCCGATACCGCTACGTACCGTTACCAGTGGTACAATACCTTCGTCAACCGCAAGAAGAACAACTTTTGTCATATGATTCCATCAGTCTCCTGCAAAGTCGCAGGTGGACGGTGAGACCCAGTACGTCGCCGGGAAGACCGAAGAGGTCGATGCTCCGCCGCAGGCAAGAAAAGGGTCGCCTTGGGATGCCCTCATCAAGGAGCCAGCTGAACGCCAGACTACTAGGGGGTTTAGAAGTTCGGGCTTGGGGTCTGGGCTTGACAGTTTGAACGGTCTGATGCTAAACGGAGGCTCGGAGTCCTGGTGTTGTCCAGGAAACTTTCACAAAAACACCAAAGGCCGTTACCTGAAGCTTCTGAGACAAGCCTCGGACCCAGATTCCCGAAAGCCGACAGGTTGGCACCCAGCAGGTGGAGGAGACTGTGGCCGGGCAGGTGAAACAGCAGGTGGGGAAACTTATGAAGAGAAGGGTGGAGGACTTTTTTTCATTCAGGGCTTCTTCACGTTGAGGGGTCTGAGGTAGGACCATGCCTTGGAGAACTTAGGCGCGTTTCGGCTGGCCAGCAGTAGACTGCTAGCAGCTAGCAGGTAGGAGCTTTTGCCAATCAGGCTAGCCAGGAAACAGTTTGCAGCATGGATTTTTGCGCTTCAGAGCTCGCCCCTCGAGATCGCGGTACCCGTACAATATCCTTAAACCCTTGGAGTACATACTGCTTTCTATATGAGCGTTGTATATGAACCCGTCCCTTCACGAACTGAACTCCGACGACTCCTGGCCGACAGATCGTGGAGATTCCGCAAGTCCAGGAGGTTGTGGAGGAACAGGAGATCCCGGAGGTCTCTATTCTTGCCTTGGTTAGTAGGGAATGGAAGAATGGTAGTAGTAGTAGTAGTAGTAGTAGTAGTAGTAGTAGTAGTAGTAGTAGTAGTAGTACGTAGGGAATGGAGGAACGGGGTACAAGTATAACTGCCATTACTACCATTCTTCCATTCCCTACTAATCAAAGGTAAGCTATTCGGAAAGTGGGTTCGACGGGTGGCCTACGGGTTACTGCCTGTGGGGAGGGTTGCTATACAAGGGTGACACCTAGGGGAAACTTTGCAAGCGTGCCATAATGGCAGGTGTGAGTGGTAGGCACAGCATTTTGCATACTTGACCCAAGATGCTGCTAACACTCTTGATGCTCATCCCCAGTGATCGCACTATGTCAGGTGCAGGTTGTGCAGAAGGTGGTCGAGGCTCATTGAAAGTCTTGAGCTGGAAGTCCTTGTGGACGCAAGCTTCGCTCCTGGTGTGGACTGGTTGGTGAGTCGGCTGGCGGCATTGAGTTTTCATGTGCCGAAGTCTCGACAGGTTCCGCAAATCGTGCAGCAGGAGGTCGAGCAGATTGTGGAGCAGATCGTCCAGGCCCGGGTTTTGCGAGTGCGAGACGATGGAAAGCTTTCAGCTTTAGGTCCCTCACAACGCAAATGTCCGGAATTCCTTTACTTTCGATGCTGTTAGAAGATTCCTAGATCCGTCTCGTTTTGCCGGTGTCATGATAGCAGGCAGCCGGTATTCATAACGGCACGATGGTCATGGGAGTGAACAAAAGCGTTCTTCTTCTGTGTGTTCTCGCGCCTTCTCTAGCTTCTAAGCTTATTAACTTGTTCTGCCTAGCTGGGATCATGATAGCCGAGATCTTATAGGAGATGAGCGTTGAAGCATGGACTGGGTCTCGCATGTCAGAAGTAGAATATGATTTCTGCCCCGCAGGCGGGGGGCGATAGGAGACAGGAGTCTCCGGCACCCATACCTTGATATGGCTGTAAGTAATCTGTCACTTTCTAGCCAAAGTCGACCTGATCAACTGCGGCTTTTCAATGCACTCCGAAGAAGAAGCATCGTGCGTTGAAGTCGTTCAAGATGGAGGTGCTTTGCCAGGATGTGCTCAGCTTGAAGACTGGTGGTGTGGTCGGGATATCCAGTACGGTTTACTTCGAGTGGCAAACTTGCCCCTAAACCCTAAACCGGAGGATGTATCCCGAGCCTCAAGCTCTAAACCCTAAACCTTAAACTCTAAACCCTAAACCCTAAACCCCTAAACCCTAAACCTTAAACTCTAAACCCTAAACCCTAAACCCCTAAACCCTAAACCCTCAACCCTAAATCGATGAAACCTTGGAGTTACGAGCCGCCATGTAGGCCTTCTCCAGGAAGCCCTTCCATCCCTCAGCTCGGAGGCCCTGAAGACTTATACATTACTTTGGAATTCCGGAAAATAGGGTACCCTAATAGAGAAATTACGTTGTTCAGTAGGATCCTTATCATAAGGACCCCAAAGCGAGGTACCCTGATTTCGAAACCTTCCATTCATAAACCCTACATCCCAAAATTTCTGGGGTTTCTGCGCTTGCAGGTGCCTCAGATCATCGAACAGCCAAAGGTCTCCCATCGCCATGTCGAGCAGATCGCGGCTCGACGGTATGTGGGAGTTTCCGAAATTGGGGGGTACCTTGTTTTGGGGGTCCTTATAATAAGGATCCTACTATTTAGGGTACTATATTAGGGTCCCGTATTTTCGGAAACTCCCATGCGGGGCCGGATTATTAGAGTTCGAGAGAGAGCAGGGTTGGAGGTTTTGGAAAAGCACTGTGAAAAGCTTATTTTGAAGCTTGGTGAGCGTGTCAACAGCATGATGCAGCAGCAAGAATGGGTCTAAACGATGTTTCTGTGTCTCGCATCTGGCTTGGTCATGATTGTGAAGCGACAAGAGCAAAAGCATTGCAATCTGAAGGGTGACGCATGTTGTCTTCTGCTTGTGGTGTGTTGAGCCCATAATCCAGTAGCAGCAGCCCAAAGCATCTTTGAAGCACAGACCCCAGACCGCAAGGCAAAGAGGGAAACTGCAATTGCATAGGGCAGCAGGGAGCCTTCTTTGGCCTTTAACAAGGAGCAGATTGCACTTCGCGACAGGCCAGGATATCGGACAGCCCATGCTACACGGGATGTGTGAAGCAGAGTGAAACCTAGGTTGAAGGGCTTGAAGGGTCGAGGCCTGATGTAGTCCACTTCCGTAAACCGCCTGTCCCAATTCAGCCAGCTTGGCTGGTGTTGTCTTCTAAAACAGTATGACTGCAGTTGAAGTAAATCCAAAAAAGCTCAAGACCCTCTCTTCTTGCCTGAGGTTGACGTCCCTGTGCCGCAGATGGTGGAAGAGGTCGTCCATGTGCCAGTGACGCAGACCCAAGCTCGCCCCTATCTCAGTGACTCAGGTGGGGTTGAGGGTCTTTCTTTTGGGGCCTGCTGTAGGGGATCGTTGCAGTTGGTGGAACCAGAGTCCAGTACAGCTTCTCGCGGGTCGCTCAATTCTAAAAGAGTAGTGCCCGCATGAACGCTTCTGCGGTTGCGGAATATTCGATCAGCCGGGAACGTTCCTGGTGTGACTTGGTGAGACTCAGGCCACCACCACGTGCACGTCGAGCAGCAAGTGGAAATTCCTGTCCAGATGATGCAGGAGCAGACCGTGCATGTGCCCAAGGCCGGCCTTTTCGCAAATTGAAGCTCGGGATCCTTGGGGTTGGAGAGAACCAAGGAAAAACTCATACTATAGGCATCGAGGCACAAGTCGTAGCAACACTAATCAGAGTGCAACCAAGAGTGAGAATCATAGAAACAATGGTAGCAGCAACAGCAATAGCAAAAGGTGAATCTACCTTTTGCAGGTGATGGTGCAGAAGCGCCAGACGCATCAGCACGTTGAGCAGCTTGTGGAGGTCCCGGTGCCCATGACGCAGGAGGAGGTCGTGCACGTCCCCGAGATCATCACCCAGACGCGCGTGCAGCAAGAGCACGTCGAGCAGATGGTTGAGGTGCCGATCCCCATGCAGCAGGAGGAGATTGTGCATGTGCCCGAAATCGTGATGCAGCCCCGCATCGTGCACCAGCCAGTTGAGCAGATCGTTGAGGCCAGGTTGGGCATTCTGTTGACATTTTCCCAAGCCTTTGTTTCAGGCAAGATCCGGACATGCTGGCCCAGCACATCAGCCTGGCAGAAGTAGAACACAACCACCGTGACCTTGCATCCTACTGCATCCCCCTGCCAGGTGCCCGTCCCCATGACGCAGGAGGAGCAGGTCCAGGTGCCCAAGATCATTACACAGACCCGCATCCGACACCAGCCGGTGGAGCAGATCGTTGAGGCCTTTTTGAGGGTTTGAGACTTGGAACCTCAAGGAACCAAGCGGTTAGAGAAACGTAGCTACGATGCCCTTTGCGAATTCTGCAGTTCTTGAGCCCGCATGGATGGGGGAGCCAGGTGCCGGTTCCTATGACGCAAGAGGAGCAGGTCCACGTACCCAAGATCATCACCCAGACCCGCGTGATGCACCAGCATGTCGAGCAGGTGGTCGAGGCGGAGCTTTGAGTCGTGACAAGTAAGGTTATAAGTACCTTAGTTGGGGTGATAAGTATACTTACCCTAATTATAACCCTAGCTACTAAACCCAATGACGGTGGCTCCCAGGTGCCCGTGCCGATGACGCAAGAGGAGCAGGTCCACGTGCCGAAGATCATTACTCAGACTCGCCCCTGAACCGCATCAGGCACACCCTATTTCTGTTGGCCTAAGTTTGCGTTTCCTTTCCGATACCCTATGAAATCCCAGTATTTTTGGGCTGAGTTAATGATTTCGCTTCTGGCAGCCTACCATGGCCGACACCACTACGACTGCTCATGATGTTTGATGGTGTTTGAGTATGCGAAGGATGATGGCAATGGTTGCGTCCATCTGTGCTAATGTTGTACTGCTTTCATATTTGCCGGATTCATTGTCGTTTATGCCTGGTATAAGTACCGATACTAACTTCCTAGCAGCATGCCCGCCAAGAACAGAACCAACGAATTGCAACTTTGACCACCATCACCACCGCATCACTAGTATTATCTTCGTCATGGAATTCTGGTGATCGGCTTCAGCACGACTTCACCACGCCAGTAGATACTATAGTGGTCAGTATGCCTGCGACAGTGGTCATCATAACGCTCATTTGACATGCTTCCATGGCTTCCACTGTTCTCCTTCTCCTTGTCTGTATTCATCAATAAAGCAGTCTTCTTCCGGAAACGTAGGAGTTTATACTGTGGCAGCGCAACATCCGCCATGCTCACGTTGCTTGGGCAGGACCCTGAGTCCTATTCTGTAAGCCCTAAACCCCCAACCCTTAAACTGCAAGGTGGTAAAAGGAGCTCAAAAAAACAAACCTTTAAGCAATGCTGAGGTCAGATCCACCAGCACGTCGAGCAGCAGGTGGAGGTGCCGGTGCCCATGAGCCAGGACTCGGCTCGAAGGGACCCTGCAAATACGCTCGAAGGTCCCCTACTAGATACTGCATACTGTATACTGTATACTATATACTCTATACTGTATACTATATACTATATACTATATACTATACGTATAGTATACTCTACTAAAACAAAACTATACTTTTACAGAAAAGCTCGCAAGCTCAAAGCCGCTAGCAAGGTTCTCATAGGTCGCTGGCCCTGTTATGTTGGGATGGCCGTGACGATGGTTTAGGGGTGCCTGCAGGCTAAGCATGAAAGGTCCTAAAAGGAGTTAAGGCTTAAGAACCCTGATATAGGGGCCGAAATGATTAGCATCTCTATTATGGGGGTTCCTCATTATAACTATAGTATACTTTGCCCCAAAACCTCATTGTCATGATTAAGGCCCCTGTATTGATAAACCCAGGAAGCCCGCAGGAGACTGTTGTCCACGTGCCGAAAGTCGTTACCCAGACCCGGGTGATGCATCAGCACGTGGAGCAGGCGGGGTCCGATCCGTTTTTCTAGTTCATAGTATAGTATGAGTGGAGTATACTATAAGTATAGTATATAGTATATAGTATATAGTATATAGTATATAGTATATAGTATATAGTATATAGTATATAGTATATAGTATATAGTATATAGTATATAGTATATAGTATATAGTATATAGTATATAGTATATAGTATATAGTATATCGTATATAGTATATAGTATATAGTATATATAGTATTTCGTATACAGTATATATACATTGGCTTCAGAGTTGTGGTTTTACGGTGTAGGGTACCAGGTTGCTGTCGAGATTCGTTTTCAATTTTGCCAGCTCGTCACAATATTCAGCCACATATTGCCACGAGTTTCTGTTCTCACAACCTCTTTCAGGGGGCTTTAGTTGCCGTAAAGCCGTGAAGCTTGAGCTCTGGAATCTTTGTTCCTGTCCCGAGCCAGGTGGTGGAAGTGCCGATGACACAGGTGCAGGCTGCGATGCAAAATGCCAAGATTGTCGGGGGGCGGTGAACTCGCTGCATCCAATCTGCGGGATAAGTAGGCTCTGTTGGCTCTTGCGCTGCAGTGCCCTGCAGGCTCACTCCAAAGTTCAAAACAGAGATCCCACAATCCAACAGACCTAAGGTACCAGTAGCTAGGCCGTGCATGAATTGAAGCTAACCGAATCTGTCTGGGATCCTGTGTGGTGCAGATGGAAGGATAGGTCGTGCAAAAAAGAATCATGTCGAGCCCAAGCCCGTAGATTTCCAGTCCCGGATTCCTAGACCTGGAAGATGAGAAGCATGGGGGAAGGCAGGGTCAGGTGTCCTAGATTTTTGGTTCAGGAGCAGGTGGTCCATGTGCCAAAGATCATCGAGCAGGAGCCCTTCCTGATTCCGACATTTCATAATTCAGTATGAGTATCCGCAAAAGCCAGGACGACCGTTGCTTCGATACGTATCTGCGAGGATCTTGTTTGTGTCTCTGTCTTATCAGTGCGATCACCAGGGACAGCAATACTTCTTCATGAACTACGAGTAACGATGTCCTGGCTGCGCGGATAGGAATATCGGTTTACTGCCCCTGCTACCGCTCATTGCCCAAATTTCCGGAGGAGGAGCAATGGTAGTGGCAGTGGTAGTGGTAGTCGTATCCGTAGTCGAGCAGTCGCAGTAGCAGTGGCAGTAGCAGTAGCAGTAGTAGTAGTAGTAGTAGTAGGAGTAGGAGTAGGAGTAGTAGTAGCAGTAGTAGTAGTAGTAGTAGTAGTAGTAGTCGTGGTAGTCGTAGTCGTAGTCGTAGTGGTAGTGGTAGTGGTAGTGGTGGTAGTAGTGGTAGTGGTAGCAGTAGTGGTAGTGATTGTGGTTGTGGTTGAGGTAGTGGTAGTAGTACGCTGAACCTGAAGGCCCCAGGGCCTCAGAGAGTGCAGGAGGGTATGGGGGTTTAGGAGGGTTCAGGCACGAGGGTTCCAAGCTCCAGACCCCGAGCTCCTTCACCGAAGGAGCGCGTGATGCACCAACACGTGGAGCAAGTCGTCGAAGTCCACGTGCCCATGACGCAGGACCTCAAACGTGGCTCCTGTCGCTTTAGGCTTAAGTTTAAGGGACTGTCATCATCATCGTGATTATAGTTGTGGTTCTGGTACTACTTGGGTCCTCAGCATCGTGGTATAATCCTAAAGAGAAAAGGGGGGCATGGTAGTGGCGGACACTGATTGCACCAAACGCCGGCAGCAAACCACACTTGTTTCACCGTCCGGAGCATCCGCCGTGAACCCTGCCCTACTTACAACATCATAAGATTTTAAACTGCATGCCAGGAGCAGGTGGTGCATGTGCCCAAGGTGGTTCAGCAGGAGCGCGCCCACCACTTCCACGTTGAGGCGCGACCCGGAAAGTCACTGAATGAGCGAAGGTCGACCCGCTGAGCGAAACCTTAAACGTGCTTTGGCCAAATTGTGAAGTGCCACGGCTGTAGGAGATCGTGGATGTTCCCGTTGAGCAGCGCGTGGAGCAGATCGTGCATGTGCCGAAGGCCTGTGGAACAAAGCAAGGATCTTTTTGAGCACCATATACACCTGAAGATGACGATTCTTTTCTGTGGTTGATTGGGTAGTTCAGGCGGTGGGGTTAGCCGGTTGGTCGGATGATTTTTCTCGTCATGTGTCTGCTGGTTATTTCGTTCATGATGAAGAATGAAGAACAAACGGCATCGAGAATGACAGCAACCATGATGACAGCGGCGATTGTGAGCGTTATCGTCGTGATGATGACGAGCATGACGACGTCGATGATGCTGCGGTTGCTACTTGTACTGCTACTAGCAGGGGTCCTGTCAAAATTCACGACGATGCTGCTGATGATGACAAGTACAATAAGAAGAAGGAGTACAACGAGCAACGGCAATGTTTCTTATTTGAATATTTCCGTTCTCCTTGTTCCTCTGGTTCTCTTGTACCTTTTTTTTTTATCGCGGTCTTAGCTGACAGGTCCAGAAGGTCGAAAAGATCGTCCACAATCCTGTTGACCTGGAGGCACTGCCTGGGCATTGCATTAGGTTTTGGAGCTGTGGGTTTGATTCGACTTTGTTGCTCGAGCTGTGGCGATCTCGAGTTTGAGGGAGTGCGATTTCAAATCTTTGAGAATCAGCTTTCCATAACTCCATAACCACAGTCCTTCATGAACTTTTGAGTCGCGCTAGGAAGCTAAGTGCTTGAACCCTGGACGTCAGAGCACTTTCAAGTTCGAGGTGTGGCCCCAGATCGCCAAAATCTCCCAGCCCCTGAAGCTCTGATCGCCTAGAAACGCCCACAAGCGCCCAAACCCTAAGCCTAAGTACGAAGACGAGCCCTCAGCCTTAAGTCTGCTGCCTAGAAATTGCCCGGAGGTCGAAGTGCCGCGCCCCGTGGTCGTCGAGAAGGTGATTCAGGCAGACTCGAAACTTTAGAGCCACTTATAGGAACCTTCGACGGGACCCTTATAGGAATCCTTTGAAGAGACCCCCCTAAACCCTAAACCCTAAACCCGAAAAGGAGCCCTTAGAGGCTTCTTGGAGTTGCCGGGGCAGCTCTTAAAAAAGCGCAGGGTCTCGGGGTTTCTCTAAATTAGGGTCTCTTTTTGGGCTCCTTTTTTCTAAGGGTGCCGTGCTATTCTTGGGGCGCAAAAAGGGACCCTAATTTAGAGAACTACCCATATAGGGGTCTCAATGAAGGCTTACAAAAGGGTTCCACTCAGGGTTTTTACAAGAGATTGAATTTCGGGGCCTTGGTAATTTGAACAGGGTTTTGTGGATCGTACGTTATAAATAACAGGGATCATAAGGGAGTATGACTACGCATTCCTAGACTCTGTGTTCTTGGATACAGGGTTGAGGCCGAAACTCCAAGCTGTGAGCTCGAATTTTATGGCATCTGGATACAGGGGCCTAGATCATTGCCTACACTATTTTGGGGATTCCTTACTATAGTTATAGTTTAACCCTATTTGCATCATTAATGAGGCCCCTACGCTAGCAATTTCCGAGCAGCCCCAGTCCAACCACGTGAGAAAGCTCTGAAACCGGAAGCCCTACGGCCTGAAGAATACAATGCTAAGACCTGAAGCCACAAGCTGAACCCAAGAGGAAGGAAGGACGTGAAATCCTGAAAGCTCCAAGCCTGCGAGCTTGAAACCCTGGCAGTACGTAGCCCTCGAGTTAGGTGTGGTCCACTGTACGCTGTACGCATAGGGTGTTGAAAGCATGTCTGCTTCGAGGATCATGGGACTTAGTGCCTGGGGTTAGTTTAGGGTTAAGGGTTTAGGGTAACCACGCTTATAACTGCCTATAAACCTAATTAAGGTACTTATCACCCTACTAACTCCCATGACCCTCCAAGTAGGTAGCTTGCTTGCAGGGAGCCCTGAGCCAGAACAGCTTCACTTGAGATCGGCCCCCTGATCTGCTTCGGAGTTGTAGGTATGATGGGTTTTGGGGTTTAGGGTTTAGGGTTTAGGGTTCTTGGGAATCCAGGATTTAGGTAAAGTCATGGTGTCTACCCTAGTGTAAAAGATACCTTCAAGTGAGGCATCAGGATTGAGGGGCTTAATTTCAGGCGAGCCTGGGGTCTAGGGTCTGTGCAGGAGGAATGAGATGACACCCACCCTAAACCCTGGATCAGCAAACACCGTCAAATCCCGCACCTTAAACTTCGAGCCCGCAACAGCAACAATGCGTGCAGGTGCCCACGGTGCATGTGGAGGAGAAGGTGGTTCGCGTCCCCAAGGCCGGTTGGGTGCCAGGTTCAGTGTGTAGTCCATGGCGCTGCCAAGCATTGCTGCCTTCCGATTCGCTCTTTGTTGTGGGTTACCTTGGTGCTTGCGGGATAGATGTGGTCTTGCTGCAAACTGCTGTATAGACTGAGCCTGGACTTGTCAAAACTTGCTTAGTAGCAGACATTTTAAGCTCCTCGCGCACGAACTGATCTGTTCTGGATGAAGACGAAGACGAGTATCACTCATTCAGGCAAGCTAGAGCACAAGATCCATTGGCTTCTGGAATCTTCGATGAAAGTGCATGTCCCTCTGCTGGGCTCCCACACCGTCCCTCACTCATGTGATAAATACCTGTTCGGGCATCTGGCACAAGGCTGCAGAATTTAGGTCTTGAAATGGGTTCGCAGGTGTTGGCATTGACAGGATGTCAAGACTCCGAGAAATCTCGTGCTCTGCGTTCCCGTCTTGTTTGGCACGTTGTACACACGTAAGTCAGTCCTAAACCAAGGCCTCCGCAACAAGCTTGCTTTTGTTGGCTAGTTGTTTACTTGCACCGATTTTGCCAAAACCGCTATCCTTTCTTGTGATTCGTTTGCTGTTCTTGTGTCTGCTGCCAGCGTTTCGTGTGCCTGGATTACAGCTGCAACCTTCACTTCCATGCAGCTGTTGCGGGTGTGTGGTTTGATTGATCTCCAAACTCTGTCTTGCAAAGCATCCTCCGGTTCAAAGTGCCTTGAAAGCCTGTGCCACAAACTCCGAAGGCCCTACACAATCCCAGAGCCCTGAGGTGCTCAACACGGTGGTCAACACGACCGTCCAGAACACGGTGGAGACCGTGGAAGTTGTGAAGCCGGTGGTGGCCGGGGACCCAAGTGTCGGAATTCGGTGCTACAGGTTTATATGGGAGTTTCCGAAAAAGGGGGACCCTAACAGAATAGCCTAAGTAGTAGGATCCTTAGTATAAGGACCCCAAACTACCCATATATGTTCCTGGGGTTGCTGGTTTCAGGGTGCAGGTTTTTCAGGTCGAGGTGTCCCAGGATGCATGGCTCAGTCTGTCTTGGGCAGCTGCTGCCCTTGCAGTCGGTCGAAGCCTTGGGGAAATTGTAGGATTCCCTCATTACTCTTTTAGTTTCATCCAGAGCTCCTACGAGTAACCCCCTGAAGAAGGTCCTAAACCCTATACTTAAAGGTTTGAATCCTAACCCCTATACTGCCCTTAAGGTACCCTTTAAGGAAGGCCGCCGCTCATAAGGCTCAGAGGTAGACTCGACTGTCACTTGAAGGGAGGTTCCTGCCAAGACGCGTATGTCAGAGTTCCAGACCCCCGGGAGGATCTAGAAAGTAGATCCCCCCGTTTGGGGCCCTCTATACTACTAGTTACTAGGGGTACTTTATAGGAACCCCATTAAGGGATCTACTTGTTGGATCCTCCAAAGGGGGTCTGGGAGGGAATCTCAGAGCTGCGGGTATCTTCTGGAAAGAATCCTGGCTCCGCGAAGGTCCACAAGGTCGTTCAGCGCAAGAAGCCGATTATCCAGGAGGACAGGAACAGTTCTGGCAGTTCGTTCGACTTGCTTATCTGGCATATCATCTGCGTCCATGCTTTAGGGAGCGTTTCCCTGTGAACATAGCCGACTTCACCTCTTCCACTCAGCCTCCTGTTTCAGGACATCGTGCAGGTTCCCAAGGCAGGCAATTGCACATGGCTGGAGATCTGGGTGTGCACCTGCAACTAACTGGTTTCGATCGAGCTTTGGGATCATGGGCTTCGAGGGCTTAGGGTTTAGGTATAGGGTTCAGGGTTTAGGGTTTGCTTTGGCTTTTTTTCTCATGCATCCACCCCTCGCCGGACTCCGCAGACCTGGCCCGAACGGTCTAGCCACAGGTCATGGTCCAGGCCGTCCCTGTGCAGAAGGTCGTCGAGAAGCAGGCTGAAATCCATGAGTTTGAGGGCTTCTGGGACCCTCATATGGCGTCGAAGTACTGGCTACTCTACTAGGATCCTGATCGCCATCTCGGTATGCAGTGCCCCGACTTTTGCGGGTGTCCTTCAGGCTTGAACTGCTGCAGTCTGTACGCTGTGATGTCTCGCTTACCGAGCCAGCGGTCCTGAGTGATGCGTACCACGAAGATGACTGCTCATGATGTTTACTGATGACCATCAGGATGTCTGTGGCTGGTACTGTAGGGATTAGTGGTGGTGGTGGTGGTGCTCCGGCTGCTGCTGCTGCCGCTGGTTTTTCTTCTTGTTGTTGCCGCACTGGTGGTGCTGCTGCTGGTGGTGGTGTTTTTTATTATCATCGCTTTGCAGCTGTGTTGTTGATGTTTGTTTGTTTGTCTGTCTGCAACTCGGTTTGTTACGGTTCCACCTCTGGCTCTCTCCTGTCTTCGCGTCTCCTGTCAGCCTCCGGTACCATGGCCTCACTTGCAACCTGAAAGGTGTCGGTGCCAGTGGTGCAAGAGGTAGAGCAGATTGTGGACGTCCCGGTGGTCAAGCACAGGCTTCTTAGCAGTGGCATTCAGAGTTTGGGCAGTGTCGGCAGGGAAGTCCGATAGTTGCGCTGCGTAGTTCGCGTCGGTGCTATCGCGGCGACGACAAGGCCCAACACGCACCGCTGATGATGGGTTGCATTGCAGTCTGGTGCTCACCCAGCCCGGACGGGGAACTAGATTGGAGTCCTGCCGAAGCGACTTTACTAATGCCATCAGCAACTGAATGGCCAAAACACCCAACCCCCAGCAACCGTATCTAGCTTTAACAGCGCGAAGCCCTCACTCTGAAACCCGGAGCCCCTGTGTGTAGCCCTGGCTTTATTATACGATAACTATAACAAGGAACCTCCCCCCAAAAATAGTACCGTGGCATCATAAGAGTGCTTTAGGTTAGGTGTTCCTTTCTCGCCGTCAGCCTTGATCTCCGCAGCCCGGCCAGGCAGGTGCCTATTGTCCAGAAGGTGGAGAAGCAAATCCAGGCCAGCTTGGGGGGATGATGTGTAGGGTTTAGAGTTTAGGGTTTAGGATTTAGGGTTTAGGGTTTAAGCTACTTGTATAGGGTCCTTAAGGGAGGGTGGTTCAAGGGGGGAGGGCACAAGGGATTTTTTGGGAACCTTAAGGGAATATTAGGGAGCACTAGAGAGAACTAAGGATTAGTAGGCTATCTACCCCTTGGAACCCTCTCTCATAAGGATACTATTATACTTAAAGGTTCATGGGGCATAGTAACTAGGGTTACAATTAAGATAACTGTTAACTATACTTATAAGCAGTTATAACCCGAGTTAAGGAACTTATAACTGTAGTTACTAAGTCCCATGAACCTCCAAGTACAATGTGTCAGGATGGAGCGCAGACAGTGGCGTTTTTTCGTCATCTGTCTTGCCACTATCAGCATGTGGCCACTGCTCCGATGAGTTATTGCCGCTCTTGTTTTTGCTGCTGCTGTTGTTGCGGCCCTGGTTTACCATACCACCATCCGAGCCACCATCCGAGGCCGGCTGTCGCTATTACACAGATCAGATGGTTTTCAGCACAAGGGGCTGCGCAGCGGCAGCAGCAGCAGCAGCAGCAGCCAGCGATAGCGGCAATAGAACAGCAACAGCAGCTGCAACTGAATTGGCACACGCACAGTTCAAGCTTTGTCGGGCATCACCTCGGAACCATGACAATCCCCCTGCAAGCTTGCAAAGCATGACGGCGTCCGGTGCAGGCCCATGATACATCCTGCACAAGCTGCACATAGGGGCCTTAATGGTAATAAGGAACCCCCAGAACCCTATTCTGATTGTTCAGGCTTTAGCGTTTAATCCTCGTGCCAGAGAAAGCATCGTTCCCAGGTCCCTCAGGTGGAGTACACCGACCACCACATTGAGGTCCCGATCCACAAGCAGGTGCCACGGTGTTTGTCAGGACGTGCAGGCTGTGGGTGCCCTAAACCCTAAACCCTAAACCCTAAACCCTAAACCCTAAACCCTAAACCCTAAGCCCTAAACCCTAAACCTTAGTGGAGGGCTTAGCATGCAGTGTCTATGGCTTCGGGTCTGGAGTGTAAGATGCCAGATTGAATGGGGTCAACTTCAGGTTCCAAGCTTTGTTTCTGGCAGAGTGGCGGGGGCAAAACTCGCCAACCTTGCAATCTTCACAGATTTCGTCGGGTTTGAGGTTTCTTTCATTGAACCTGAACTTTGCTAGTACCCTTGCACTGACGATGATGACGGCGACAACTACCATGATTCGCGTGTGCAGCTGAATTTCATGCTGCAGTTCTTAGCAATGAAGGATTTACCATAGAGCCCAGAAGACTGCTGACCTTTGCCTTGTATTCCCGAGTTGAGCGAGTAGCAAGAAGTATGGCAACCGCATCATGTCCCAATCTGAGTATCGCTGCAACCTTTCGGCGTTCGTCTTCCTGCAGGTTTGAGATGTTGCTCTTGAAGTCTTCTGACTCCTTGCATGAACCGGATGGCCAGGTGCACGTGCCGATGATCCAGACCGTCACCAAGCAGGTGGAGGTCCCTCAGATCCAGTACGAAGATGAGGTCGTCGAGGTCCCCATTCAGAAGCAGGCGCGCTCGAGACCCCTTTTGGGCCAGGCATGGATGCCACTACAACTACTACTGCTGCTGCTGCTGCTCCTGCTACTACCACCACTGCCGCTGTGCGAGGGGGCTGGCTGGCTGGCTGGCTGTCAGCAGACACCTCCGTCTCTCTTCTCACCCAATGAGACCACCGCTGCCCGCCACGAGACAACTTGCTCACGCATCTATGAATGCCCCTGCTGCTGATGATGGTGCCGACTGGATGACAGCTAAGCATCAGCTTTGAGAGATAAAGCCATATTCCGAAAGGGAAGCTCGATGTCGCAATTTCAACACCTGCTGAACCCTTTGCCAATTGAACATTGTCGTTCTTATGGGATATCTCGGCGAGTTATTCTACCTTGCGTCAATTGTGCATCACTTATCATCTCTGTCGACAAGAGCCAAGACAGGTGCACGTGCCGGTGGTGCAGAAGGTCCAGAAAACCGTTAAGGTGCCCCAGGTCCAGTACGAGGACCCACGCCGCCTTTGGGGGGCTTTGACACCCTTGGAAATTATGACACGCCTTTGCCTGCAAGTACATCCTGGTGCTGTGAGCAGCTGGCTGAAGCAACTTTGCTTGACACGGGTAGTATAGGGGCCTACATGTTTGCCAATACTGTTTTTCGGGGTTCCTTGCTATAGTTATAGTATAATGGGCCCCCAAACCCTATTCTAATTATTCAGGCCCCAACATTAAAGCTCCAGACTCGCATGGCCAATATCTCGGTTCTGCCCCTCTTCCTCTTGCTTGCTTACTCGCTCGCTGGCGCTCGCTTGCCTGTCCTCCCTCCTTTCCTCACTTTCTCACTTGCTCATTCAATCTCACACTGAGCAGTACACCCTCACAGTTAAAGCGAGGACCAGATCGTCCAGGTTCCCATCCAGACGCAGGCGGGTGGGGTGGAAGACTGTTTCCTGCGCTTAGATGCTCGCTTCTGGACCAAGCACGATTGTTCCATACTTCATAGCGCGAAGCCTTATTGTTTCTCGGACGTTTTGAGCCGAGATTTGTCCAGTTCCATCGTCGACGTCGCCGGAGTGGGAAAAATCTCATTAGAAGAAGTGGTCGTGGTCATGCTGTGTGTGAGAAGTGGCAGTAGCAGCAGTGACAGTTGTAAGCCGTAGCGATAGTGCAGTACTCTGTGCTAAGCCCCAAGCCATAAACCCACAACCCTCAACCCAAAACCCCAAACCTCAGAATTTAAACCCTAGAAACTAAACCGTCAACCCTAAAACCTCAACTCTAAAACCCAAGCCGTCTACTGCAAACCCTAAAGCCTAAACCATCAACCCAATCCCCTAAAACTTGAGCCCTCAACCCCAAACGCTAAACCCTAAAGCCCAAATCATCATCCCTAAAACCCAAACCCTCTGCCCTTTCAAATAGCCCGGAGCTGGAGAACCACACGTGCTTGGAGGATCATATGCGGGTTCTAGGAGACTATATGTATTCCCATACATGATCCCTGAAACCCTAAACACTTGTAAATCCCTGATAGATCCCTTCTAGATCCCTTTCGGACTCCTTATAGAACCCGTTATGGAAGCCTTCTTTCGGATCCTAGCTAAGTGCGATGATCCTTCAAAGGGACCCTTACAGACATCTTTTAAAGCGACCCTGAAAAGAATCCTTTAACGGGACCCTAGAGGAACCCTTAAGGGGTCGGCCCCAAGGTCCAGGTGCCCATCGTCCAGAAGGTTCAGAAGACGGTGAAGGTTCCCCAGATCCAGTATGAGGACCCGGCTTTTGGATGTTTCTCATATATCCTTTCAGGTTGTAGGTGGTTTTGCAAGGGTCTTTTGAGGATTGCCTAAAGGCTATGTTTGGTTTTATAAGGGCTTTAGAAGGTGTGTATGGTTGTTATGAGGGTTGTATCGGGTTTTATTTGGTTGTATAGGGGCTTTAGAAGGTTGGATTTGCTTATGTCAGGCTGTTGTAAGATTGTTTCTGGTGTGTTTTTGCTTTCACAAAGGTTTTATAACGGTATGGGGATGGAATAGCTGGCTGTTATAGTAAGACTGACCCAGGAAAACTATCTACAGTCTCAGGAGAGTTTGTGTGTCAGATGAGCTGCGTTGCAAGGTCTTGATTTCGGTTGGTTTGCACTACTCAAGCTATTCGACAAGACGTGGCATCATTATCCCGTTTGCCAGGTGCGAGTGTCGAGAGGTGTCGTGAGGATATAGGAAATCCCCTCAAAGAGTAAGCCGTAATGGGTTGAGGGCCAAGGGGTGCACGGTTCCAGTCTTCGCGGCTTTCGAACTGCAGGGCTTTCTCGGTGCACCAGAGATCCTTCCGACCGTCTACAGCGGTGATGAGACTGATCAGCCACCCTCAACCCCGAACGCCTGGTTCGTGCTTGGATAGACTGTCGAGCAATACTTTGTCTCGACACGATCCCAAGCCCTGAACCCAACCTCACTGTCACTTCAAGCTTCAAGCCTGTATCTGAGGGAGCAGGCTTCCGGATTGATGCTCTGTTTTTTTCTCTCAGCTGCTTCAGAATTCCGAGCGTTTACATGTTCTAAACGCCAAGCACGAGCCAGGACCAAATCGTGGAGGTCCCAGTGCAGAAGCAGGTTCAGATCCCCATGGTCCAAACCGTGCAGAGGCAGATCGCCAAATTGTGAAAAAGCGTGACAGAGGTGCCACGAGTGACGGTCCACGGCCAGCGCCATGACGACGGCATCGTGCGTTCATTTCTCGTCTGAAAGAACTCGCTACAAATGTTCATAGTGCCGCGGGTACTCTCCTCATCATCGTCTTTGTGCTGAGATCTGAGCCACCGGAGTCGTGGTATTCAGCATGATGCAGCTACGTGTGATGATGGTGACAGTGGCAGTGATGATGAACATGCTCATGGCGTCGACGATAAAATCATGTTGATGACCCTGGCTGCGACAAACCAACTACACGAATCCGTCGTCGGAGGTAGGAGGCATGTGTTTGGGCCAGCGACTAGGCTCGTGGCCTGCGGGGCTCATGCAGGAATTCTGAATATGATAAGATCTGCATCCAGCGGGGCTTGCTTCCTCCAGGCAGGTGGAAGTGCCGCAGCTGCAGTACGAGGACACGAGCAAGTCGGTCGGGTGATGAATTGCAGGTTTGCATGCCAGGGCGGATTCATTGCAAGCGGCCTGTGAAGAAAGAGAGAGAGAGTTGTGAATTTGCCTACGTGTGAAACATGGGCGGAGAAACACAAAATGTCAGGAAGAGCCCCAAGTAACATTGATTGGTCTTTCATCGTTGTTTTGCACCACATATGGGGGAAGTAGTTGACTACAAGCATGTGTCTTTCGAGAGAGTACGGTCATTCTTTGTAGTTATGGCATACTTTATGGCACGAGCTTCGTAATGGCCTACACTCGTTCTTCACTCCCCTATGCCCGATAGCACATCGGGTGGGCAAGATGCTCGGGGGCTTTGACCGGCCCTCATGCCCAAGAGAGAGAGAGAGAGACAGAGAGAGCCACAGAGAGAGAGAGAGAGAGAGAGAGAGAGAGAGAGAGAGAACGAGAGAACGTGCAGGACCAGATCGTGGAGGTGCCGGTGCAGAAGCAGGTGCAGATCCCCATGGTCCAGACCGTGCAGAGGCACAAGGGGCACTCCAGCATGTCCCTGCGCAACTTAGAGGCTGGCACCTTGCTTTCCGACGCCCGGCTGCGCGTCACGACGTGAAAGTTGAAGCTTTCTATACCCCCAACCCCTCCTCAGTTGCAGTTCGCATCGGAGGCAGGTGGAAGTGCCGCAGCTGCAGTACGAGGACCCGTGCCGAGCTTCGCAGCTTCTTCGCAGGTCGCACCCTGGGGCCCTAAATACTCGTGAGCACTGAAAGGTTCAACCCGAAGGTGTGCATGAAATCTCATCCTTAATCCTAAAGCTCTCGATACATCGCCGTCTAGGACTTGGCGATCCTGCATCCCACACCTCCCATCAAGCTTTAGGATCTGTTGACTTGCGTTGAATGATAGGTTCATAGCCACTACTCGCACTGTTTTTTGTACTGTTCCTTGAAGTCTCCTCGTCTGATGTTAACCCATAACTAGTAGTCTTGCCAATCGCATTGTTGCTCGTGTTACCATTTCTGCTCTGACTGCGGTGACTATCTGCTTGACGTGACATTGATTCAGCTGCACAGTCTGCGAGTTGCACTCTGCAACTTAACGTTGGAGCCTGCGGGAGGACCAGATCGTCGAGGTGCCCATTCAAAAGCAGGTGCAGATCCCCATGGTCCAAACCGTGCAGAGGCGGGTCGGGCCTTGTGACTTCGGGTTGTAGGGGTCTTCGAGCGTTGTAGTGAGCTATTATGGGGTTCCTTATTCTGTTTATAGTAGAATGGGCCCAAAACCCAGTTCTAATTATTCTGCTACAGAAGTCTTCCGTTTGGTTCAGGGAAATGGGTTTGTGGTTCGACGGATTGTCTTCAGGGTTTTGCCAACTAAGCCCTTTACCCGGGTTCCTCATCTCCTGAACGAAGTTCTTGAACCTGTTTAAAGCTGCAGCCGGAGTGATGTGAGGGCCTCAGTCATTTTCGATTGCTTGTCGTATAGTATTCAGTAAGGCTGAGCTTTAGTTCATTCATGCGCAACCTACAGCCCAACAAAGCCCATCCGAGGTTTAAGCTTAAACCCTCAACCCATCATAGTTCAAGCTCCCAAAAGCACCCGTGGGTGCTCTCTTCCACATATGATCGGCTCACTGGCCCCAGGAAAGCTCAAAGCAGTTGGCTATCATGATGAATCTGACTAAAAGAGCTCGAGTATTCTTGTTATTGCTTGCTATTGCTTCTGTTATCATGCATAACTATAATATTGTTGTTATTATTAACATCATGATTATTATTATCGTTCTTCTTTTTCTTCGGGTTCTGCTTCTTCTGCTGCTTCTTTTGCTTCTTTTCGTGTTCTTGTTCCTAGTTTCGGCCACAGTCTCGAAAGCTTTAGTGCGTCCAGAATTGTCGGCGCTCGGAAAGGAACTATAACAACACGAAGACACAATCCTCATCATCATCATCATTATCATCATCATCATCTCCACCATCATCACCACAATCACCACCACTATCACCATCCTCACCCTCATCATAAACAGACCTTAAAAGCAACCTTGTCCCGAGGCAGGTGGAGATTCCACAGCTCCAGTACGAGGAACTCTGCGGTGCAGCTGTGTTGGGCAGATGGCAGCACGAGCAGAAGTGCTAAGCCTCAAACTGTTAGGCTCTAAGCATCTCTGGGCCCTATACCCACCGGAACCCCAACCCCAAAACTGTAAAACCCTCACAGGAAGTGTCATCGTCAGGATCAGGTCGTTCAGGTGCCGGTGCAGAAGCAGGTCCATGTGCCCATGGTGCAACAAGTCCAGAGGCCCGAGCTTTGACACAGGTGTAGGGTTCAGGGTTTAGGATTTAGGGTCTGAGCACGTACTTCAAGAGTTGTACAGGCGGAACGTACGTGTTTTATGTCTACGAGTCAGCCAGTCAGTCCATCAAGCTATCCATCCCTATACATGTCGCATGCATGCATGATTTTGCATGCCTGCATCCGTTCCGGACTACTTCATGCTGCACCTTTGGTGGGAGGGCGAGGGAGGATAGATGTTCGCGCAGATCTCGTGCATCCTGGCAGGGAAGTCGAGGTTCCTCAGATCCAGTACGAGGACCAGGTGGGTGGTTGTCAAAATTAGGGTCCCCTTTTAGGTACCCTGAATATGGTACCCTAAATATTAGGTGCCGTCTTATAGTAAGGACCCAAAAAGGACCCGAATTCTGACAACTACCCAGGTGGTTCAGATCCCCATCCAGAAGCAGGCGCAGCTGGGGAGCGAGGGGCCACCTTTCTTTGTGGTGTTGGCGATTGTAAAACGGTTTCGTGGGTGTTTTTCTGTTTTGCAATAGTACCCGACTGTAGCTATAATGCCCTAAAATATGCTATCTGATACTCTATCTCGAGTTTAGAGCCCAGGTGCACGTCCCCATGATCCAGACCGTGGAGAAGCAGGTGGAGGTGCCACAGATCCAGCCTTCCGGCAGCAAGAGCTCCCAGCTCAGTAGCTGCTTGAAAGAGGGTTGAAATAACAACATTAATAACAGTAATGGTAATAAAAATCGTCTAATACTACTAAGTAAAGTAGTTCGGTCAATGCTTGCCCAGGTACGTGGACAAGGTGGTGGAAGTGCCCGTCCAGAAGCACGTCCATGTTCCAATGGTCCAGACAGCTTCCTGGCGGCAAGACCCTTAAACCCCAAACCGTAAACCCTAAACCCTAAATCGTGAACCCCAAAAGAGCTCTGAGAATTGGTCAAATCAGCTCCCGCTCAGACGCAGCCGGATCAGGAGCTTTTGTCCCAAGGCATCTTCATCTCAAGCAACCTACCTCATGGTTTTCCCAAGGTGAACCGCGAGATTGAGATTCCACAGATCGAGTACATCGACTCTTGACCTCTCTTCTTCCTTACCTTTGGTTAGTAGGGAATGGAAGAATGGTAGTAATAGTAGTCATTGTACCCCATTCCTCCATTCCCTACTAACCAAAGGTAAGCTATAGGATTATTCAGCCCCCTATATTATAGTACCCTTATAGATCCCTTATTGTAACCCTTACAGATCCCTTATAGTACCCTTATAGATCCCTTATAGTACCCTAATAGATCCCAAACCCTGATGTCCGATTCCCTCCCGATTCTCTTCATGGCTCAGGTCTTTCAGGGCTTTCAGCTTCACTACTTGAAGAAGTCATATCGGGTCGTAGTACAAGAGTAATAGCAATAGCAAGAATCATATAGAAATTAAAAGTACTACCAATAGAATCTTAAAGTCTCCGGGGATTCTGCCGGCTGGATTGAGGGTACCCCAACTTCCCGCTGATGAAGCTGCGGCAAGGTCCTATCGCGGGCCCTAGGGTTGGGGGCGGGCCTTTGCAGATTACTAGGAGTTCAGCGTAGTATGTCGGTTTTCTGCGAGTGCCTGCAGAAGAACCTGGGATGCAGGACGGCGGACTTGTGCACAACTGGCACAAGTAATCCGCAATCGCTGTCAACATGAAGCTAGCTCTGGGTCTGTTAGTGGTTTCTGGATCTGCTTCGAGCGGTGAAGGCAGGCATGGTTTGCTCAGCTAGGCCAGTCTCAACACCAAGGAGTCTCAACACCGGTAAACTCCGATGTGAGAATCCCGAATCGCAGACGAAATGCCGAAGCTTTCAACACCGAGGACCAGCACGTGCACATCCCTATCCAGAAGCATCGCCACGTCCCCGTGCAGATCCCTGTCGAGCGCCCCGTGGAGGCCCGGAATATGGAGGTGTTCCATCATGTGACACGATAGGTATGTGCACATATGGGCTTCTGGTATGTATGTATGTATGTATGTATTTATGTATTTTTGTATGGTTGTATGTATGTATCTATGCCTGCACCACATGCCATGACAAAGCTCGTAACCATCGCGCCTGTCACCATCATTGTCACAACTTAGACCCTAAACCCGAAACCCTAAACAAACCCTAAACCCTAAACCCGAAACCCTAAACCCCTGAACCCTAAACCCTAAACCCTAAGTCTCCAGATCTCTGCAGGTCAACGTGATCGAGACCACGGAGAAGGTCGTGGACATCCCGGTGGTGAAGCAGCGCGAGGTTCCACAGGCAGGAGACCTTGGACCGAGCTCCTGAGCATTGTGCTTGTGAGGCCTTAATATCAGGGACCCAAAAAGCACATAAGCACAAGCATTTTACAGGCATGTCCCTACCTTATTGGGCTTCATTATATTGGAGTTTATATGGGATATCCCTATCTTAAGTTTTGCTTATGTGCCTTTTTGGGGCCGAGGAATTGTTAGCTATACTGTTTTGCGGGGTTTCTTGTTATAATTATAGTACAGTATACCCCCAAACCCTATTCTAGTTGTTAAGGCCCCTTTATTTCGCTCTAAGTCCTACACCCTAAGCCCTACAGATCCCTGCATCCCCAATTCTCCGAGAAAGCTGTTCCTGGCTTTCCGTGGCACGACCCCAACCAGTAAGAATAGGCCCAAGCCAGAGCAGCCACAAAGGCAAACCATAGCTTTACCCGCAACATGTCTGTTATGCTGATAGTTCTTCACGGCAGCCTTATACTTTGTTGTAGGTGATACGATCGTGATGATTGTAGATGGATGTGTGTGCTTGCTCACTTATCTTTGTTGTCATAGGAGAAAGGCTGCGGAGGATCTTGGACATAATCAGTAGAATAGAACAGAATAGGATAAAAGAGACCGTAGCATAGTATAATATAATGTAATGGCCGGGTCATTTTGACTCGCAGCGTGGGTCCGATCCTGTAGAGCCCATCGTGTCCGGATCGGTTGCACCACATGCATGCGGAATCCTGGAAGTTTTGCTACATTCATGTGACCTATGATCATTTGATGCTTATTGCTATTCTGCTCGTTACTATGATTGTTCTCGTTCTTCTGATTTGTAGTGTTATTGGATTGTTATTGCCAGTTCTTCCATCATTATGTCGAGTGCAGGTCCAGACCATCGAGCGCGTGGTGGAGATCCCCATGGCCGAACCCTGAAATGGAACCAGCACGTAGAAACAAGGGAGGGGGCACTTTTGGGGTTTATAGCGGCTTTAAAACCGGATTTTGTCCGAGGTGAATTGTCTTTAGACTTCTTCTGGCTTTTGCTGGTTTGCAGGCTTCAGGGTTTTGGTTTTACTTCTCAGTTTGAGCTTTTTTGGGTTCCACGTCTCTTTCTTGGTCCTATGGATGTCAGCGGCTGTATGCACATACCGGGCTTGAGGGAGGTGGTACTGTTGATGGACAAAATCCTGCATTACTCATTATAAGGAATATACCATAGTTCCCATAGTTTAGAGTCCTTAGGGTCATGCAGGATTTTGTCCATCAGCGGTACTTCTCCCAGAGTTGCGGTGTTTGGAGCTTTTGGGCTCCGGGCCTTCAGGGGATCGGACCCTTAACCGCAAAGGCAACCCCATAGATAAAAGAGCCGCCTTCTAGATCCACTGAAGGAATTCTTAAAGGAGCCCCGAAAGGGAACCCCTCTTAAAAGTGCCCTTAACAAGAACGCTGAAAGGTTCCCCTTAAAGGAGTCTAAAACTCCGAGGTGCAGGTGGTGCAGAAGGTCGTGGAAGTCCAGCAGGACATGCTGGGACACGGGGGCCTCGCTGCGATAATTAGAGAAAGGGGTTAGGGGCTGATTCGCGGTTTCGAGTCGAGTCCTGGGATTTTGCATTTTGGAGTTGTGCGCTTCTTCCATTTTCCGTTTGAGGGTCTCTGATTAAGGTGTGAGGGTTATGGCTGAGAGCCCGCGCGCAACCACCAGACCAGTAGTGACAACATTGGTCTCCTTCAGTAAATGTCGAAGTGTGCCCCACTACTGTCGTTGCCATTACATTACTGTTTCTGTTCCTGTTCCATGGATATCCATTCACACTGTAATTGTTGCTCCGATCGTTCCCTTTTCCTCTGTTCGTGTTGTGCTTTGAGTTTGTACAAGCTTTGCTGCACAGAACCCCTGTGAAATGTATGGAAAAAGCCCTTCCGCAACCCTCGAAAGCTCCTTTCAAGCCGTTCTAGATCTCTGTGAAGGCGTCACAGTTGGTGTTCCGCTCCGCTCTGAGCTCAAAACCATACAGGCCCAACACCTGCCAGCCATGACTCCTTTAGCCGGATCAGGCACATCAGTGTCATCAGTTCTGGTCGTTGTCAGGTTGTTGCTTTGACCAGGATTTCGACGGCCCCTGCTGTGATATTCTGACCGAGAGTCTTGCTATTCCATTGATGGTTGCAATTGAAACTGTTGTGCTCAAGCTGCCTCAACCCCGGAGACCGAGAATCTCGCCGAAGCCTTAAACAACGAATGGAACCTTGTTAAACAGACACCACTTACTGCTAGAGCCCTGCAGAATGCACTGAAGCCCAAAGCCCCCAGCCGGACCAGGAGGGACAGACCATTCGTGGCACGGTCAACGAGGTGGATGTCCCAGGAGAGCGCCGCCGCGAGGTTGGCTGGGGCTGTCGGGCTTCAGGGTCTGGGTTAGGGTTTGGGGTGCGGGGTTCGGGGTTTTGGGTTCAAAGCTTAGGTTGGGGCTTACACTGAGTACATCAACTATCCGCTCCAGGCCCTGCGCCGCATAGAGATTCTGGGATATTCCATTTGCTGTCCCGGCGTCTGCGCGGCTGAAACATCGAGTATGTATCTACATAACTACTGTAGATTACTATGTACAGATCTACATGCGTGTGTAAGTTTTCATGTATAGACCTACTTTTCCTCTGCCCCACCTTTCTTTGGCCCTCAAAGCCGCGCACCCTCCGGTATAATTCGACTGGAGCGTCTGAGTCAGGGCCGAGGCCCCCCGGATGACGCTGATGCACTGGGTTACCTTTGGTTAGTATGAAATGGAGGAATGGGGTACAATTTTAACTACTGTTGCTACCATTTTCCATTCCCTACTAACCAAAGGTAAGGGTTGTGCTGGGGTTGGTTTGGCTTTAAGGGGTCCTTACCATTTGTAATAGTACGGTTGATGATATAGATCCTGCATTGCCTTAATGACCCTAGACTGTGGGAATTATGGTATATTCCTCATGAGTGATGTAGGATTTATATCATCAACCGTATTTCGATTTAGGCGGAGGCCACGTTGCCGTTGTTATGGTCCGATCTTGTGTCTTTGCACATTTCGCAGGAAAATTCATTGCATAATGCCTTCGGAAACTTGGAGACATAGGGCCTGACAGCAGTTGAGGCAACAACTTCTTCTGTGCCATTCATGGACGATTGGATCAGACTTTGCCAGCACCTGTGAAACTCATAGTCCTCCTGCAACCCGAACCAGGGTCACGTTTTGCAAACCCCAAGCTGTCCGGACATATATAATTGCCTGTTCGGTACCGTGATGCAGGAGCACCCGACGCAGACTGTGCAGCAGGCCAGCTTCGGAAATGGCTGTGGCTTTGGAAAGTCTTCGGAGATTTCACTGTATGCAGCTATGCTGGTTGAATTTATGGGGCCAAGACGGTCTTCAAATTCAACTGCTGCTGTTGTTGGTGGGGGAGGTGGTGCTGCTGTTTTCACATGTATTGTGTGGATCCACCAACTGCTTAAATTCTCCATGGAACCATACCGTAGCAGGGACAGGGCTGGTGCATTCCAGGTCTTGGCTGGCCAGCCTCACCCAGTGGAGGTGGTCCAGGGACAGGCTGGGTGTCCGGAAATGCAGGTGAAGATGGTAAGCCTGGGTTTAGTCGGTAGGAGAGATGCCTTTGAGAGAGGGTGATAGCCGGGAGCTTTGAAGGCGCTTTGATCAGGTTCGTGGCGGGATGATATCGGTCGCTGCGTAGATTCGCACTGTTTCCATCTTCCGTGACGGATGCTTTCAGCTGGATTTCGGTTGGGAGAGCATGCAGCGAGTCAATCAAGATAAGTGAGGCGCAGGAGAAGCCGAAGAACTTGCGATAAATTTGCTTCATCGCCTCAGCCAGCCCTCACCCCTAAAGCCTAAAGCCCTTCCTCAAACACCAACACTCTCACCACCCTGGACCCTGTGAAGTGGAGCCTTGGATACTAGTCTTCAGAAAAGCCCCATAGTCATCCTCCGCTAATCCCAAATACCCCTTAGACTTGGCCTTAAACCCTAAACCCTAAACCTCAAATCCCAAAGGAAATGCCACGTAAAGAAGACTCTTTTCACACCACCAAAGCAACGCGGCCGCGGCGAGGTGACCGATGCCCCGGCACCGCAGCCGGCGCAGGTACGGGGTTCCGCAATGGCTTTGCAGGTTCCTGTAAGGGTTTCTGTAAGGGTGTCTATAAAGGTTTCTAGAAAGGAGTTCCTATCAAGGCTTCGGTAAGGATTTTTTCAATGCTTCCCATATTCTGGGTTTTTTTCTGAGGGTTTTGCGAAGGCTTTGGATCAGCGTGTGAAAGCTGTAGAGTTGCCTGCGTGCCTGAAGGCCCTAGGCAGATACAGATAAAGGTGAATAGGCCTCCGCCCTAAAACCCAAGCCGGAAAGCTTAAACTCTTAACATAACACTTCAGAGGCCAACTTGCAAACCCAGAGCCACAAATCCACCAGCGAAAACCGCACAACCCCAACGCCCAAAATTCCACCACAAAAACTCCGAATCCTAAAACTACTCAAGAACCGATAAGACTTTCTTACAACAAGCCACATGGTGCCCGTACCAGTTCGCTGCTCCAACCACGATGCCGTCCGAGGCCTGCGCAGGAAAGGAGTAGTAACAGTACCGTGGCAGAAGTGGTGGCAGTAGTCGTGGCAGAAGAAGTAGTAGTAGCAGCAGCAGCAGCAACAGGAGTAGTAGTAGTTGTAGTAGTAGTAGTAGTAGTAGCAGTAGTAGTACTAGTAGAAGAAGAAGTAGTAGCAGTAGTAGTAGGAGGTAGCAGCAGGAGGAGGAGGGGTGGTAGGGTAGTAGTAGTGGTGGTGGTGGTGGCGGTAGTGGTGTGGTGGGAGCGGCAGTGGTGGTAGTGGTAGTGGTAGTGGTGGTGGTAGTGGTAGTGGTAAGTGGCAGTTGTACTGGTAGTGGTGGTAGTAGTAGTAGTAGTGGTGGTAGCAGTAGCAGTAGCAGTAGCAGTAGCAGTAGCCGTAGTAGTAGTAGTAGCAGCAGCAGTAGTAGTAGTAGCAGTAGTAGCAGTAGTAGCAGTAGCAGCAGTAGCAGTAGCAGTAGTAGTGATAGTAGTAGTAGCAGTAGTAGTAGTAGTAGTAGTAGTAGTAGTAGTAGTAGTAGTAGTAGTAGTAGTAGTAGTAGTAGAGTAGTAGAGTAGTAGAGTAGTAGAGTAGTAGATTAGTAGAGTAGTAGAGTAGAGTAGTAGTAGTAGTAGTAGTAGTAGTACTAGTAGTAGTAGTAGTAGTAGTAGTAGTAGTAGTAGTAGTAGTAGTAGTAGTAGTAGTAGTAGTAGTAGTAGTAGTAGTAGTAGTAGTAGTAGTAGTAGTAGTAGGTAGTAGTAGTAAGTAGTAGTAGTAGTAGTAGTAGTAGTAGTAGGTAGTAGTAGTATAGTAGTAGTAGTAGCACCACTACCACTACCACTACCACCACTACCACTACCACTACCACTACCACTACCACTACCACTACCACTACCACTACCACTACCACTACCACTACCACTACCACTACCACGACCACGACCACGACCACGACCACGACCACGACCACTACCACTACCACTACCACTACCACGACACCACCACCACTACCGCTACCACGACACCACCACCACCACCACCACCACCACCACCACCACCACCACCACCACCACCACCACCACCACCACCACCACCACCACCACCACCACCACCACCACGACACCACCACCACCACCACCACCACCACCACCACCACCACCACGACCACCATCACCACCACCACCACCACCACCACCACCACCACCACCACCACCACCACCACCACCACCACCACCACCACCACCACCACCACCACCACCACCACCACATTTATTACAGCTAGCACTGCGACGACGGCATCTCAGCAGGTTTGCCCCAGGATTCAGTAGGAGTCAAGCAGCCCAACATGTTGCTTCTTGTCAGCGCCATGCAGGGTGCAGTCTTCGCGGCCCCAGCATCGCAGCCGCCGCCGGGCGCCATCTTCGCAGCACCTGTGGCTCAGGTGGCGAGAGTCGGACTGATTCACGATGCAAGGGCTGCAAGGGACGCGATCGTGGTAGCAAGCCTTTGCAGGCACTAACATATAGGAGCACAGATTGTTATGCCTGTTGTGGTTGTGTTTTTTCGTGTTCTGTTGGTTGTGAGTACGACGACGATGACGATGATGACTGTCGGGATGACGATCATAATGAGGACGATGCAGAGTTTCATGATGTTGAGTATGATTCCTGGCACTGCCATAGTAAAGATACCCGTGACATTGCTGAGTTGTACTACTTCTCGTACCACGACCACTGCTACTGCTGCTACGACTGCTACCGCTACTGCCGCTGCTGCTGCAATCACCACGAAGAAATCCCGCCACCCCCACCACCACCCACCACCACCACCACCGCCACCACCACCACCCACCACCACCACCACCACCACCACCACCACCACCACCACCACCACCACCACCACCACCACCACCACCACCACCACCACCACCACCACCACCACCACCACCACCACCACCACCACCACCACCACCACCACCACCACCACCACCACCACCACCACCCCACCACCACCACCACCACCACCACCACCACCACCACCACCACCAACCACCACCACCCACCACCACCACCACCACCACCACCACCACCCACCACCACCACCACCACAACCACTACCACTACTACTACTACTACTACTACTACTACTACTACTACTACTACTACTACTAGCACTACTACTACTAGTACCACTACTACTACTACTACTACTACTACTACTACTACTACTACCACTACTACTACTACTACTACTACTACTACTACTACTACTACTACTACTACTACTGCTACTGCTACTGCTACTGCTACTGCTACTGCTACTGCTACTGCTACTACTACTACCACTGCTACTACTGCAGCGGCAGCAACGATGAAGACGACGACCGTCTAAGATGCAGAAGACAGCGACAATGAATACTTCGACCACCAGCACGGACACAACGACGACGTTGACGACGAGGATTCGAGACAGGATGAGGAGGACAATGATGATGCTTGATGCTGATGAATAATCGACATGTCGGATTTCGACATGCTCTCACAGTCAGCATTTCAACGCAATCTTCTTGAAGGCTCCTACAACGACCACGGTTGGTGAGCCGGTGTACCTTCCTCCAATCACTGCTCCAGCGGAGGCATGGTGAGATCGGAATTTCCAGACGTCGTCTGCGGCACACGTGTGCTTGCCGCCTGTTGTGCTCTAAACACTGGCTTCGTGACGACACTTGCGCAGTCGGCTCCCGCCGTGGTCAGCGAGACCGCGCCGCCGGGTGCCATTTTCGCAGCACCCGCAATGCAGGCCGAAGAGCTGGTTTAGCAAGTCCGACTCTAGCTTGAATTTCGCTGGATTATCTTCATCTTGCCGTAGTACGTGCCGTTGCTGAAGTAGGTGGGAAGCGGCATGCATCATCCTGAAGCGCAGTCGGGTCAGGCCCCCGCCACGACGACAATCGGCGAGCCGGTGTACCTGCCACCCATTACCGCACCGGCCGAGGTGCAGCACTGCCACGTAGTAGTTGCATGTTAAGTGGTGAAAGTTTCAGTCGATGATCTGTATGTAAGTACAGGGATAGTGCAGCGAGACTTCGGGATCAGGGGGGCGATTTCAGGGATACCATCATGGGCCGAGGCGGGTCGAACAAGGTTCGGAAGCCTGCATCGCACAGGGCGCGCCGCAGACGATCAGCGCCATGCCACCTCAGGGTGCCATCTTCGCGGCGCCAGCGACGCAGGCAACTGTTGTTGCAGGGGTTTGCGATGCCTCAGCTTTGCACATGTTGGCATCTGGGGCACTTGGCTGAGCTCTGAGCTGGTAGCGACACCGGCTTGCATGATCGTTTGAAGCAGTGCGCCAGGTCCCCACGACAACAACGATCGGTGAGGCGGTCTACCTGCCACCCATCACGGCACCTGCAGAGGTGCGCGAACGCTGCTGACATGCCGGCAACGGGTTCCATACCATGGTTCCATCACTCCAGTCATCTCCAAATCTTGGCAGCTGCCCTGCAGAACTCCGTAGAAACTCATTGCCTCTGTTGAAATTCACTGTCTTATCTAGGCAGGTGATGAGGCTAGAGTTCGATTTAATTTCAGGCCGGCGACGTCAGGTTTAAGTGGGCCATCAAGGGCCAAGGTAGGTCGACTCACAATCTGGTGCTTCGGGTGTCTTGCAAGTCAACAGACGTGAGGGACTTGGGGCTATGAGATGCATGCAAGCCGGAAGCCTGCGTCGGACAGGGCGCTCCTCAGACGATCAGCGCCATGCCACCTCAGGGTGCCATCTTCGCAGCGCCGGCAACGCAGGCGCCGGCGTTGCCTCGGCTCGGGACATGTTGAGACATCGAGGGCATCTGTGGCACTTGGCTAAGTTCTGAGCCGGTAGCAACACCGACTTGCCCGATCGTTGGAAGCAACAAGCCAGGTCCCTGCCACAACTACGATCGGTGAGGCGGTCTACCTGCCACCCATCACGGCACCTGCACAGGCACGCCCTCCAGATATCTGGGACCTGAAAGCCTCAACGAAAGAGCTGAGACGTCTCTTTGTGATCTTTGTTCGCTGGCAACGGGTGATCGGGAGCTCATGGGGACGAACCCCTAGATCAGGTTAGGCACGTCTCTTTGTGGACCGGTTTGTGCCCCTTGAAAGCGTATTTCCAAAAGCCGGGCCCTTAAGCCACTTGCTGGAAGCTAGAAGCTAGAAATCTCAGAATCGGCGTGCAATATGTCGGTTGCTGTGGAGGTTGCAGTGCTCAGTGGCAGGGCAGCCACCGAAAAAGCAGACCCAGAGCAACATTGAAACTTCGAGCGCAGAATGATCTTGGAGTTGGAAAAGGGAGCCTGGTCAACCCGTGTGGAAGTCCTTTGGATGCATCTTCGACGATCAAGGATGCCGGGCTTCAGAGTGGCGACTCCCTGACTATGCACCTGAAGCATGTTCAAGCCGCTACCGCCGCATTTGCTGCCATTCTTGGAGACGGATCTATCGCGACCTGGGGCGATGCTGGCCATGGTGCTGACAGTAGTGCTGTGCAGGATCAGCTGAAGAATGTGCAGCAGATCCAGTCTCCGATCTTATTGACAGTGACTCTGCCATGACCTGGGGTGAGATGATCTTTGTGGTGGTGACGACAGTGAATTGCCAGCGCAAGAACAGATAAAGCTTAGTACCAGCTAGCCCCACGTGCAGGAGCTAGCGGCTACAGCTGCTCCGTCCACGGGCTGTTCGCAAGTCAATGTTAGCTGTAACACTGCGGCTGAAGCTCAGGAAGAATTTGCAGCCCAAACTGGGACAGCGCTCGTGCCAGAATCCCACCCTGTTCCTCGCGCAGCGACGGCTAGAACCTGGTTTCCCTTGCTGCTTTGGGTTACCACTCGACTGTTCAGAGTCTTTGTAGGAACCTGATCAAGAAACCCTGGGCCTATACCCCCAAATAGTAGGACGCATATAAGGAACCCTTATAAAGGCCCAAGGTTTCTTGATCAGGTTAAGACAACCCAAAGGGCTTGAAGCTTCAGGGTGTGCCTCGACCGGATATGAAACTCTATCGGAAAACCCGAGCTTGCCTGGCCTCACCATCACAGAGAGGAAGGCCAGCGAAGGGGAAGGGAAGCCTTGAACAACCAAGGCCCCAAACCCCGAACCCAAGCAGACACCTTCATAAGATACGTAAGAACCCTGCAACCTTAAGCCATGAACCGCAACCCTAAGTCCCTTACGGAGCTCCTGTCGAGGCCTTTTTGACCTTCAAGAACCCTTGACGATACCCTACCTCCTAAATCCTAAACCCCAAATCTTCTGAACAGGGCATGCCCCAGACCATGGCTGGTATGCCTCCCCCGGGAGCGATCTTTGCAGCACCGGCGGCGCAGGTGGCTTGGGATTCAGGGTTGAGGGGTTTATGGGATCAGCGTATAGGGTCCATGGTTCAGGGTTGATCATTTGCTTCTAGTGGGGTTCTAGAAGGGTGTAGTGTAGGGGTTTTGAGGTTCGGGGTAGCGGGTTTAGAGGGTTCAGGGTTACAAGGGGCTGAGGGCTGATGGTCGAGGCTTCGGGTTCGGGGTTAGTCTGTAGAAACCCGGCTCTTCGAGACCCAAAAATTTGCCCTAAAACCCGTCTGAAATCATAAGCCCGTGGCAAGGGCCCTGCAACGGTCGGCCAGCCGGTCTACCTGCCACCAGTGACCGTTGCCGGAGGGCAGGACGGGGCCTCAAGAGTTTGGGGCTCGTTGGAGCCGGAAGTGTCGGGGTTCAAGGTTCAGTCGCGGTCAATCAAAGACATCTCTGAGTTTGGGGGCTGTGTTCCTCGCGCGCGACTCCGGAAGAAGGCTTACTTTCAAGTTTCCTAGGCTCTAAGAACCCTAAACCCTAAACCCTAACCCCTAAACCCTAAACCCTAAACCCCTAAACCCTAAACCCCTAAACCCACTCCATGCTTAAACGTGCGGCTTCGTAGCCCAAGCCAAGCTCCCAGACGATTCCTGGGGCCAAACTGCGCGGTCTCGAGGGAGCCCAGGAGTCGGAAGCTCTAAACACGCCTCAGAGCTCCCACGGAAGCCCTAAACCCTACCCCTTTATAGGCTCTAAGGACCCGTATTTTAAGGCTTTTGGACCCAAAGACCATACTATATATGGTCACGCGCTCTGCAGCCCCCCCCCTCCCCCAAAAGGTCAATGGTCCGGATATAGGGTGGGGCCCCCGCCTCCCCTGTGGTGTGGGGTGTGGGGTTCCTCTTCCCCCGGTGGGTGGTTGTGGGGTTTTGGGGTTAAGAGTTTAGCTTAAGCTTTTGAGTTTTGGGTTTACGGCTACAAGGTATAAGGCTTCAAGTCGACAAGGGCTTAGGGAGGATTTGCGGTGTATGCTCTGCTTTAGGCTTAGAGCCTGCAGTTAGGTGGGGCTTAGGGTTGGGTGTAGCGTTTTAAGTACAAGTTAAGGTTGCTCAAAACCGGGGCACGCGCTGCGTCATAGGGTTTACGGCTTGCTTGCGAAGGCTTGCGCGTGAGCCCTGGCCGCCAGCACCACCCCACTATCCAGGTGGCAGCTCCAACGGCCCCAACCCCTTTCCGCACACGCCAGGCCCCCCCCCCCACCCCTGTCAGACCATACCATTGGGGGGGGGGACTGGGAACGCCAGACGCCTGACCACATAAGGCTCTTGGGCTATTTTGAGCCTTAGGGCACTGGTACACCCTGAACCGTAACCCTTTACCGCCAAGAGTCCACTTACTGGGGTTTGGGGCTTTGCAACTCCGACAGAATCGAAACTTTCCCAAGCAATCCTCAAACCCAAACAAACCCTACAGCCCCAACAAACCCAAAAAAACCTAAACCCAAATCCCCCTAAACCCTAATCCCTAAACCCTAATCCCTAAACCCTAAATCCCTAAACCCTAAACCCCCCAAAAACCCCGACAAGAACCTAGCAAAACAACACAAAGAGCACTCCAAGCCTCAGGCTCCTGGCCGGGGCCCCAACTCTACGCTCGGGTTTAGGCATTAGGGTTTAGGGGTTTGGGGGTTTAGGGATTAGGGTTTAGGGTTTCAGGGTGTTATGGGTTTAGGGGGTTTAGGGATTAGGGGTTTAGGTTTTAGGGGTGTAGGGTTTAGGGTTTAGGGTTTAGGGGGTTTCGGGTGTTACGGGTTTAGGAGGTACCAGGGTTTCGGGTTTATGGGTTTAGGGGGCTTCAGGGGTTTAGTGCTTTGAGTTGCGGGTTCCCTGCCTGGGCGTGTACGGCCAGACTCCACAATCGTTCCGAAGTTCCATCGTGGTAGTATGGCATTCTTGGCTTCAGGGTTTCGAGATTTAGGGGGAACGCTGCAAAGTGGCCGTGGTATTTATGGACCTAGTACTCACGCAGTAGTGCGACTCATTGTTTCTGCTTGCATTCACAAAAAGTATGTATATGCAAATATGCTCTGTACATGTACCTGTAAACCTATTGTAAACCTGCAAGAGCAATAGCAAAACCGACAGAGGCGATATGGTAGGATCATACGCACAGCCTTGAAAACGCTTGTCGATGGTAGGGAGGTAGGTATTGAGGGAGGGAGGTCGGGAGGCGGGGAGGTGGGGAGGGGCAGGGAGGTAGGTAGGTAGGTAGGAAGGTAGTCGGAATGTAGATAGGTAGGTAGGTATATCTGTTTCTATGTGTATGTACATATATATATATACACATAAATACATACGCAGATATCTCTCCGTAAGTATGGAAGCACGTGCTTGCCACAATCATAGCCGCGAGTGTAAGGTCAAAATGCGTGGTAGCTGAGCTGGAAAGCGACCTGATTAGCAGTACCGATGGCTCTCGTGGTACTGTACGTGGAATGTGAGACCCTTTGCAAGTCCTGTGTGGATTTTGATTGATTCAACATACCGATAGTTGGTGCCCCGAGCCTACAACAAACATACCAAGCCTGAGCCCTTTTCCCTGCCTCCCCAAGGCACTGCGTACCCTGGCACCATGATTCCCGGCACCATGGTTCCCGGCACCATGGTCCCCGGCACCATGGTTCCCGGCACCATGGTCCCCGGCACCGTGGCTGGTGCAGCGGCCACCGACATCTTCTCCATGATGGACAGGGCTTCGGGTTAGCCTTTATGTTCTGAGGTTTAGGTGTCAGAGTGGGTAGATTTCCTAAGAAATGACGACGACGGCTGATACTGCCAACAAAACCATCACCTGTAACTCTTGGGTCGTAGATACAACAGACACCTGCACATGGGACACGGTTGCCTGATTTGCATGACTGTCTCTTGTAGTTGACAATCCGCCAGTACGACTATGTTCCGCACATCTGGAGACGTGTTCCCCATTGCAAGCAATTTGATGATGGCTTTGAGTCTTACAGGCATTCCAGGTCGACAAAAATTCCAAGGCAAGTCAGACATCTTCGTGAAGGTTTTGCGCACAACAGCTTTGCTTAGCTAGCACTCTTTGCTCGTCTATGTACCCCTGCTATTCTGCCCAGCTTCTCCTCCCACCTGTTGGGTGCTTGGCTGATCGGTACTTTGCTGATCCCAAGAGTCGGTTAACAGGAGAGCCTGAGAATTATATTATTCTCTGCAAAGGCTGTTCCGTGTTGAGCTGTTCGAAACATCGTGCGACATCAAAGCATAAGTCAGAACTTCCAAGCCCTTAAACCCTTCCAACTCAACATCCCTTCCAGAACTAGCAGTTGCTCTTCCCAGAGCTTCCACCTCAATACCTAGAACTCCCCAAGAAACCAGATTCCAGGACACGAACAACGACGGTGTCGTTTCGCGAGCAGAGCCGCCACCCAAGCAGTGGCAGCCCACAAGCCGTTAGGTTTTGGCATTTCTGGCAGAAGGGTTTGGGAGGAAGAGAGCAGGCGTGGGAGTAGGGGTAGCAAGAGTCGTCGTCTTAGTAGGTCGACGTTGGCGACCAGGAAGGCGAGCACAATGAAGACTCGACCGCAACAGCAGCAACAGCATCAACCGCGACCCGTGACGACGATTATTTCTTCACGACGACGACTACTACTACTGCTACCTGCGTACTCCGTACCATCACCACCACCACTACCACTACCACTACCACTGCCCTTTTCTTTGCTCCTGCCACTGCCACTGCCACTGCGACGACAGCGACGACGACGACTACTACTGCTACCACTGCTACTACTGCTACTGATACTACGTACTCGTTCTGGTGCTACACATCCTGCTCCCTCCTCCTCTGCCTGTGCTGCTGTTGCTGTTGCTCCTCCGACTGCGACTGTGACTGCGACTACGACTACGGCTAAGAGTCTTGCTACCGTGGTAAATGCATAGGCTGAGCCTGAGCAAGTGCTCTGACAGTAGTATGACCTGCCGCAAGCGTAGGGAACACGTTTGCCAACAAAATGAAGAGGTTTGCTGCTGCTATGCAATCCGGCGGCATCGCCCCGGTCGGGGCCGATGTCCCAGCGCGTTGTGATCCGGCTTTCAGAGTTTTGAGACTGCCACAATTGTCTCAGCATCACAGCTTGTTCCGTTTGTGTCTAAAGATATCTTAAGGTGTTCTGTTGTGGACGGTTTCAAGACCAAGTAGAGGTGCACGTCCAAGATGGTTGTCAGGTTGACAGGAGTGCATGGATTTGCGAGTATCTTCGATGCATCGTTCCGGGCTGAGGGCTTAACGGTTTAGCGGCAAAGAGGTTGGGACACAGAAATCGCGGCCCCGCCGCACCGTTGGTTTGTCCTGGGGTGGTTTAGAGGCTTCAGGACTTTTCGGGTGAATGACCCCAGTTCAGGTCTTGCGGCCGTTGCAGTGGCTGGCAGACATGACAGACAGCTGTGCGAAAGCTGTAAGCATCCATAAATCCTGTACCCTGAACCCTATACTGACCGAAGCAGGAAGGAACAGAGCCCTCAACAGTGAATCCTGGACCGTGAATCCTGGGCCTTGAGCTCTCAACCATTTCTGCCCGGAGTCCCTTCAGCCCCTCTGTCTGCAAGGATGTGCCGACAGAGCCGGTGCAGGCGATCGGTGAGTGGTTCAGGGCCCCCAAACCCGAACGCTTCGAGTTTGAGGACTGCATCCACCGTAGCAAAGAGAGGATCGCGGGTTTCCGACAAATGACAGGGGGGCACATGCTGCGACGATGTTGTGTGAGCAAGTGGCTACGGCTGCTGCTGCTGCTGCTACTATGACGACGACTACTACTCTAATCTTACTGCTACAGTGGCTACTGCTACTGCTGCTGCTGCCACAGCTACCGCTACCGCTACGGCCAGTGCTGCTGCTGCTGCTGCTGCTGTTGCTGCTGCCGCTGCTGCCATGCATGCGCTACAGCTGCTGCGGCTGCACGCTACAACGAATACTGCGACAAGTACCACTGCTGCCCCGTTACGACTACCACCACTGTAGATGGTGCTTCCAGTAACCCTAGTACCAACAGGCTGACGACAAGTGCCAGAGCTACGAGTGTTACTAGTGCTGTGGTGCTGCTGGTACCAGGGCGGGTGCAAGCACCGTTGCTGCTGGAACTGCTGCTTCGCTATCACCACCACGACGACAACCCAGATTTTTGATTTCTTGTTCTGAGGTCCATCAGCCCATGTGCCTCCCAATCCCAAGATCTGTGAATCTAAACGATGTCAGGCCTCACACTACGCCGCACGGCACGCCGAAATTGAACAGCAATTCCGGGTTTTCCGGGCCTTTCCATTTAAGGAGCTTTGCTTTCCTCGGGTTCTCTGGTGTGTTGAACAGCCTGGAGCCAGGGACAGTGAGTTCCTGTGGGCAGCGAGGGAGATGGGGCTGGGGCCCTGGATGGCGCTGCAGCACTTCGAGACTTTTGCAGGTCTTAGCGTTTGGGATGTGGTTTCGGGGCAGGATTGCGATGGGCAGGATGTGGGGTCTGGGGTTTCGGGTCAAGTTGTTTGGATCGCCGCACGATGCAAGGACATGACTGAGGCGTACTTTGAAATAATTTTTAGTTTTTGGTTATTATAATCCCTAAGAAACAGCTAAAATTATAATTTTTGCTAGGGTTCTAAGTTCAGTATAGATGACAGGTAACAAAGTCCCAGCCCGAAGGATTCGGGTTTGGGAGGCCCCTTCCTGGGATTCCTTGATTTTCCCGTTGTTTGTTTCGAAGCAACTTCTTTCCAAAGGGTGTAGTGGCATCATTGCTGTGTCTCGCTGTGACCATAGTTGGTTGTCCCTTTTCGCATGGCTCTAGCTAAGATGTACCATATTTCTCTTGCATTTTCCTTAACAGTGCAAGATAGTTGCTGCACTTGTAGCAGATGAGTTCGTTGACTGGAATGCTGGTCCAGTCATGAGGTGAATGGATTTCCACTGATGTTACTGCTGCTAAGGATGATGAGCATGATGATGACGATGACAGTCAGGTTTTCATACAACAAGCTCTGCTATATTGCTCATGCTACTTGTTTTGGCTGCCGTTGTGTTTGCCACGAGTTGCTGTAGATTAATCTGCACCGTCGAGGGGTGAACGGAAGTTCCTTTCACAGGAACGGGCGGTTATGTCCGCGGTTCCACATCCCCGAGACTCCGAACCGCAAGGCCCCGAAACCTGAAGACCAACTCTAAAGCTGCAAGAAGCAAACCCCAGGTATTTGGCCCTCAACTTCAAATCCCGAACCTATTTCCTAAGCAACATAAAGTCATAAAGCCCGAATGAAAGACGATAACACGCACATAAGAAGCCAAATAAAATCCATGTGTACTCGAAATAACAGGTGTCGCTTCCCTGAGAGAGGCGTTTTTGCACAACTGGCACGCCTGACTTGTCTCAGATTCGGAGTGGGTTCTGGGTCTCACTTGCATACCCCGTGCGAGTGCGCACGGAGTTGCAATTTCGTACCTCAGAAGTGCGGGTTTCTGAGATTTCGTTTGACGAGGTCCTGCCATTCACATGGCCCCCGCTGCCAGTCATCGATATTATAGCACCCTTATTTATAGTACTCCTTATAGACCTTTTAAAGGAACTCTCAAACTAGTACAGGTAACTATATACGTCCCGATATGCATAAGATGTGCAACATGCATCGTAGCCGGTGTTAGCGAAGTTTACGCTGCAATGTTATCATCCCTGCTGCTGCTGCTGCTACGACTACTACTACTACTACTACTACTACTCCTGCTGCTACTTCTGCTGCTACTTCTGCTACTGCTGCGACTGCGACCGGCGACTGCGACTGAGACTCTGACTCCTACTCCTACGCTTACACCTACACCTACCCCTACTTACAATACTACTGCTACCAGCTGCCACTGCTACCGCTACCGCTCCGCTACCTTGCTACCATGCTACCGCTATCACTGCCGCTGCCGCTACGGCTACTGCTGCTGCTGCTGCTACTGCTACCGATGCTGCAAGAGCATCTGCTACTGCCACCCTTGCCGCTGCTGCTGCAGCTGTACCTGCTGCTACTGCCAAGAATCATGCTACAACTGTCCCAGATACTTATACTTGCGTCATGGCCGAATATGAATGGGCACATGGTAGCACGTACAGTCATACGAGAGGTAGTGGTAGTGCTCGCCCTAGTCATGTGAACCCAACAGCCAACCTGTAGTCATACACATATGCCCCGTGATAAAATCACCGTACCGAGTACCAGTGCTCAAGGTATTCTTGAGAGTGAGTGCAACACCGTTGCAAACAATCGGTTTTTGCCATAATGACCGGCAGTATCCGCCTTCCGCATGCGGCTGGCAACGGCTCCCGATCATTTTCCATTGACCAGAAAAGGCAGGATTCTCACCTTCACACCCGCTGCTGTTGGCAGCATGGACAGGAAATGCTATCGATCGTTTCCATGTATTAGAAAGACCCGAAAAGGTTCGGCTTCGCCATTACGTTGCAGCATTTCCCGGTCCACCTTTTTGTTTTGCACCTTGCATTGAACTGCTCCTTGGTTTCGGCTTGCAGCCTAGCCTCGGAGCTGAAATTGGTTCAATTGATTCATCTTCGAAGCTTCGTAGCACGTGGCGCAATCTGCGCCTGTTGCCGGCTCGTCCCGGAAGCAGCCCCTGGAAGGAACAAGTTCTCGGTGAAGGGTTTACGGCCTAGGGCCGAGAGTTGCATCATGAACTTATCTGCTCAAGCCCAGCATGTGGCAGGCGGAGATGTCGCCCCAACACCAACCGCCCAAGCGATGCTAGCATTGGTTTGCTGAAGAGTGATTTCAAGAACAAACGACGAATCCGGCTACAACGAAAGCTAGAACCAAGAGTAGCATTCAGAATATGGCCCGAAATGCCTCACTCCCCGTCGATAGTTCTAGTTGGGTTGGCTTGACAGATGGTGTAGGACAGCCTCACATGCTTTACCATGCCCAAAACCCTAAACCCGGCTTGTAAAGCTTGGGTCCTACTGGTCCCTTCAAGCTCTCACTGCCGGACGGCTGGTGGTGGTTTGCCTTGCTTGCTTAACAGCCCAGTCCCGAAATCTTATACGAGATTTAGCGGAGTTGAGGCTGGACCAGGCCCTATGCAGGCCCAGATCCACAATACCAGGACTAAGGTTACTCTGACAACAGATACTCATCCTCTGCTAACTCGCCACTTCCCTCCCGTACCCAAAGCTCGGAGTGGTGGAGCCGTGAACATACAGCATCCGGGACGGATGCCAAGTCCCCGACGAAGTCTGCTCAGGAGGCGGGGAAACATTTTGACGCTTCCGCTTATCCCGATACCGGTGCGATGACGACTACTCCTCAGAGCGCGAAGCCACAATTAGTATTAATGCTAATGTTACTAGTGGTATTAATATTACTATTAGTATTAGTATTAAGTATTACTATTAGTATTAGTATTAATATGATTATTAGTATTACAATTAGCATTAGTATTAGTAACCAGCCGGAAGGGTTCTTGGAAGCAGCATTCCCAAGTCGCTGAAACGTGATGCGCGATTCGCCCCCAGACGTTCAAAGCTTCGGATGCTGTTCAGACAAACCTCTACGCGTTTCCGTTTGGGGCTAGGCGAGAGAGCATCGTGCACATAGTTCGCCTCCTGTATATACGCTTTTCGGTGAGGATTTCTGCTTGCTGACGGATGTTTGACAGGTTTGCATGCTGCCGGTTTCTAGGAGGTGGAGTTTCAGTTTAAGTTAGAAGCTGCCCCCCACCCTGTAAAAGTGGTATAATAGGAATAATATAGGGCCCTAATATAATCCTTATAATTACTATTACAGGGTGGGGGCAGCTTCTAAAGTTTAAGTAAGTATCGCAACAAGAGCGATTGGTGCCATTGACTGGGGTATCGAATCGCAGCGCAGCTGTTTCAAGCTCCATGCTGTTTGGAGACAGCGATTCTTCATGCCAGTAGACTGCAGGGCTTGGGCAGAGAGGCCTTAACAATATGTAATAATATACTTTATATTAGACTATATATACTATATATTATACTATATATATATATATATATATATACATATATACATATATATACACACACACACATACAATATGGCAAGCGTTCCTGGGCCAGTGCAGGCCCTGGGTCGATTCGATCCCTAGTTGTTCATTCCTTAAGCTGTGAAAACCCTAAAGCCTGTGTTTGGAGTACCATAGGTTTAGGGTTTAGGGTACTTGGATACTGTTTTGGGTACCTGTTCCTTAAAGGAGCCATTATGAGATGAACGTACTTTTTTCTCCCTGGTTACTTCAAAGTCCCGAAAAAACCTGACTCCGGCCTGGAAGTTGCAGAACTCCGGTGTGTTAGCGGATCCTTGGCGGCTACCGGATCAAAACCCCAGCCCCCAACCCTAACCCTGAAGCTTTGGATCCTTGAAACTGTAGCTTACTTTAAGGCTTCAGGGTTTTGACGTTCTGTTGGGTTTAGGGTAGTATTGATACCGATTTAGGAGTACACACCTGTGCAAACAACCAGTAGTACACATGATACACATGCGAGTTACCACATATATGCCTATATATATATATATATATATATATATATACATATACACCAGGCGCCCACTCAGGAGCCCGGCAGTCTTCACACCAGCAAACGACCCCATTTTGCTCAGCCGCGACCGGCAAGAAAAGAGTTGCAATAAATCCCTAAACCCTAAATCCTAAATCCTAAACCCTAACCTAAACGCAACCCTGAAGGGGGTGTGGATTCAGCTTGGGTTCATGCCTCGGGTTGGGTTATGGGGCTTGGGGGCACTTCGGGAGTGTCGTGAGAGGATACAGTTGAGGTCTTCGGGGTTTACATCCCTCGGCCACCTGAAACCTAAACCTAAACTAAACCCCAAACCCCGAACCCTCCACCCCAAACCCCAAACCCATAAACCCCAAACCCCAAAAACCCCAAAAACCACCACAAACCCAAAAACCCAAACACTACAAAACACCCAAAGCCGGAACCTCGGGAGCCGGGCCCTGAGCCCCTGGCTCAGGCTCATAGCGTTTTAGGGGCTTTTAGGGAAAAGCGGTTCTGAGGGGCTGAGGGGATATTGTCTGTTACGTCTTTTCTATGACGTATCACATATTATGCCTTACAGATAAAAACATATTGTAACACATATATATATATATATATATACTGATTGTAGAAACAAGTGCTGACGAACATAAAGGGGTCTTAAGGCTATCAGGATGTTAAGACTCCCGGTGGCTCTAGGCGTGTGGTTCGGGTTTCAGGTTCACGAGGACGTGGTTGAGACGGCATTGAGCGTAGTGTGTGGGAGCAGCTGAGCATTCTTCTCCCAACCACAAAGCAATCGTGCACTGCGTGGAAGCAACAGGTTGTCGCGCCCGCAGCCGTTTGGACTAGCAGGTTTAGCGCGGTTTTTCCAAGGGCCATCTCCGCCTACATGAAAACATGGCGTCATGCAGACTCCTAACCATACGCTATGTAGCATGCTAAGGTCTAGTATACTTTAGCAATTAAGCGAGAGTAACGGGACATCAGCGTCGCAGCCACTGGTGAATGAAGTGTTGGACTCTCCCGGGGAACAGATGCTCCATGAAGAGACTTGCATTGCCCGCTGCAGCCTCAGGCGTTCCGAGGCTGTTCGTTGTTCCTGATGCTTGGTTCCGACACCGAAATCACTGCACGTCGGAGCAAGGTAGCATCGTAGAACGCACCACGGTGCATTGTAGCCTTCTGCTATATTAGATTTCGTACTGCAACATAAATCTAGCAAGCCAGACTGAAACCTCACTTGCGTCAAAGGCCGACGCATCACAATACTGCATGTCTGCTGATCTTCTTCGCTGAGCTCCTGCGTCGTAGAGTCGTAGGAGCGGCAGCTTTTCGGGCTTTTCTTTTTAGAGAATGGCTCGTGATGTTCGTGTAGGATACTCGCGGGCATACTTCCCTGGATGTGTTCCAAGTGTGTATAATTGAGTGTGCCAGTGGGATGTCTGAGGAGAGGCCGGCTGCCTTCAAGCAAATCCAGGCTCGGATGAGCATACGAGCACAGTTCAGATTACTCTACCCAGACTGCTCCCAGGGATGATTTTGGTGCATTGATGCAATACAGCGTACTCTGCGGGTTCGGTGGCAAGGTTTCTGATTAGTATGTGGTATGCTAGGACCGCTAGGATCCACTTCGGCATGGGTGGCGCTGAAGTTCAGTATACTATTTTGGGGTTCCTTACTATAAATTTAGTAGAATGGCCCCAAAACCCTATTCTAATCTTTGCGGCCCCGTTCTTGTCGCAACTTGCATCTTGGCCATTTCCTCCCTAGACCTAGAGCCGAGTTGCCCCCAGACTCTGGACTGTCACAAAACGCCTTAACCCTTAATAGGGTTTAGGGTTCAGGGTTTAGGGTTCAGGGTTTAGGGTTCAGGGTTTAGGGTTAAGGGTTTAGGGTTTAGGGTTTAGGTAAACCTTGAAGCCCGTAAACCCTTAGAAACCTTCAACCATCAATGCCTGAACCCTTCAAGCCCTAACCCTGACTTCTAAAACTGTAAGCTCGCGTCCGAAACAACGCGCGCACCCGGCAGCCATGCTGCAGGATGACTGGAGCCAGAATAAACCCTAAACCCTAAACCCTAAACCGTTTAAACCCATAAATTGTATTTAGCGCCTGAAGAATGGCAGTACAGATGCTCATGAGCACACGGAAACCGCCTCGGCACGTCCTCATAATGCAGAGATAGCAATAATGCTTGTGTGAAAGATGCGGCAGCTGATGCTTATGAGGGGCTGTAGTGTGGAAACCCTTGCAGCTGATGCTCGCGCCGCTGCTCGTGGTGGGTATTGCAGAGTCTGGAGGGATTCTGGTGTGGAAGCTGCTGCAGCTGATGCTCATGATGCTGCTTGTGGTAAACTTGGTGCGTGCAAAACGTCGCGGCAGATGCTCATAGTGAGGAATTTGACGGGAGTGTTTTGTTGAGACTGCTGCAGCTGATGCTCATGATGCCGTGTTTGCAGAGGTTTTAGTGTGGAAACCGTTGCAGTTGATGCTCAGGATGCGGGTTAGCACGTGGTTCTGACAGTGCGGAGCTTGCAAGGATACTCGCGTGGGAACTGCTGCAGCTGATGCTCATGATGCGGTGTTTGCAGGGGTTGCAGTGTGGAAACTGTTGCAGCTGATGCTCATGATGCTGCTCGTGGCGTCGGGCAGTGGCCGGAAACCGCCGCGGCTGATGCTCATGATGCTGCTCGTTAGTGCGCGGGAACCGTGGCGGCACATGTTCATAATGCAGAGTTAGCAGGGATTCTTGCGTGGAAGCTGCAGCTGATGCTGATGATGCTGCGTTTGCAGGGGTTGTAGTGTGGAGACCGTTGCAGCTGATGCTCATGATGCTCGTGGAAGCTGCTGCAGCTGATGCGCCTTTGCTGCTTTTGGTGAACTTGGTGCGTGGAAAACGTCGCTGTAGATGCTCATAGTGCGGAGTTTCAGGGATTCTTTTGTGGAGACTGCGGCAGCTGATGCTCATGATGCTGCTCGTGTGGGAGCTGCTGCAGCTGATGCTCATGATGCTGCTCGTGGCGTTGGGCAGTGCGCGGAAACCGCCGCGGCTGATGCTCATGATGCGGTATTTGCAGGGTTGCAGCGCGGAAGTCGTTGCAGCTGATGCTCATGATGCTGCTCGTTAGTGCGTGTAAATCGTCGCGGCACAGTCTCATAATGCAGAGTTAGCATGGATTCTTGCGTGGAAGCTATTGCACCTGATGCCTATGATGCAGTGTTTGCGGGGGTTGTAGTGTGGAAACCGTTGCAGCTGATGCACATGATGTTTCTCGTGTCGTTGGGCAGTGCGTGGAAACCGCCGCGCCTCGTTGTTTGCAGGGTTTCTGGTGTCGAAACTGCCGCTGCTGATGCTTATGATGCTGCCCCTGAAGGGTCAACACGCGGAAATCGCTGCAACTGATGCCCAGGATGCGGTGTTTGCAGGGGTGATCGTGGAAGCCGTTGCAGCTTGTGCTCAGGTGCTGCGGTGTTTGCAGAGATTCTTGAGCGGAGACTGCTGCAGCTGATGGTCATGTGGCGGGATCAGTGTCTGGAAACCGTCGCCGTCCTTACGGTGTTAGAGCATGGAGCCGTCGTGGCTGATGCTCATGATGCGTGTCTCAGCTGCTGTTCACCACGGCTCCTTGTGCTCATGATGGGCTGTTCTCCTCGGTTCTTCTACTGCTGATGCTCATGATGATGCTTCTCGTGGCGGGATTCATACGGGCAAAGTGTTGTGGCTGATGCTCATGATGCATTGTTTACAGGGGTTCTTGTGCGGAAATGTGTGCTGCCACCGCGGATGCTCACGAGCTGTCCCTGCCGGGGGAGTAGTGCGTGAAACTGTCGCGGCTGACAGGTGCCTGCTGGTGCTCATGATGCCGGTGGGTGTGTGTGTGTGTGTGTGTGTGTCTGTGTGTGTTTGTGTGTTTTCAGACGGGCTTGCGCGGAAGCATCGTCGGTGATGCTCATGACATGATGCCCTGATTTGCATCGAAGTCGTTGGATACCATTCGCAGCGATGCTCATGCTGTCGTGCTTTCAGGGCTTTTTGGGTGGAAGATGTCGCTGCTGGAGGCTTTGTCGCATTTCGGTCAGAAGAGATACAGAACGGCCCCCCACACAGATGCACCCTGAAATCCATTCTCCGAAACATGAAGCGACACAAGGGGAGGGGGGCATCACAAAATTCAGATGTGCATCGTATATCACCTCATTGGACAAAAGGAGTGCGGGTGACTTGGGGTTGAACGTGAGCATTGGTAGACGTACAACTCTCCCTACCCATCCAGCAGGAGAAGCTGGTGCGTTCCGAAGGTCATTGAGCAGGAGTGCGTTGACGTCTCAAAATGGCTGCTAGAAGCTCGTAGAAGACTACGCCGTTTTTCGTCTGCAAATTTCTCGCAGACATAAGTTCTACAGATGAGTCCGATATGAACGATGTTTTAACATTGCTGCAAGGTGTAATTCGTCACACAGGTTTCTCCTCGTGGGGCAGACGTGCACGCATCAATCGCGGCAGTTGTGCCATGTTGTTTGGCCGACCTTCAGTGTGCGATCTACTAAGAAAAGGGGTCGTTTACGTGACCCAATGGCTTGGGGCTTGGGATGAAGGATTGTTTTGAGTTGGGATGGTATCAGCTGCGCAGCGTGTAGTCACAAGAAAGCTGGCGTCACTATCATGAGCAAGGCTCGCAATGGTGCTGGTAGCACTTGAGATATTGTCAGAACAGCAGCAGTGGCAACAAGAGTCGTCCGCCACATCTAGCACCAAAGCAGGGCACCGTAGGCCTCGTCCCGCAGCCATTTTGACTCAGCGATCTTGGAGTTTTATCTGTAAAGTAGGGTCTTATCCCCAAGATCCAGTACTACTGCATTTCCGACGGCAGACTCGTGCACGAGATCGTCTAGTACTATCAGTTTTTCGCATCATCTCGCACTCGCCTCTTCTGCCCTGCCTGGGCCCTGGTTGATCTCGGCAAATTCACCGCCTAGCTGAGTAGCCGGGCCATTGATTGAGCCCGTTTGCCGTGTTCGGAGAATCTGTGCAGTTTCAGAGACTTCAAGTGGTGCATCGTTCTGCGGCAGCAGTTTCTGGTCTGACAAAGGTTCTATTTGCAGACATGGCAGCAACAATGAACACCGCCGCGGCCCCAGGGTCTGAGAGTTGCCGCATTCGTGCGGTTGCAGGAAAAGCTCCGGCATGGTGGAAACATTCAGCGAGAGATGTGATGATCTGAGGTGACGACGCTCCCTGATGGCCAGCAGATGCTGATGGAGCCTGTAACTGGCCAGTTCCCCCAAGTCACCCCCGGCACCGTGCAGCCGGGTCCCTTGACCCAGCCACCAGGCCCCGGCTACATGTATGCTGCGCCGCCAGGAACGGAGGCTGCACCCGGCCCAGGTTACATGTATGCCGTCCCCACAGCGACTGAGCCCGTCCCCACAGAGCTTCCAGCTGACGCTGCTCCCGGCCCGGGCTACATCTTCGCTGCTCCCGAGGGTGTGCCACCTGGCGCAATGTACGCCGCCCCTGCGGCCACCGAAGTGCCACCCGGTGCAATGTACGCCGCACCCGCGGCCACCGAAGTGCCACCCGGTGCAATGTACGCGGCCCCCGCGGCCACCGAAGTGCCATTCGGTGCAATGTACGCTGCTCCCGCGGCTATGGAGGGTGCAATGTACGCCGCCCCTGCTGCCAGCGAGGGTGCAATGTATGCTGCTCCCATCGGTGAGGGTAGTGAGGGGCAGCCAGCACCGGCGCCGATGCTTGGACAGACCATCATGGGAAACACTTACCAGGCAGTGGACACTTTGCGAAGACGTGGGATTTTTAGATGTCCTTTGCAGTGGCATGTGTAGAATTGCTACATCAGGATCTGCTTCTGCTCGCCCTGTGCGGAGCTTTTTGCTTCGAATCTGGCAGGTCAAAATCCCAGTGGACAGCATGAGGGATGAAAGCGGCGCCACGATGACGCCGCTTGCTTGGATTGGGAAACTGTCTTCTTAAAGACAAGCTTCTTAGCTCGAACATGCACCATGCGCAACTCTTCCAGGGCACCCGCCAGCTAGTCGAACGTGCCTGGCAACTTTACGAGACCCTTCAACACATAGTTAGTGCGATCGAATCGGCACGCCCAGAACTCATAACCCGGCCGATAGACCACCCAGAAGAGCTTCACACCAACCTCAAACTCTGTCTGGCAGTTGAGCTTGTCTCCGCTTATGTCTGCAAACATCTTTGGCATTGCCTATGCTAGGGTTCGGCCAGCTCCCATTTATCATCGAAACTCGAATGATCTCCTGTTCGAGCATTGCTACTATGGCTTGATAATTCGGCCACCTTCAAGACCAATGCAGCCGGAGGCGTCATACAGTTTACAGTCATCGTAATTGTCGTCATCGTCAGATTCGATATTCTGAGCAACCGTGGTTTCCAAAAGTAGCAAGGACGGTAGTGATGCTCAAGCTTTTGAGGATAGTCTGTCCTAATGCACGGCGTACGGACAAAGTCATGGCAGTGATTACAATGACAAGCATAGCTATGAAGCAACATTTTGTACCATGGTATTGCTCTACACTCTGCGCACTCATAGGCCCCAAGCGTTTATATCCTAAACCCCTAAACCCCCCACCAAACCCTGAACCTTACACCCCATAACCACTAAACCATGAACCCTAAACCCCAAAACCCTAAACCCTAAACCCCTAAACCCAAAACCCCTAAACTCTTAATCCCTAAACCCTAAACCCTAAAAAATGCCCAACCCATGAAACCTGAACCCCCAAAACCCCCCTAAACCCCAAGCGTGGCTGTCTGCGAGCATCAGGCAGTGGCCCGCGGCCTTCAAGAAGATCCAGGTGCAAGTTTGTGGGGGTTTAGGGGTTAGGGTTACGTTTCGGGTTTAGGGTTTAGGGGTTAGGGTTTAGGGCTTAGGGTTTGGGGGTTTAGGGTTTAGGGGTTTAGGCTTTAGGGGTTTCCCTCCTAGAGATTGGAAAGCCTTTACATTCGGTGTCTACAAGAGTCCCTATACATGTTTCCCTTTTGCCGTAGTCTTCCGCAGTTTCAAGTTCGAGAGCCCCGAAAGTTGCAAGCGGAAGTCCGAAGACTCAGACCTGACGGATCAGAGTTTCAGGGTTTGCATAGGGGTTTTGGGTTTAGGGTTTCGGAGATTACGACCTTTGACCCTTTGGGGCTTTGAGGGAGGCAGGTTGGGAGCTTCCGACCGCGTCAAGTTCGGAGATGCTTAAGGTAGGAACCTGACTAAGAGACCCTGGGCCCATCACCCCAAAATAGTAGTAAGAGACCCTGGGCCTATAATCCCAAAGTAGTAGGATTTAAGAGACCCTGGGACTATAATCTCAAAGTAGTAGGATTTAAGAGCCTGGGACTACAATCCCAAACTAGTAGGATTCACATCAAGAACCCTGATAAAGGCCCAAGGTTTCTTAATCAGGTTCCTACATCACAACTCACGGGACCTTGGCAGGTGGACGGTGAGACCCAGTACGTCGCAGGGAAGACCGAGGAGGTCGATGGACCGGCGCAGGCTGCCAGACCGCGGTTTCGGAATTGAAAACGGGGTTTCCGAAAATAGGGGACCCTAATATAGGACCCCAAATAGTAGGATCCTTATTATAGGGACCTCCAAACAAGGTACCCCCAATTTTCGGAAGCTCCCAAAAGCCTCGTATCATCGCGTAAAGTACAACTAGCATATGCACAGTTATGTAGCTTCATCGCATGTGTTGTATGGGGAAGATGAGCCACAACGACAGCAGCGGCAGGGGCAGCGGCAGCATCAGGAAACTGACTGAGCGCAGCGTGAAATGTGCAAAACTGCAGCAGGCAGCAACACTTACCGACATACGTTGCGCAGGCCCCCGAAGCAGGGAAACGGAAACGCAGTTTTGTACGCTCGTAGAAGTATTTAAAAACAACAGCAGCAACTTCATCATTGTCTTGCCGTTGCTGCTTCTGCTTGTGCTCGCACTCTTCTCAGCTCGTGCTGTTCCGAAAACACCAACCACACCAACCACACCAACCACACCAACCACACGAACCAGACCAACCATTTCAACCACAACAACAGCAGCAAGGGCAGCAAGATAAAGCGTCGTTGCTTCTGCTACTGCACCTGCTAATGCTGCTGCTGCTGCTGCTGCTGCTGCTGCTGCTGCTGGAGTCCCCTACCGCTACTGCTACTGCTACTCCTCCTGCTGCTGCTGCTGCTGCCACCGGTGCTGTTGCAACTGCTGCTACTGCTAGCCTGGAGCCTTTTCAGATCCCGAAGGTCGGCACTCAGCGCGTGGAGCAGACCGTGGCTGGGCAGGTGAAGCAGCAGGCGGGGCCTTAGTAATTAGACTAGGGTTTTCGGGTATATTATACTAGAGTTTTAATAAGGATAGTATTCTAGAAGGGTACTATAATGTAGGGGCCTAAATAATTTGAAACGCTGCGCGTCGTCCGCCTCGGCCCGGCTGTACGGGCATGCGGCGAGTGGCTACTATCTGCAGCAAGCTCTTGTAGGAAAAAAGTAACAGTTGGAATCGCACTTATAGTAAAAGTAATGTTCATAGCAACACGAAGCAGGATGATTGGTACGAATTTTGATGTCGTCATTCCGAAACACTGGATACCAAGACTCTCGCAAGCGGCGGGATGCCTTAAGTATGGGCCGTTGAGGCTGTGGATTTCGTGGGCGTCTTGGACTAGGGAAGTATCACAGCCTTTTCAACCACGTTACTCCGCCTATCCCAACGAAAGGGCGTCTAAAACAAGCCTGAGACGCAAAGCCATCAGTTCGATACCAACATAGGGGCCCAAACAATGATTAAGACCCTGCTGGGTTTTTTCGGAGCAGAGAAGGTGAGGTCACACTACATCGCGGCCTGCTGCACTACACATCATGTTACCCTAAAGCCCCAAAGTAGTTCCTTTTTTGGGGTTCGTATAGCGCAGCGGATGGAGCTTGCTTAAAGAATCATGGGACTCAGTAACCAGAGTTAATTTATAAGCCTACTTACTAGTGCTGGCACGGGAAGGGCGGGGGGGCGGGGGCGGGGCGGAGGGGGGGGGGGCAGAGGTGGGGAATGAAGGAATCCGAATAGGAACCTCTGACCGCTTCGGCCGGGGCCGAGGCGAATTAGAATGTGGTTTTGGGGTAGATTGTATTATAGTCATAGTAGGGAACCCCCAAAATAGTTTAGGTAATTATGGGGCGCTCTGGAGGTTTTCGGTTTTGGGTTGCCCTTACACATGACCCCCTGAGTCTACAGGCACATTAACAGATAGACGCATAACAGTATTTTACGTAACGAATTGGGCCAAGCCATTTTCCGTTGAAGGTTGATGGATGAATGGGTTTGCAAAACAAAACAGGGTGATATCCTTTCCGTAACCCCTAAACCTAAAGGAGTAGGGTTTAGGGTAGGGGTTTTCGAGTTTAGGATGAAAGTGCCATCTTGGGATCTACGATTGCTGCCCAGATCGTGGAGATCCCGCAAGTCCAGGAGGTTGTCGAGGAGCAGGAAATCCCTGAGGCTGGGTGCCTTTTCCAGGGCTTTAGTGGGTGTCCCAAGATTGAAAAACAGGCCCGGACTTTGTGCATCACAGGTTTGTTAGGTTGTGTAAGATTGCATAGGGTTTCCCGTGAAAAGGCGTCAGTATGCGTCCGCCTAGTCGAGTTGTCATTCCATCCCATACCAACAGCATGTGCAATCATCGGGCCATCCGGGTTTCTCATTTCTGGCCGGACTCTACTAGTGACTAGTGCTTACTCTTGTCATAGTTCTCTTCTTGTTAGTCATACATGTCCTTGTTTTCGTTTAGCACGGGCTTGTTGCGACTGTGACTGCTGTTCATTCTTGCGACCGTTGCCGATGATAGTGTTTCAGCTCAGTGTTACATTGGTCATCGTTCATCATGGTTCATCATGTCGATATTGCTCATCATCAGTGCCAGCGACACTGCCATCATCGCCACCAAAGCCATCTGCGTCAGTTTCGCCATCACCAATGATAAGCATTACTATCGTCATCACCACCATTAACGTCTTTCTCATGAAATATAACAATCATTGCAATATTTCGTTGTGGTCACTTTTCGTCATCGTTATCGACATCGTCATCATGTCTATCATCATCATCATCACCATCATCATCATCGTCGTCATCGGCATCGAAATTGCCATTGCCATCACATCGACATTGCCTCTCCTTTATCATCCCCACAGTCTTGGCAGCATATGAGTTCCTGTTGCTCCGCGATCACCTTTATGGCTATCCGCTTCACTGTCCTTGCGACGGTCAACACTATCCTCGTCACTCACCTCATGCTCGTCCACAATCATCGTCATCGCCGCCATCGCCATCGTCCCCATCTGCATCATCACTGCCATCGCTAGCACCAGCATCTCCATCAGCATCTGCATCACTACTAACATCAGCATCAGATTAATACATAGTTTTGAATCTTTAGTCTTGTTATGTCTAGGGTTCCGATAATCCTATAGCATAGACATGTTCCTCAAGCCCTAGTCAGTTATTCAGGATTCTGTATTCCTCACCAACACTACCGTCAAGATCACCATCAGCACCGCTGTTGTTTTTCATTCTCCTTCTTCAGCAAGAGAGAATCAGCAGTTCCACTACCAGTATCAGAATCATCCCTTCCATCCCTGTCTTCAGCGCTTTTACCATCATGAGCAGCATAAGTATCAACGTCGAATCTACAGTTGCCAGTGCCACTGGCAACATGTTATCGTTGTTGGTGGCCGTTGTAGCCTCCGCTGTTGTTATATGTTTATGTTCTGCGTTGGTTCGTTACCATCATCACCAGTCTCTTGACTGCAACTATTCTCTTGGACGTAAGTGTACTGCTTTCCTTATATGCGGTGTTGTATGTACTTGTTTCAGTGGCTGTGTGGGCTTTAGGCATTTCAGCTTTTTGTTGTCAGCCTTGCCCTTCATGTTGATGCTGATGATGCTGTTGGTGTCGCGCACGGTGACCATGAAGACGACGATGCTGGTAGCTACGACGACCCGGATAATGATGGTGATGGACCGGTGATGAAGATGATGTTAATGATGGTGATGGTGTGTTGCTGTTATTGTTGATGATGGCCAGGACTGCGATGATGATGCGCTGTGGGTAAAGCGGGTGAGCATGAAAACAGGTAGGGCGATGATGATGGTGCAGAGGAAGATGATGATGGTGCCGCGGTGCTGATGCTTTTGGCTCTTGCGAGGTGTGTCTGTGCGTGTTTGTGTGTGCGTCGCTCTCTCTTTCTCTGAAATGGGGGAACCTAAAATAGTACCCCGAACCTAAATAGCAGAATCCTTATTACAAGGACCCCAAAAACCCTAAACCCTAAACCCTACGGGTTTGAGGTTTGAGGCTCTGAGGCCACTGCCCGAGGTGCAAGTCGTGCAGAAGATGGTCGAGGCAGCCGAAGAGTCCAGAACGAGCCGTCAATGGATCGGGTTGCCTAGGTGTGTGTGTATATAAGTATATGCACATAATATGACCTTATGTGTAACATATATATATATATAGAGGTACATATGTATATGTATCTATATATATATATATATATGTATGTATACCATGCACTGCGACAAGATCATCCCGATGCCCTTCGAACACTGTACGACCAGTATGAAACACTAGAAACTCCCATCATAGAACCTTTGGAATCTCAAATGCCCGACCTGAAACGAGCTATGAGCTCTTATCAAGACTTGTGAGAACCCTAGGCCCCAAACCCTCGCCCTATCAAGGGCTATGTAAACCCCAAGCCCAAACCTTAAAGCCGAAGGCCCAAACCCTAAACCTTTCTGTGCCATGCGGTGTAGAGAGGCGTTCAAAGCAAAACCCTAAAGCTGCAACCCTCGAATCGAAGATGATCAACTTCTCAGGCCCAAGCCGAGGCGGCAAAGCCGAAACCCATGTCTGGGGGTTTAGGGTTTTTTTGGTTAAGAGCTGGGAATGTGGGTTAAGAGTTGGGAATGTGGGTTCATGGTGTAGACAGGGCTTGGGATCGGGAGATGACGGCTGAAGCCTTTACCGTTTAAAGTTTCGGCTTCGGGTTCAGGTTCAAGGCGTGAAACTTTTAGGGTTTAGGGTTTAGGGTTTAGGGTGCTGGTATCACTAGGTCGCGCCAGTATTCTTACCTGAAAAAGCGGCCTGATGCCTTGTATCTCCACCACCCTGACACTGGTTCGGGTTGGGGTTGAGGGTCCGGGGTGCCCTTATCACTCTCAGTTGCAGGTTCCACAGATCGTCCAGCAGGAAGTGGAACAGATCGTGGAGCAAGTTGTCCAGGCCTCTCGGGAAATCAGTCTAATAAAGGGGCCTAAATAGCTACCAATACTATTTTGGTGCCTCCTTATTATAACTGTAGTATAATGGGCCCCAAAACCCTCTTCTTATTATTAAGGCCTCTAGAATAGGGTCATGCTCCCAGACTTTTTCTAGTCAATCTTCAGGCCCGCAGCTTTGGTAGTGGCTCAAGGAATTTTTTCAGACAGACTCTGTCACTGTGGGCTCTATCGCCGGCGGTTACATCCAACCCATCACCACCAGAATCAGTGCAATCAGCAAGGTTTCTCTTATATCTGCCACCAGAAATCAAAGCTAAGTCACCGGGAGTTTGGCAGGTGCCGGAGATCATTCACCAGCCCAAAATCTCTCACCGCCACGTGGAGCAGATTGCCGCCAAGTTGCGCTTTATTCATAGGGAGCAGGTCGGGTTCGGGGTTTCTTCGGCCACGAGAGACAGTGGCTGGGTGTCTTGGAGGACATGCTTTAGGAGTGTATGGCTTTGGATCAATGTTTAGGGATTTTTGATTTTCAGAGGATTACTAGGTCAAGCTCTCCTGAAGCTAGGGCTTCAATCCCCTTGCAGAATGGCCCGAAGTGATGTCCTTGGTGACAGCAAGCCTACTCTGGCAGGGTTTCTTTCGAGAGGAAAGGATAGCCCGCTCTCTCATCCAGCATCAAGCCGTGCCTGAAAACCAAGAACCGTTTATACAAAAAAACTTGTGTTCTAGTCTTGGGATGACGACCGGGACGATGGTGCTTATGACGGTGCTGTTGTAGTGTGCTTTAGTAAGACGTCTTCCATGTTCCCAGGTTGACATTCCAGTGCCTCAGACGGTTGAGGAGGTGGTCCACGTTCCGGTTACACAGACCCAAATGCGCCGGCATCTCAGTCAGCGTCTCTGGTGTCAGGGCCTATAGGATGTTGGGCTCTGGGTTCAAGTTTCCGGGGCTTTTACTTGAGGTTTTGACCCATGAGGTCCGGGTAGTTCTGGTTTGGAAGCCAGCTTTATCTCGAGTGCCAACTCCAGGGCCCCACTTTCCATCCATCCCAGTGACAAGCTGCAGCTGGCGGCCGGATAGAACTCCACTCCTGCAATCTCCACAAGAGCCCCGATTCGGTAAGTTTACACTGTTTACACCTTCGGCTCCAGTCAACCTACCCGTATCGAACCCTCATAATATATGATGTTGAAGATTATATTGAAGTAAACTATAATATGATATACTATATGCTATTATGTTACATAGTCCTAAAGGGAGAGGCATTGGTCGCACCTTTGCGGGGCCTCCGCTTCTCCAAACAGGGGGGCACTTTTACTATGTCTTATGTGAGGGATGGAGGGGAAGCCTTTGTGGCGGTTTAGGTTTAGGACTTAGGGGCTAGGGGCTTAACGGGTTTGGGTAAAATGTTTTGGGGCCTGGGCTTTAGGGCTTTCGTATGGAGGGGATTGAAGACTTTAGGTGTTTGGGGTTTCGGAGTCTAGGCTTCAGATTTCTTGGACTCAAAGTTTGGGGGTGGTGGTGGCGGTGGTATTGAAGCGAACACTGATTCGACACTCTTTTGCATACCATCTCGGCATCAATACTATAGTAGCAGCTTAGCGACCTTCTACGACTTGTAGCGAGCGCAGTTGTGCTCCAAACAATAGTCTTTGCTCATCTCCACAGAAATATCCCGAAGTGCAGCCAGCAGTTGTCTTAATCCTACCTGACAAACTAGTAAGAAATTCTCATGTAGCCCTTGTACAGCTACGGCATAATATGCCCACCCCACAACACTCTGGAGATTATTATGGCCCTCATTTTAACCGTGAGGAACTGTGACACCACCCCGGCCTGAGGCCACCATCATGTCCATGTCGAGCAGCAAGTGGAGATTCCCGTCCAGATGATGCAGGAGCAGACCGTGCACGTGCCGAAGGCGCTCGCTTGACATTAGGGCATCTTCTGGCCTGTTGCAGAGTCGCTGATGCTATGGGGGAGGTGGGAGTGTTTGAGGGAAGTTGAGTGGAGTCCCGATCTGCAGGTGGTGACCCAGAAGCGTCAGACTCATCAGCACGTCGAGCAGATTGTCGAGGTCCCCGTGCCCATGACGCAGGAGGAGGTCGTCCACGTCCCCAAGATCATCACGCAGACCAGAGTGCAGCAGGAGCGGGTCGAGCAGATGATCGAGGTGCCCATTCCGATGCAACAGGAGGAGGTGGGAGTTTGTCAAAAAAAACCAAGACAGCACTCCCCATGAAGTTGAATCTGCAATCCGGACCCCGAGCTTTAAGGACTCTTCGAGAACCGACGACTTGCTACATGTCCCAGCCGCCCAAAATAACGAACTCCTGAGCACCCTCAACTTTCAAACTCCATGTCGATGAACCCTCAGCACCACAGCCAGACGTCTGCCCAGCGCAACCCTAAACTGAAACCCCAGTGCTCTTGCTATAAGGACTCAATAATTACCAATACCAGTTTGGTGGTTCCTTATTACAACCTTTCAAGAGGAACCCTAGGTCCCCATCCCCCCTGTATTACTTCGCAGGTCGCGCACATATTAGCGTACCCCTATAGATCCGTTATAGTACCCCTTGTAGACCCCTTTAAAGGAACCCCAATCTGACTATTAAGGCCCCCTATACTACCTCGCAGGTCGTGCATGTTCCCAAGATCGTCACGCAGCCTCGGATTGTGCACCAGCAGGTCGAGCAGATCGTGGAGGCCAAGCATTTCAGGCTTAGGGCTTCGGGTTTTAGAGTTAGGGTTTAGTTTTTCACGTTTAGGGTTTCGGGGTTTAGAGTTTGGGTTTAGGGTTCCGCGTTTAGGGTTTCGGGTTTAGGGCCTGTTGGTTTGAAAAGCTTTGAATCGGATGGCATAGCCGCAGAGTGCAAGAGTGCATGAGGGCTTTCCCGGCCTCAGAATGATAGCAGGTTCTGTTTGTCCTGCACTGTGCCAGTGCCTGTTCAGGTGCCCGTGCCCATGACGCAGGAGGAACAGGTCCACGTGCCCAAGGTCATTACCCAGACCCGTATCCGTCACCAGCCCGTGGAGCAAGTCGTCGAGGCCACAGGGCTTCAATCTGAACACTGAAGCCCTAAACCCTCAAGCACCTATATAGACCCGAATCCTAAACACCAAGCATGTTTTCAAACATGAAGTCTTGAAGCCACCCCTCAAGCCTTCAGTCAATCCGGAACATTAAGCCTTTAACCAAGCTTGGTGTATCTTGGTGTGAGGTGCCGGTGCCCATGACTCAAGAGGAGCAGGTCCACGTGGGAGTCTCAGAAAACACGGGAGCCGAATTTGGAAACCAAAACTAGAAACCAAACGCATAGGATCTTGCCACATCTTACATGAAGCCTTCCTAAAATCCTTCTATCATTCAACAAAAAGCCCGGCAAACCTTTTCAGACACAAGCAAACATGCCCTAGGAGGACCCCCTCAACTACTAAAGCCTAAACCCTGAACCCGAACCCTGAACCCTCAACTCCAAAACCTACTTTCCCAGGTGCCCAAGATTATCACCCAGACGCGCGTCCGTCACCAGCCGGTCGAGCAGATTGTTGAGGTTCGCCGATGCGTCGAAGCGTCCTAGAATCCTGCTCCTTAATGGGATCTATACATACGTAGAGGCTCATACCTTATTTTTTAGGATAACTAGTTTTATGGCTAGAATCTGTCAAATAGAAAAGCAGACATACTCAAACAGGGGTAGGGCATGAGCCTACAGGGTACTGTAGAGCCAGGGGTACTTTGAAGGTTCATGGGACTTAGTAAGTACAGTTACGACAACTTTAAGTGGGCTTATAGTTCTAACTCATTTATACATGTATAGTTACAATGATTGTAACCCGAGTTACTAAGTCCCATGACCCGTCAAGTAGACTTCTACAAGGGGGTCTCTGAGGGGTTCTGTACTACGAGGGGCCCCATGAGGGTTTTGTAAGGGCAGTGGAGGGGGGTTTGGGTTTAGGATTGTAGGAAGCTGGGCACCCTCAACCCTAAACCCGAAAATCCCTAACCCTAAACTCGAAATCTTAAATCTAAAGCTGTGGCTTCTGGGCCTAATTCCACAGGTTGAGGGTTTCGGTTTTTAAGCTTTAGGTTTTGAGGGTTCAGGGTTTAGGCTTAACTCTCATTCCCCCAACTGGCCAAACCCAAACCCTCAACAGCTAAAGCCCCAAAATCAAACGCCAAATCCAAAACCCGTACAGCCCGAAACCCTAAACCCTCAATCCTCGATTGAACCCCGTGTAGAACAGTGTGGAATCCCAAAGAACTCCAATATCCCTCAATTAAGGAAGATACCTTAAATCATATTGGGGATCCTACTATAATTTAGAGAAGATTCCTCAATTAAGGGTATTGGAGTCTCTGGGATCCTTAAAGAACCGCCCTAGTCGCTCCGCTTGCTTTCGAGGTGCCGGTGCCCATGACGCAGGAGGAGCAGCTAGGTAGCACCTTTGGGAGACTTTTCAATTTTATGGTCTTCATAATCAGGACCCCCCGCACAATAGCGTAATTATTAAGGCCCTTAAACCCTTAACCTCAAAACCCTGAAATGGGGGTTTAGGGGTTGAGGGTTTGATATAGAGGCATCAAGAATTACCTATACTGTTTTGGGGTTCTTATTATAATTATAGTATAGCGGGCCCAAAACCATATTCTAATTATTGAGGCCCTTCTATTATGGTCCGGTAGACGTGCCAATTCATAAAGCCTTGTCGTGGCCTGGAAATTACAACCAGGCAAGTCCACGTGCCCAAGATCATCACCCAGACTCGTCCCGACGCCAAGTGAAGCTCCAGGATTTTTAGGGTTTTTTGGGCTTTAGATTTAGGGGTTTGGGGTGTAGGATGGTGTAGGGCATAGGCCTTCGGATAGAGAGAGTTTAGGAGCCCTGACAGTAGCACAGACCCGAGACGAATTTAGGGGTATGCATATAGGTAAGCAAGATTATGCTGTTTTGGTCTCACGCATTCCCTATACAGATATGCTGCAACGTACCGTGCCTCTAGCACACCACCAACGCCCCGTTCCAAGTATTCAGGGTCCTATATTAGATGCAAACCCCGAAGTCGGAACATGATGCTACTCTACTGGAAGGTTCATGGGACTTAGTTAGTAAGCACGGTGATAAGTACCTTTGCTGGGGTTGTAATTATACCTTAGTTTTTACCCCAGCTACTACGTCCCACGACCCTTTAAAGTAGTCCCTTGGCTGTCCATGTACCTATGTCCTTATATCGGGGCTAGACACCCAGCTTAACGTGCACATTGGTTGTGTACCTGGACCCTGTAAAGCCTTCCAGACATAAACCCTAACACGGACTGAGTTTTGGGGTGATAAGTTTTGCGATTTGGAGCTGGGGGTTAGGGATTAGGGTTTAGGGTTTAGGGTTTAGGGTTTAGGGGCTTGGGGTTGAGGGCAAAGCCAGCTCCGAAAGGCTCATGGGTCGAGAAGAAGTGCAAGCCCCGAACCCCTAAGCCCAAACTCCGCACCCGAACCCCTAAGCCCAAACTTCGCACCCGAACTCCCTGAACCTAAACCCTAAAAGCTAAACCCTAAACCCTAAACCCAACTCCCTGAATCATCGAGCCCTAAGCCCCGAAATAACCGGGCTCAATGCCCTGCTTCCTTAACCCTGCAGAACCTCAAACCTTCAATCCCTAAAGTCCCGAAGCCTTAATCCCTAAGCCCTAAATCCCAAAAACCCTAAACCCAAAAACCCTAAACCCAAAAACCCTAAGCCCCTATTTCCCGCACCCCAAATTCCCAGGCCAGATCCACCAACATGTGGAGCAGCAGGTCGAGGTGCCTGTACCCATGAGCCAGGACCGGCATTCCAGATTCTTCATGGTTTGGTAGTCTTATTTAGTGTTTAGGCTTTTTAGGGCTTTAGGGCTTTAGGTTAGGATATAGTCTTCAGTTTGTTAGAGCTTTAGGGCTTTAGGGTGTCTAGGGTTTTTAGGGTTTTTGGGTCTAAGTGGTATAGCTGTCTTGGCGTTTTAGGGCTCTTGTGGTCTGGGGTTGAGGCTTCTTAAGATGACAATACTGAAGGCACGGGCACACACACATATATATATATATATGTGTATATATATATATATGTATATATATACACACACGTACACATATCCGACTATCCAAATATACATATATGTATGTGTGTATGTGTGTATGTGTGAATGTGTGTATGTCATGTGTGTGTGTGTGTATGTACGTATGTGTGCATGGTATGCATGTATGTATGTACATATATATTATATATGTGTATCTGTGTAAGTTACTGTGTTTTTTGTTCGTGGTGAAATTGTGGTGGCAGCGGCGCATAGGTGGTGACAGCGGTTTTTCCGGTGCTCGTACTGGTGCTGCTTGGCTCTGGTGCTCTAGGTGTTGCTCGTGATGCCACTAATGCTGCTGGTTATGATGTTGTTTGAAGTTGGCGATGACGACGACTTCAATGTCGGGCTTCTGGTATGTTGGGATTTGCTGGCAACGTGGTGCTGGAATCTTCACACGAACCTGCTGGAAGCATGCAGACACACGCGCACACACACACACAATGGACAAGCGATGTGAATGCCTCCCGTTTTCTGAAAGGAGACCGTCGTGCACGTCCCGAAGGTCGTGACCCAGACGCGAGTCATGCACCAACATGTTGAGCAGGCTCTGCCTGCCGTTCCAGGTGTTGGGGCTCATAGCTTCTTTGCCCGCGTGGGCGTCTGGTTCTGTCAACTGAGCCTGCATAATGTTTGGGGCATTGGTGCTAGTCACTCGCAGGACTTCCCTACCATGGCTATGACCTGTGTCGTGATGTGATCTCCTTTCAGAGGGTCATTACTGTTGATCACGGTCTTGCACGGACACGCTACTTACTCGATTCGAAACCCGAAGCCCTCAAGAGTCTGCCGCTGGCAACCCGAACGCTTCTCACATGCCTGGAAGTCAGTGGTTCCCAAAGTTTCTACACCTGAAGCGTTTCAAAAATCAAACCCAGACCAAACGTAATCGATTGCAGCGTGAGCAGATGCGAACAGAAAGCTGCTTCGGACACAAGGTGTGAAACATGTCGATCGCTGTGGAAGTTCGATTGCTCAGCGGCAGGGCAGCATCCGTGAATGCAAATTTAGATGAGGCTGTGGAAGTGTTGAAACTTCGGGCACAGAGCAAGCTTGGAGTTGGGCACGGGCGGCTACTGGACTCGTCTGGAAGAGTCCTAAATGCCTTTGCAACGATCGAGCATGCCGATGTGCACGATGGCGATGCACTAACCTTGCACATAAACCGAGTTCAAGTTCAATCCTGCCAAACTGCATTTGCTGCCATTCTTGGTGATGGAACTGTCGCGACGTGGGGTTCTGATGGATGCGGCGACAGTAGTGAGGTGCAGGGTCAGCTGCAAAACGTTTATCAGATCCAGGCTACTGACTTTGCTTTCGCTGCCCTTCTCGGTGATGGATCGGTCGTGACCTGGGGCGATGATAACCATGGTGGTGACAGCAGGGCTGTGCAAGATCAGCTGAAGAATGTGCAGCAGATCCAAGCCTCTCGCGATGCTTTTGCTGCCATTCTTAGTGATGGATCTGTGGTGACCTGGGGCAATCGCCATCGTGGTGGTGACAGTTGTGATGTGCAAGACCAGCTGTATGATGTGCAGCAGATCCAAGCCTCTGGCGGTGCTTTTGCTGCCATTCTTGGCAGCGGATCGGTCGTGACCTGGGGCGGTGTTCACTATGGCAGCGACAGTAGCGCTGTGCAGCGTCAGCTGATCAAAGTGAAGCAGATCCAAGCCACTGCAGAAGCCTTTGCTGCCATTCTTTTTGATGGATCGGTCGTGACCTGGGGCAACGGTCATCGTGGAGGTGCCAGCCATGCGGTGCAGGATCAGCTGAAGAACGTGCAGCAGATCCAAGCCTCTGATGCCGCCTTTGCTGCCATTCTTGTTGATGGATCGGTCGTGACCTGGGGTGGTGATCGTTGTGGTGGGGACAGCAGCACTGTGCAGAGGCAGCTGAAGAATGTGAAGCAGATCCAAGCTACTTTAGACGCCTTTGCTGCAATTCTGGGCGATGGGTCCGTCGTGTCCTGGGGTGATGCTCGCCACGGTGGTGGCAGCAGTGCCGTGCAGGATCAGCTGATCAATGTGCAGCAGATCCAAGCCTCTGGTGGTGCTTTTGCTGCGATTCGGGGTGATGGTTCCGTTGTGACTTGGGGTGACGCTCTCTATGGTGGGGACAGCAGTGCTGTGCAAGATCAGCTTAGGAATGTGCAGCATATCCAATCCTCTCCGTCCGCATTTGCTGCCATTCTTGGTGATGACTCCGTCGTGACCTGGGGCGATGCTGTGCGTGGTGGTGACGATAGTGTGGTGCAGGACCAGCTAAAGAACGTGCAGCAGATCCAAGCTACTGACTTCGCTTTTGTTGCCCTTCTTGCCGATGGGTTTGTCAAGACCTGGGGTGCTGGTGGCAGAGGTGGTGACAGTAGCTTTGTGCAGGAGCAGCTGAACAGGGCAGTCGCATAATTATCTGCTGCTCTCTCTCAATCCTGAACCGTATTGCAGGATGCCAGGAAACCCACGCAAGAAGTGCACATGCATCTGCACAGACACGGACCGCTGACAAAGTTGTTTGCAGCGTTTGTGCAAAGTACAGAGTCCTGTTCAGACTTTGCTAGGTTTTCCTACGCCCGCATCCTAGGCCCCAAATGCACCAAGACCCCAAAGCGCCTTTATAGCAATAGTAGCTAGCAACATCGAGCCAGGCCCCGAACTCTTACCGCCTTGTCTCCCTCACCTCCCCAAATCCTCCAACTTTCGGGTCTCCTCTCTGTGGATGCGTGAACCGAGGAGTCGTACCGGAACCTTCCACGGAGAGCAAGCGGGCGATAGGGTGTAGTGTAGACGCGCTGCCCCACTCCTCTACGTCTTTTGAGCCTGTGCCTTAGATCCTAATGCCCTCACATCATAGAAGCGTCAAGCGCTTCTGAAGCTGCTTCAATCACCAAAGAAGCTAACCCCTAAACCCTAAACCCCTAAACCCCCAAACCACCTAACCCCTAAACCCCTAACCCCTAACCCCTAAACCCTAAACCCTAAACCCCTAAACCCTACACCGTTTTACCCCTAAACCCGTAAACCCCTAAACCCTAAACCACAAATCCTCAACCCGGCTTTCAGGACCACCATAAAGTAACTGGGTTGTGCTTTGGGATAATGTTTAATTTCCCTTATTTCCTTATAAAAGGAACCTACTCATAAATCATTTTCAAAGGGTTTAAAGCACAACCCAGACAAGAACTGGTGGCTCGTGAGGTGGTCGAAGTGCCGATGATGCAGGTCCAGGTCGGCAGGGGCTTGGGTTTTTTCAGGTTTTCCCTATGATACCTAAAAGCCCTAAAGCCTATGATGCCTAAGCCCTAGACCCCATGATACCTAAAGCCCCAAACCCTATGATACCTGACACCCTAAACCCTATGATACCTAAAACCCTCAAACCCTATGATACCTAAAACCCCTAAACCTATACTTCATAGTACCCAACCCCTAAAACCTATAGTGTAGGATTCAGGGTCTTGGGGTTCAGGATCTAAGGTTTGGGTCAATTCGGGTTTCGGGTTCCGGGTTTGGGGCTTGAGTTTGCGAGGGGGTTTTGTTATTCCTCCGTATTCTCTTGTCAAGCAGGGTTTTAATCGGGCTTCATGAGGTTTTTGATAGGGCTTTGTAAGAAGATGCTAAGATTCTGATTTTGACGTGGCTGACATCAGTGATTAGAACTTGTGCCAGTTTACTCCTTTTTTCCCAGGGGTTCTGCATCTTGTAGTTTGTATCCAGCTTCAGTGCCTTCTGTCCTGATATTGAGCTTTTCTGGGGCTGTCTGCTGCATGATGGCTTTACCATCGGGCCGCTGTAGCATGACTTGTCGGTGCACGGCTTGGGCTCGTCAGTCTTCGAGGGCATTGAGTGGGAACCCTCAAAAGGACCACACAGTCTCACACCTCAGCCCTGAACCCCAATCACGCGAGTGGTATGTTTGACACGTGAAACGTGAGTTGGGTCGTGCAGGTCTTCTGAAGCTGTTTAGTTCTCATTGTCAGTATTACGGTTGTTCCGCGTTATCACTACTCGCATGGGCAATTCTGTGTAGCCGCATTGGCAAGAGTTGACTGTACTACCAAACACTATCCTGTTCAGTTTTTGGGAAAGAAGACATCAAGGCTGGCGTGTCCTGACAGCAGAAACATTGCGGACAAGAGGATCGAAATTGGCTCAGTTTGCAGCACCTACACCGAAATCCAAATCACCTGCCATCCCCAACAGCTAACTACCCTACACCCGCGATCCAACCACGGTAAGTCGCCCATATACGAACTATCTTAAATCCCAAACCTTTGAATCGAAAGCCCGGCTAGAGATCCTTTATGAAACCTCGAAACGTAGACACATTTGGGTAATTGTCAAAATCCTGGCCCCTTTTTGGGCACCCTAAATATTAGGTGCTGTATTATAATAAACGACCCAAAAAGGGATCATAATCTTGACAACCACCCATTTGAGCTTTTCAGATCGGCCAGAGATCCTTTATGAGGCTTCAGACCTGCTTAGCCTTATGGGAGTTTCTGAAAACTAGGGGTACCTCATTTGGGGTTCCGTATAAAAAAGGATCCTACTATTTGGGGGACTATATTGGGGTCCCCTATTTTCGGAAACTCTCCTAGCAAAACAGGAGCAGGTCGTCCACGTGCCGAAGATCATTGAGCAGGATCTCGTCGGGATGCGTTGCGTTAGGGTTCAGGGCTTGGGGTCTTGCGGTCTTTCAATACCTCCCTTCTGTAAGCCCTCAACCCATCATTTCCGACCGGGCAGTGAGGCCTGCTGGTCGGAGCGGGTCATAGCCGCGAAAACCATGAACCCCCCATACCCGAAACAGGTCTTTCGAAGTTTCTCTGCTGCAAGGGAGGTTGAAGCCTCGAGCTGCCGAAGTATCCTCCGAATTCACTCCTGAAGTGCCAGGTTTTTCGGTTTCAGAGGGTTAGCATTTAGGTTTCAGGATTCAGGGTTTAGGAGCTTAGGGGTCTGGGTCAGAACCTCTAGCCCCAAACTACTTCGCCGAAGGAGCGGGTGATGCACCAACACGTGGAGCAAGTGGTCGAGGTCCATGTGCCCATGACGCAGGACCCCAGACATGGCCCCTTTCACTTTAGGCTTAAGTTTAAGGTGCTGTCATCATCACATGGTTATAGTCACCGTTCTACGTAGTAATTCTACAGCTACTTGTGTCGTCAGCTGACGGACATCCTGATTACACCCAACACCTGCAGCAACACGACGCTTGTCTCACGTTCCGGAGTAACCTCACTAATCGCCCTAAACCCTGCCCTTCTTACAACATCGTAAGACCCTGAATCGTGTGCCAGGAGCAGGTGGTCCATGTGCCGAAGGTGATTCAGCAGGAACGCGCCCACCACTTCCACGTCGAGGTAGCCAGCGGGCTCCAGACTGTTGGGGGACAAGGGTTGTGAAGGTGATTCGGGTCATGGAGTCTAGACGTTTTGTCTGGATAATGATTGAATCCCCTCCCAAGACCTGATTCCACTTGTTAAAGGTCCTTTCTTAGGATTTCGGGAACCAGCTGCCAGGAGATTGTGGATGTCCCGGTGGAGCAGCGCGTCGAGCAAATCGTGCATGTTCCGAAGGCATGGGAAGATTCGAAGCCCTGCAGGGGGTTTAGGGTTTAGGGTTCGAGGCTTTTGCTAATGTACTTAGAGGTTCATGGGACTTAGTAACTACGGTTATAAATAAGGTAACTATACTTATAACTAGTTATAACCCTAGTTAAGGTAAGTTAAGGTACTTATTAACTATAGGTACTACGTCCCATGAACCTCCAAATACTGTGGCCATTCCACCGATTCCTACCCCAAGTCACTTTGGCAAAATTGCTCGGACAAGGGGCCGGACAGTCGCAGTAAGGAGCACGACCCACACCCTAATATAGGGGACTGAGTAACTCCCAAATCTATTTTGGGGGTTCCTTACTATAGTTGTAGTATAATTACCTCCAAGGCCTATTCTACTTATTACGGCCGCTATATTATGCAGACCCTACTTACAGTCCTGAAGCCTTATCCCGAGTTAGGCTTTCTGACGCGGGCAAAAGTCCCTTTGGTGTCGGGGGTCGCTCTGACACTCTCCGCACCCTAACTCTTAGGGGTACGTAGAACTAGTTTGTAATTATTGGTTATCATAATCCCTAAGAAACAGCTAAAATTATAATTTTTGCGAGGGTTCTAAGTTCAGTATAGAACTCTGGAACTCTGCAAAACAGAAAACAGCGGTACCTTAATTTTGGGGGTCCTTTTAATCAAGGATCCTACTTTTTTCGTGTACCTTAGACTGGGGTCCTTATAGTAAGGATCCTGCTTTTTAAGGTGCAAGATTAGGGTCCCCTATGGTTGTGACCAAATACAGGCAAGGCGCAGCAATCCCCAAAGCCCTGAACCCTAAACTCCTAGACCCTAAACCCTATAACACAAGACCCATGTGGTGGTTGTCAAAATTATGGCCCCTGTTTGGGGTACCCTAAATATAAGGTGCCGTATTATAATAAGGACCCAAAAAGGGACCCCAATTTTGACAACCACCCATGTCATGAAGTCCCTAAACCCTAAACCCCAAACCCCTAACCCCTAAACCCTAAACCCCTAAACCCTAAACCCTAAACCCCTAAACCCTTAAACCGGGGGGTTTCAGCTTTGAGGTTTCTGCTTCAGAGCCTCGGTGCACGGGGGATCCATTCCTTTCACGGCCATGATGCGTTGCTTTAAAGGGGCCTTCATAAGTACCTATACTAATCTTGGGGGGTTCCTTATCATAATATAGTATAACTATGAAGCGCCTATACAGGGAACTCCAGAAAGTTGGAATATGGATTAATGGTAGGATCCCCTATAATTTACCTTGAAAGGGGCTACGATAATGATATGCCAACTTTCTGGCTTCTACTGTACCTCTGCTTGCTGGGGGTTCATTTAGGCTCTGTAGGTTGCTTTTGGGGTTTGGAGGGTTCAGGGTTTAGGGTTCATTTAGGCGGTATAGGCTTCTTTCAAGTTTGAGGGCTTGTCGGGATTTTCTTGGGTGGTTTCAGGCTTATTGTGTCTGTAGAGGCGAGGGGCCCAGCGTCATGATCCCACATTTTTGCGGCATGGGCTCTAAACCCTAAACCCTAAACCGTGGTCCTTAACCTCAGCCGTCACGCCTCCAGCTCTGAAGCACTAAAGGCGTTTAATCCATCGAAGGATGAACCCTAAACCCTAAACTTTAAGACCTAAATCTGAAGCCTTAAACCCTCACTCCAGAGCTTGAAATCCTACACCCTAAACCTCAACCTGAAGCCTCAAGCCCTAACTCCTACACCTTGAGGCTCCTTAAGCCTCCGACCCCCGGGAGGATCTAGAAAGTAGATCCCCTAATCTGGGGCCCTATACTACTAAGGGTACTTTATAGGAACCCCCATTAAGGGATCTACTTTTTGGATCCTCCAAAGGGGGTCTGGGTCACTCAAAAGGTCCAGAAGGTGGAGAAAATCGTCCACAACCCTGTCGACCTCGAGGTCCTTCCTCATCGGGCTGTGCACCCTAAACCCCTAAACCCCAAACCTTCTGGGTAGTTGTCAAAATTATGGCCCCTTTTGGGTACCTTAAATATGAGGTGCCGTATTATATTAGGGACCCAAAAAGGGGCCATAATTTTGATAACCAGCTCTCTAATATACCGATTTGGATACTCTAGGGAATACAAGGATCATAGGCTTAAGGGTATACCCTGGACCCTGAGCCCTGAACCCTAAACCCTAAAGCCCTAAAGCCCTAAACCCTAAAACCCTAAACCCTGAACCCTAAAGCCCTAAACCCTAAACCCCTAAACCCTAAACCCTGAACCCTAAAGCCCTAAAGCCCTAAACCCTAAACCCTGAACCCTAAACCCTTAAACCCTAAACCCCTAAAACCCTAAACCCCTAAAGCCCTAAAGCCCTAAACCCTAAAACCCTAAACCCTGAACCCTAAAGCCCTAAACCCTAAACCCTAAACCCCTAAACCCTAAACCCTGAACCCTAAAGCCCTAAAGCCCTAAACCCTAAACCCTGAACCCTAAACCCTTAAACCCTAAACCCTAAAACCCTAAACCCCTAAAGCCCTAAAGCCCTAAGCCGAGCCTCCAGGCTCGAGGGTTTTGCAGCTTTTCAAGGTTCAGGGAAGGTCTGGGCGCCTCCTTGGGGGGCTTGGGCCGAACGATCCAGAACCCTACTTAAATCATAGGGGCACTTAGGGGAGGGGGGTAGGGGACTATACGTCTTAAAATCTTGGCAGGTTTTGGGTTCGAGAGGTCAGGGGCTTTGTTGAGTTTAGGTTTCATGGCTTCAGGAAGCTGTTTTGTTGGACATTTGCATTGTAATAGCGTAGAGGTTCACAAGAAGGACTAAAGGCTTATCCGCTAGAACTTAGACTTCACAAAGCCTGCTTGCAGCTTAGGGCTCAGCCATAGGTATAGGTTCGGGGTTTAGGGCTCGAGAAGCAGTTTTTGGGTCTGTGGTGACTGGTTAATACTTCGGAAGAAGGTCGGTGATGAGCGTGAGATGATGGTTTTTGGAATAAAGCAATGAAGAGGACTAGAGTAGTTATTCTTCAGCTGTTGAACTACTGCCATGGGTCGTTGTACAATTCGCTTTTGAGAGTGGTAGGGTGGTATTGGGAGAGTAAAGGGCAAGTTTTTCGGGTAGAGGAATTTCGATTCTTCACGAGGGTCTTGGATTTTGGTATTACCTGTAGTAGCAGTAGTAGTAGTAGTAGTAGTAGTAGTAGTAGCAGTAGCAGTAGCAGTAGCAGTAGCAGTAGCAGTAGCAGTAGCAGTAGCAGTAGCAGCAGCAGTGGCAGCAGCAGCAGCAGCAGCAGCCGCAGCAGCAGCAGGATCAGGAGGAGGAGCCGGAGCAGCAGCAGCAGCAGCAGCAGGGGTCCACGAAGAGAGCCATGGAAACACAAGCTTTCGCGATGGAGATAGGGTTTTACCTGCTACACCCAACCCAAGACCAATAGCTCGGAGGTCGAAGTGCCTCGTCCCGTCGTCATCGAGAAGACGGTCCAGGCAGGACTTTAGAAACCTCGGGGCCTTCATCGATGACTGTTCTACGTTAGCGTTTGTTTGAGGGTTTGCGGTTTCGGGTTTGGGCCAAAGTTGAATTTGGGACCATGCTTACGCTTAGAAGAACCCGACATCACACACCTTTTGATTTTTGTAGTCCTAGGGAGTCCTAGGGATCCCCTAAACCCTAAACCCTTGAACCCCCACAACCTCGTAGGACCCCAAACCCGAACGAGAACCGAAACCTGGACCCTGAAACTCTCACAGTAGCCCTCATGGTAGCTCTTCTTACAGCTCTTATAATATAGGCCCGTGGCCACGAGCGGTAGCCCTTGAAGGAACCCCGACAACTGAAGATCCTCCCCGAAAGGTGCCGACAGTCCACGTTGAGGAGAAGGTGATCAAGGTGCCGAAGGCCTCACAGCTGCACTCTGCGGTTCTGGGTCTTTGAGTATTTAGTTTAGGCTTTCACTGCTTTTTTGAGTTTGTGGTTTCCGGGCTCGAGGTCGTTGGTGGATTAGGAGGGTCGCGACAACTGGGCGTTGAGCTAGCCTTACCGGTAGTAGTGAGCCTGCGGGCCCAACCGTTCTTGGACTAAACCTACACGGAACCCGGAGCATCCTAACTAAACTATAGGCAGGATATGGAACCTGAACATGGTATTCCATAAAGTGCACTATTCTACTCATGCCACACGTTACCCCTGAAGGACCTAAATCAACAGGAACGAGGCTAGGCTGTTTTCCAACGGACAAGCTTTGGAATCTCACCCATCATCGTCGTCGTCGTCATCAGCAGCACCACCACCACCACCATCACCACCACTATCATCAGCACCACTATCATCAGCACCATTACCACCACCATCGCCAGCAGTAGCACCATCAACAACATCAAACACATCAAACGCGTCAACATGACATCAACATCATCATGTAGTATTGTGAAAACGACTGCTGGCAGCAAGGTGCTGAACACAGTGGTGGACACCGTGGTTCAAAACACCGTGGAAACGGTCGAAGTCGTGAAGCCGGTGGTGGTGCCCCGCCAAGCCGGGCGACGGGCGGATTGGGGATTTCAGGGCACAGGGTGCTAGATCCAGGGGTCAGGAGCTGTTTGAGAAACTGGGTTCTTGTTACAGGATGTAAGTTACCGTAATAATTGGACATATAATGAATAAGATGGTTTCCTTTTTATGGTAACTTAACTTAACCCCCTTAACAGAACCCAGGAATGCCAGTCGGTCGACAGGTCTTCCGATACTTGTGAAGGTTGCCGTTGCGCTGAGGTTCACAAGGTGGTGCAGCGAAAGAAGCCGATCGTGCAGGAGGACTCCGCGTGTGCCTAGTTCCTTCTTCACTTGTAACTCTGCCGAATGTAGAAACCCCTGTGCCCCTCCCCATCGCTTTGAGCACCCCTTGCAGCCGAAGCTCCAGACCCACTGTCTTGGAGTACAACTCCTGGGCCCCGGACCGAGAATTCCGGGGCGAAAGAGCGAAGTAGGCCTTCCCCAAGTCCTCAAGCTGCAGATGGTAGCTTATGCATTAGTATATTCTTCGGTTAAAAAGTTACATGCCGTGCTGTATTGTTGTATATGAAATTGTATCACATTCCGTGCAGGGCCTTAGAGGGGTATGTGGTAGTTAAGAATTGCAATTGCTGTGCTGCTTGCCCGCCGTTGAAGGACATCGTGCAGATTCCGAAGGCGAGTTTGGGAAACCTTGAGCCCTATTTCCTTAACCCCTAAGCGCCAAATCACCCTGAACGCTCCCAAACCCTCAACCCCCAAACCCTACACCCCTGAAGCCCAAAAGCCCTAAAGCCCCAAACCCCTAAACACCCTAAACCCTAAACCGTAAAACCCTGAACCCGAAATCGGAGCTGCTTCTGTAAGGGTTTCTATATGAGGTCTCTAAGTCTAAGGGTTAGTTACTAGGGCTCTATGAGGAAACTTGATTGCGTTTTGGTATAGTCTACCCCCCAAAGCCCTTCTGACTCTAATTCATAAGGCCCCTATAGACACACCTATCTATTGCGCTTAAAATGAAACATACTGCAGCTATTGGGCACTTCATCCCTATTCCCTGTCACTTATGCTCAGGATCTTGTGATTTTTTGCGCAGTGCAAAAAACAAACTGGGCACCTTGAACCCTAAACCCTGAAGCCCCACACCCAGAGGCCCTCAAACCCCAATTCCAAAGACCTAAGCCCAACACCCTAAGCTACACTCCCTAAACCCCCACATCCCTTAACCACGAAGCACCTGAACCATTAAGTCTTAAACCACGTAAGCCTCAAGCTGAACACTCAAAGCCCTACACAACCCCTGCAAACCTTTGTCGCAGATAGCCTGGTAGGGGACATCACTACAACAACCTTATAATAAAGCGCGTATAAAACATTTTTGGAAGCCTTGTAGAGCCCTTGTAGAACCTTATAAGTATGTCCCCCTAAGCCCTAAACCCCTACTTACCCATGTAGCACCTAAAAGAGCTCTGCACTTTGGCCACGAGAGGTGATGGTGCAGCATGTTCCGGTCCAGAAGGTGGTGGAGAAGCAGGTCCAGCTATAATTACTCTGAATTTCTCTAGGGTTCCTTTAAAAGGGGTCTATAAGGGTTAGTATAGGGGTTCTATAAGGGTTGAGGGTTCTCATCAGGCCTTCTATTGCCTTAACTATACGGTTTTTACACGGGTTACTATAAAGATTATTGCAGTGGCAATTAGAACTGTTAGTATACGGGTTCCTATTCAAGTTTGAGGTCTTTTCCCTGCAGATCGCAAAGCCTCACCCAGCCGACGCTCAAATGTTCAGTCCAAGGTCTTGTCCTCAACCCCATCGGATTTGGGTCGGATGCCAAACTGCAGTGATCTCGCCTTCCGGGGTGAGGTTGATGATCATGGGACTCGTCGTAGAAGTTAGGGTTCAGCTTAGAGCAACCATCTGAAACAGCTGGAAATCCCCCAGCTTTAACTGTCTAGTCCTTGAAACCAGGCCCCCGCCAGGCTGCTCGGGATGGAAGTTCCTTTTGTTTCTGCGTGTTTTCTGCACTGGCTGCCAGGTGTCGGTTCCTGTGGTGCAGGAGGTTGAGCAGATTGTCGATGTGCCTGTTGTGAAACACAGGCGGGCATGGCTGATATACTATGCCCTACTCCACTCTGCTACACGGTCTATTCAGCTATGTGTTATTATAATTATGCAGCGTAGTCACATATGTATATATATATATATATATCTACATTATGTAGATATACATGTTTTTGTAGTTGTATATGTATATGCGTATGTATATGTATATGGAGATTTATATGTATATACATAAATCGATGTATGTATATGTATATATATATATACATATACATATATATAGAGAGAGAGTACAATGGGGTGAGGGCTGCATCTCGTGTTTGTTTTGGTGTGGGAAGGTCTCGCTCCGGAACCAGAGCAACTTGTGTGGTGTGCTAGGGTTTCGAGTTTAGGGTTTCGGGTTCAGGGTGTAGGTTTGGGGAACGCAAAAGTACATGCTTTGCGATGTACATGCCTTGCGATGGGTATCTTGCTTTGCAGTAATCACCAGAATAGGGCTGTTGGAGTAACCTACGATAATTATGATCGAAACCCTCAGGAATATGTTAATTACTTCCATTGCCACACATGCAGAACCCTACAGTAAACCCTCAAGCCTATAAACCCTAAGTTCTCCTTCGGAAGGCAGGTGCCAATGGTCCAGAAAGTGGAGAAGCAGATCCAGGCCACGGGCCCCGGCATCCTAAAAGAAGGGCTAAGTGATCCGGACTTGGAGGTTCACGGGACTTAGTAAGTACAGTTATAAGTACCTTAATTGGGGTTATAAGAAATTATAAGTATGGTTACCTTAATTATGACCCTAGTTACTAAGTCCCATGAACCTCTAAGGAGTACTGTGTGGTTTGGTGTTTGGGGTTCAGGGCTATTCCTTCCGGCTCCGAGTTATCATTTTTAAAATATGCAAAACAGGGCTGAGGAGTTCATGGTACGATTCTTTACGGGTCCCAATTATCATTACAGAAAAAATATACCCTGAACCCTAATCCCTAAACCCTAAACCAAATTCGATCTATCAAGGGCCCTTCAGTTCTCGCCGACCCAAGCTTCAATCTACTCGGGGTTCTTACGCTGGGGTACTACTCCGAGAGTTGCGCCTCCTTCTTTCCTAAGGTTAGCCCAAGGGCAGGTAAAGTGGGGTTCGGGGCGATGTGGGATCCTGGCCGTTTTGGTTCTGGGTGTTCGGGATTCAGGGTTTCGTAGGGTTCAGGGCTTTCCCGGCCCTTCACAGACCCACACTGGCACACCTTTGCTGTCCTTGGGCTACTTGTGCGCTGCTCTTCCTCGCGACCCGGCTCTGGGCTGGGTCTGGCCCCCCCCCCCCAACCCCACTTAGAGGTTCACGGGACTTAGTAACTAGGGTTATAAATAAGGTAACTATATTTATAAATAGTTATAACCCCAGTTAAGGTACTTATAACTGTACTTACTAAGTCTCATGAACCTCCAAGCAAACCCCAACCCTACTGAACCCTTCCTCAACCCTACTGAACCCAACTAAACCCTACAAAACGCTGCTAAACCCTACTAAACCCTACTAAACCCTACCAAACCCTAGTGAACCCTACTAAACCCTCAGGCTCTGAACTTGCTGAAGCCGCTGAAGCCTGGTTCCAGTCTTGCCCGAAGTTCTCGAAAGCAGGTGCCTCAGGTGGAGTACACCGACCACCACATTGAAGTCCCTGTTCACAAGCAGGCGCCCTGACGTGGACCTTGGGGTCTTCTTTGGGATCAGAACGTGGACTGTTGAAGTTTACTGTCCTAATAGGGGTATTAGGGTTTAGGGTCAGAACATGGACTGTTGAAACTTACTGTTCAAGTGGGTAATATTGCCCTCTGAAGACTCCTGTGTGGTTGTTGACATTGGGTTCAAGGTCCAAGGCTTTAGGATTTCAGAGTTGAGAGTTGCCGTCCCAGTTTTGCTGCGCTCCAACGGATAGGAGCTTGAACAAGGGTGGCTGTGCATTGTGGCTTTTGGAAGTGCTTTTGCTTTGAGTGTAAATACCATGGGTCCTCATTTTTTTGGGGTCCTAGCTTTGCCGCACCAGTTACAACGGCGAGCAACCTTTCTAGACATTATATCTCATATTTGAGAGGTGCACGTGCCCATGATCCAGACGGTCACGAAAGAGGTGGAGGTGCCGCAGGTGGTCTTCGAGGAGGAGGTCGTCCAGGTCCCTATCCAGAAGCAGGCGCGCGGTGCCTTAGTTGGTTCCGAAACGGCAGCAGACTCACCACCATGATCGCCCGGCTGAAGTTCCTTGTTTGGGGTTTGGGGTACGCTCTTCAGGTGCACGTCCCGGTGGTGCAGAAGGTCCAGAAGACTGTGGAGGTTCCTCAGGTCCAGTACGAGGACCAGGTGGTTCAGGTACCCATCCAGACGCAGGCCGGGCTTTCTCTTACCTTTGGTTAGTAGGGAATGGAGGAATGGGGTACAATTATAACTACTATTACTACCAGTCTTCCATTCCGTACTAACCAAAGGTAAGTTCTTGCAGGGCTCAGGCTGTCACACGTAGACTCGGAGCTCATGGCCTAATATAGGGGCTGAAGTAAATACGTACATTATCTTGGAGGTTCCGTATTATAGTTATAGTATAATGGGCCTCAAAACCTTCTTCTAATTATTAAGGCCCCTATATGAAACTCTAAGCCCCAACAGCCCAAGCCCTTACTCACAGTTCCCCACCAGGTGCAGGTGCCCATCGTCCAGAAGGTTCAGAAAACCGTGGAGGTGCCCCAGATCCAGTATGAGGACCAGGGTTGCGGCGACCCACCATCTATGGTCTTTATTAAAGCTGTTAAAACAAGAGGTTTAGCAGGGTTGTCCATTTTGTTAATGGGGTTCTTGAACGGGGTTTATCATGAGATACCACAGAAGTTTACACTATCCTTCATGCTCTGGTTTGTATAGGGTTGTATGTAGGGGGTTTGAATGAGGTGTTAGAGGGTCTATAAAGCCTCTGCTTTAAAGGGCCTGCGTTAATGTTGCAACTGTAGTTATGCCTATACATGACTGCAAGAAGGGTGAACTAAGCTTGAGGCTTCAACCCCGGAGTTCATACCCAAAGAATGATAAAAAAGGATCCTAAAAGGGAGCCTAATTTAGAGAACGGGTAGTGTTGACCCCTCGTACAGAAATGTCCAACCTTAACCTTCAAGGGGAGTGAAGCAGGGATCGTCATAATAAGGTCCTTCAACAAAGGGAGCTTATCATTCCCTAAACCCTAAACCTAAACCCTAAAACCCTAAACCCTAAACCCAACGGCCCGAACCCGAAACCCAAAAACCGAATTAAGCTGGATGACAGTCGTTCACCCTCGGGGATGGGTCGTGAACTTGCCGCTCTCCAAAATCCCTGAATTCAGGGTTTAGGGGTTTAGGGTTTAGGGTTTAGGGTGATATTGGAGTCTTCGGGAGCTCCAGTGCCACTACCGCCCGCGGAATCTTTCAACCGCAGAATGTGCTTATCACCAGCCCCTCGACCCCCGGACCATCATGGTATCACCGCATCACTACTATAGGGGCCTAAAGAATTACCAATACTATTTTGCGGGATCCTTATTATGGTTGTAGTAAAATGTACCCCAAACCCTATTCTGAGTATTAAGGCCCCTACAGCACTTTACCCTGGCCCCTTTTAGAACGACCACAACACGTGTGGAGGACCAGATCGTGGAGGTACCCGTGCAGAAGCAGGTGCAGATCCCTATGGTCCAAACTGTGCAGAGGCAGGGCCCAGTACAGAGCAAGGGTTGATGATCTAAATCCTGGGGTCCCTTTACAGGGATCTATAAGAGTACCTTTAAGCGATCTATAGGCGTTTAGGGTTTGGGGTTCAGGGTTTAGGATGATGATGTAAATCCTGCGTTACCTTAGAGACCCTAAGCTGTGAGAATTATGGTATATTCTTGATTACGAGCAATGCAGGATTTATGTCATCAACCGAAGTGCCGAAAATGACGGACCTTAGGCGCCTAAAGGGTTCAGGGTTTAGAGCAGAGCAGGGGCTCAGGATTGTGACAAGGGTGTCGTGCCGTTTGGCAGTAGGAGGAAAGAAACAAGCTCCAGTAGCGGCGCTAATAGCCTTCAGAGGAGGAGAGACAGATTTTTTTCGCCGTGTATCACAGCAGTTGCAGAAATTGGACGACGACTTGAACTGTGGTGCGCATCATGACCGCAACAGGAGCATGCGCAGCATGTAGCGAGCAAACAGTATCTTGAACAAGAACCCGACCATGGACTGTATTTCCGAACTATCCCTATCTAGGGCATCAAAACCAAAACACATCGCCGAAGCGTTGCTGCCACAACATGGATCTAGGTTCCGGTGCCTTGATGCCAAAGACGACAAGTGCACCATGGAAGCACACACCAAAGCAAAAGCCCGAATCAACAAGCACTCTAGCAAGAATCTGAAACTCGCTGCCCCAGAGTCCGAGCCGGCATTCCTACCCTATGCATCCAGCATCCCAAGTCCAAGACCCCAAACCATCATGAGGCAGATCGAAGTGCCGCAGCTCCAATATGAGGACTGCCCAGCATGTGCGGCGTTGATGAAGACACTAGGATGCTATATATACCAGGTGGCATCACAGTATACAAGCCACTCATCACTCATGACCCCTGCAAGTTGGAACCTTCGGTGGCTGCAGCAATTAAGGCGTGCATGGAATGCATACCGCAGCCTCGTCATGCTGCGGAGAAGTGTGAGTTCAGGACCAGGTCGTGGAGGTGCCCGTCCAAAAGCAGGTGCAGATCCCCATGGTCCAAACTGTGCAGAGGCTGGTTCTCGGGACTTAGGATTCGAGGCTTTTCCGCCCGGAGGCCTTGCTACAATGGATCGAGAAAGGAGCTGCCGTAACATGGGGACCTGAATACTTAGCACCACCATATTCATTTTTTGGGGGCGTCCCGTATTATCATCAGATCATAGAGTTTAGTTTTCCCCAAAGCCCTATTGAAAATTACGAAGGCCCTAATAGTAGAACCCGAAACCCCAGTTAGTTAGTGAGCTACACCTGCAAACTCCGAAATTCCCTCCCCTTGCTTTTGAAATGATTTGCAAGGCTTCCGGGCGAGGGTCCTGACGTTCTCTCAAAAGCGGTTTGCGGCCCTAAACCCTAAACCCTAAACCCTAAACCGTTTAGGGTGTAGGGGGCTCCAAACACTAACATGGCAAGTCTCTTCGTGACAGAGCCCCAAACCCAACACAAGTTCCCTAAACCTTGCAGTAAAGCTTGAATCTGAAACCCTTATCTTCTATAACCCTAATGGGTTTCCGGGTTTTAGGGTTTACAGTAATTAGGAAAGCTTGAATCTGAAACCCTTATTACTTAAATCCCTGAGGGGTTTTAGGGTTCAAGGTCTTGCCATCGTTTGTTCCAGGGGCTCACGTGGACAGGCGCCGGGTGTGCCAAGCGATTCACAGCTTACGCCGGGAAGCTGCACCCTAATAGTAGTAATAGTAGTAGTAGTAGTAGTAGCAGCAGCAGCAGCAGCAGCAGCAGTAGTAGTAGTAGTAGTAGTAGTAGTAGTAGTAGTAGTAGTAGTAGTAGTAGTAGTAGTAGTAGTAATAGTAGCAACAGTAGTAATTGTAGTCATGAGCCCTAAACTTTAAAGCCTTATCATATGCTTCCGCCTTGACACCCGCAGCTACGAAACTGGTGATGGTGTAGGATCGCCGTGGCAACATGTCCTTCACGGTGGAAGTTGGACTTCTCAGTGGCAAGGCCACTACTTTGAAAGCACAACAGCATGAAAAGGTGGAGGCATTGCAACTTCGGGCGCAGATCGCACTTGGAGCCGGCAAAGGGCGGCTGCTGGACTCATCCGGAAATGTTCTGGATGCACATTCAACGATCAAGGATGCCAGGGTTCAGAGTGGCGACTCCCTGACATTGCACGTGACGCAAGTTCAAGTTCAAGCCTCTGACAAGGCATTTGCTGCCGTTCTTTTTGATGGATCCGTCGTTGCCTGGGGCGATGCTGACTACGGTGGTGACAGTAGCGCGGTGCAAGGTCAGCTCAAGAATGTGCAGGAGGTTCATGCCTTGCAGAGTGCTTTCTCCGCCAAGCTCGTCGACGGATCTGTTGTGAGCTGGGGTGGGGTAAGTAATTGGGGTGACGGGAGTGGTGCTGTGCAGGTCCGCAATCAAATCGCTGTCGCTACTATACGCCCCGACGGGTCTGTCTTTACCTGGGGTGATTCTCGCTTTCGGGGCGACTGCCGTGCTGTGCAGGATCAGCTGAAGAACGTGCAGCAGATTCACGTGACCAACCACGGTTTTGCTGCCATTCTTGGAAATGGATCGGTCGTCACATGGGGTGATGCTTGGTCTGGCGGTGATAGCAGTGCGGTGCAGGATCATCTCAAGAATGTGCAGCAGATAGAAGCCACTGACCACGCTTTTGCTGCCATTGTTGGTGATGGATCCATAGTGACCTGGGGTAATGCTGCTTTCGGTGGTGACAGTAGTTCGGTGCAGGATCAACTGCAACATGTGAAGCGGATCAAAGCCTCTCGCAGCGCCTTTGCTGCCATGCTTGGCAACGGGTCGGTCGTGACCTGGGGTGATGCTCGCTATGGTGGTGCCAGCAGTGCTGTGCAAAATCGCCTGAAGAACGTGCAGCAGATCCAAGCCACTGGCGCCGCTTTCGCCGCCATTCTGGGCGATGGTTCCGTCGTGACTTGGGGTGACGGTCGTGATGGTGGTGACAGTAGTGCTGTGCAGGGTCAGCTGGGGACTGTGCAGCAGATCGAAGCCACTACAGTTGCTTTTGCCGCTGTTCTTGGCGATGGATCGGTCGTGACCTGGGGTAATGCGGGCGGTGGCGGTGACAGTAGTGCTGTACAGGAGCACTTGAAGAGTAGGAGCTAGCATTCTAGCTTCTCCCCCTTCGGTTGCAGCAGAGCAGCATAACAACTGTGCCCAGACCCCCGGGAGGATCTAGAAAGTAGATCCCCAAATAAGGGCCCTATACTACTAAGGGTACTTTATAGGACCCCCATCAAGGGCTCTATTGTTTGGATCCTCCAAAGGGGGTTCTGGGTGTGGGACCTCTGCAACTGTCCCGAACTTGCAGCGAAAGCCTTCAAGGCTAGACTGCAGAGTTTAGGTCTTCGTAGACCCTAAACCCCAATGCCCAGCTACAAGACTAACAACCCTAATATAGGGGCTTTCATAATCAGAATAAGGTTTTGGGGTGTATTCTAGTTTAACTATAGTAAGGACCCCGCCAAAATAGTAGTGGTAATTATTTGGGCCTCTATATTACGGGAGCGGTGCACCTGCCCAGTATGAGCCCAACGCGGCAGCTGCAGGCAGATCGAAGTGCCGCAGATCCAGTACGAGGACTGCCATGTTAGGTCTCGGGCCGGCAACACGGACGCCAGGCGTGTGTGAGTTCATGCTAATGGTTAGAAGCCATCACCCCCAAACAGTAAGTTTTCGAGCTTACGTATCTAGGCACATCCGATAAACGCGAACGCCCCAAACCCTAAACCCCAGAGGCTGAGATCTCTGCAGAAGGAAAAGAGATGATGAAACAAGACGTCAAACCCTGCACCCTAAGCCCCAAACCTTAAGCCATGTTAGTATCCCCTTCGAGTCCGAAGGAGTACAAACCAGAGCACTGCACTCGAAGCCAAAACCCAGAGGCTGTAACATCAAAAAGAACCTTCTGTCACAGTGTATATACACCTATCTATCGATGTGTGTATGTATGCATGTGGGTAGGTAGGTAGGCATGTATGTATGTATGCATGTACGTATGTATATATATATATATACACACATACAACTGTAATTACATAGTTAATACTTTGTATAATATATGGCACCCTAAGCCAGGAAAAAGCTAGTGACGATACTAACAGTCATGACCCTGTCGATGTCCACAGTTATGCTTGTATCGCTCCGAAAAGTATGTATTTATCTGAATGGTTGCCCCACTACTCGTAAACCCTTAGAGAGTCTAATAGTGCCAGCGATTGTCGTCACAGCCAGAGCAACGTTGACCGCAGCAGTGCCCTGTATGGAAGGACCAGGTCGTTGAGGTGCCCGTCCAGAAGCAGGTGCAGATCCCCATGGTGCAGACTGTTCAGAGGCGGGCATGGGGGGTGTGGGTGGTAGGGTTTAGGATCGAGGGTTGCGGTTCAGTACTTCGTGTTGTAGGCTTCAGGTTTTGGCGCGGAGTTGAGCGCGGGGATGGCGATGATGATGTCTCTCGAATCCCGCCAGTATGCCAGTGCTTGGGGAAGCAGTTGGGCTGCGGAGCCAAGGTGGTCTACTGGCGCAGGTCTGCTGTAGGTCTCCTCGTGGAAGTCATTGTGTGCCTGGTGACCTCCGTTGCTTTCCTGGTGGTCCCCTTACCGTCTCCTCGAGGTGTCTCCTGTGGTCCCTGGTGGTCGTGGTCGTCCTGGTCGTTGCGGTCGTATTGGTCCTGATGGTCGTGGTTTGTCCTGGTGGTCGTGGTGCTCTATCCCTGTTGTGGTTATCTATGCTGGCATATCAATAATCCGGTTTTAGGTTATTTTCTTATGTACAAGCATATGGGGACCCGATATCCAAAACCCTAGACCTAGAGTCCATATTGAGCCCTAAGTTTTTTTTTCCTGTCCTTTTTGCCCTGCCAGGCAGATTGAAGTGCCTCAGCTCCAGTACGAGGACCAGGTCGTGCAAGTGCCCGTCCAGAAGCAGGCAGCAGCCCCCAAGGGCCACCCTAGCAAGATGCCCCCAAGGTACCCTTACTTAGTTCTCCAATACCAAACTTTTAAGCTTTTTGGGTTCCTAGAGTTTAGTAGTCGCCTGAAAGTTTAACCTTTTATTTCTGTGTCTTATTGGGGAAGTAACCTTATGTCAGAAAAAGACATTATCGTTACAACAATAATCGTGATAATAATACTTAGAGTGGTTGTGGTGGTGGTAGTAGTAGAAGTAGTAGCAGTAGTAGTAGCAGTAGTAAATCCTCAGGATCAGGTCAACGTCCCCAAACGTTGTTCTGACTAGGGCCTCTATCATCGTGTCCACGCGTGCAGGTAGCACGATGGGAGCCAGCCCTAAAACCCACAAAAACCTACAACTTAAACTGGGACCTAAACCAAACTTGCACAAAAGAACCCAAAACCCTGAAAGCTAAATTGGCGGCCTAAACTTAAAGCCCGAGACCCGGAACCCGAAACCCCTAAACACTAGACCCTCAGGTGCACGTGCCCATGGTGCAGCAGGTGCAGAGGCTGGGAGCTGCACCATTGCCTGGACCCAAACCCCATGGGTTGATGGGGTTTAGGGTTTTAGGGGCTTGGGGCGTGGGGTTTGGCGTGAAGCCTTCCTTGCAGCCTTCTCAAAGAACAGCACGAACAACCAAAAACCTGCCAGGGAGGTCGAAGTCCCCCAGATCCAGTACGAGGACCAAGTGGTGCAGGTGCCCATCCAGAAGCAGGCGCGGGGAACGCGGGGGTTTGGGGTTTACGGCTTTGGGTTCAGGGGTTTAGGGTTTAGGAGCTTCGTCCTCGCCGTGGAGCTGCTTTTACCGTGTTATCTCAGTTCGAGTGCCTACCACGGTTTCTCTTAGGTGGATCGAGGGGGTGTTTTCCTTCGCCTCCGACAGCTGTCGCAGCAATCCTATCGACTCGCACAGTTTTGCGTCTGTGGCAGTGCGATGTCATGGGAACCGTGTACATGGTCATCTACTGCTTTTGATGTGACATCTGTCACATAATGTGCTTTTCGCCGTTCGCTTTTCGCCGTTCGGGCGTCCACTGGGGTGAAGTGACTATCCAAGGAGCTCCGAAGCAAGCACCACAACCCGAAACACCAAACCCTAAACCCTACACCCGAACCTCAGAGTAGCCCTTATAAACCCCTTTATAAGAACCCCTGAAAGGAACCTTGTTCTACTTATGAAGGCCCCTATCTTACAACCCGAAAATGGTCCATGTCCTCATAAACCCTAAACCCTAAACCCTTAAAGGGAAGCCTCTTATAGAGCCCTATAGTACCCTTAAAAGGAGCCCTAAACCCTAGTTACTAAGTCCCATGAACCTCCAAGTAGAACCTAAACCTTAAACCCTATAGATCCCTTTAAGGAACCCTATAGACCCCCTTAAGGAACCCTATAGATCCCTTTAAGGAACCTGTAGATCCCTTTTTTAGGAACCCTATAGTACACCCGAAACCCTTAACCCAAAACCCTAAGCCCTAAACCCCAAACCCTAAGCCCTAAACCCTAAACCCTAAGCCCTAAACCGCAAACCCTAAGCCCTAAACCCTAAACCCTAAGCCCTAAACCCCAAACCCTAAGCCCTAAACCCTAAACCCCTAACCCTAACCACCCGAAACAAGGTCCAGGTCCCCATGGTCCAGACTGTGGAGAAAACCGTGGAGGTCCCTCAGATCCAGCGACCTGGCATCAACTTTAGTGCTCTCAGGAATTATAAGGGGAGTTTCCGAGAATTAGGGGTACCTCATTCTTATAATAAGGAACCTACTATTTAGGGCCTATTTTTGGAAACTTCCGTAAGTATCATGAGTAGTCTTCTTCTTACTCGTCTTACGATGATACCAGAATGAAGCTCCGCGGGGTTATTCAATATATGATCTGTATGGGAGCTGCAGAAGTCACGCGAACCCTAACTAGTGTATAGGATGTCTGAAAAACGACGAAGCTGAATTAGGGTTCAGAGCTTAGGGTAGCGAAGCCGAAGTGGAACCCTAAAGCTTCAGCACCTTCGCCGATTCGTGTTGAAGGTTCCTTACAGTTACGGCGTTCCCTAAGCCCGAAACCCTAATTCCGCAAACAGGATCCTAGAAGTTTCAGGAGGATCCTGGAAGGTTTTGAGCCGGGGCTCAAGGTGGGAAGAGCTTCTAAAACCGAAGCGACCCTTTAACCGAGAGTCTTAAGCCCAGCGCCTGAGGAAGCCTTCTGTTCGGACATATACAATCTACCACAAACATAGCAGAACATGGGATAATATACTGTAATATGCTATAATGTAACCCTAAACTCTAAACCCATAATCGTATATTGTAGTATGTAATGCATCATTCGCATGAGCCTAACCTCGTAGCAACCCTTTTATTAGTGTTATAGTACTACAGTAGTCCTTTTTGTTTTTCAACCCTTTAAAGTAACTTACATAGTAGGCACCATGCCATGCTTCAAAGGTATGTCGACAAGGTGGTGGAGATGCCGGTCCACAAGCATGTTCATGTGCCAATGGTCCAGACCGTGCCCTGGAGGGCATAAACAAACGTGGTTGCGAGTTAGGGTTTAGGGTATCGGGGTTTAGGGCTTAGGGTTCAGGGGTTGCAAGGGTTTGGGCTTCAGGGTTGGTAGGGTCTGTTTCTTAGGGGCTGGCTTATGGGGTTCACGTGTTGGAGGGTTCTATGATTGCCTCAAGGGCCTCATAGTGCTTTCTTTTTTTGAGGGTCTTTGAAAGTTTGCGACTTGCAGGTGTTCGGGCCAGGCTTTGTTTCTTTCACTGGTAGGGCTGGCAGGGTTTCGCATTTCAGATTCAGGGTTTCAGTAGTACCTAAACTTCAAAACCCGAAACCCTTAACCCCTAAACCCTAAAACCAAAACCCCTAACCCAAAGCCCCGCTTTACCGCTTTACCCGGGTGCCTCCCTTGTCTCTGGAATTTCTGACAGATTTCTGTGCGCCCTCCTGCGTGGTTGGACCCTTCGGCTTCAGATTCCCAGGCTGTGCTCAGGCCCCAGCAGTCTTGTTACAGAGGTCTTTCTACTTAATGATGATCTATCATGATAGTTCCTATCTACTTAGAGTGTACATTGTCGCCCAAAGCCCTCTTCTGAACATAAAGGCCTTGTACTAGCCAACGACCTACACAGCGCATCCTCGAGAGCCTCTCGTGATGAGGTGAACCGCGAGATTGAGGTTCCCCAGATTGAGTACATTGACTCCTGGTCCAGAAGTGTAGGGTTTAGGGAGTAGGGTTTAGGGTGGAGGAGTCAATAGGCGGTTGTTATCATGCTAGTAAGTGCTTGCGACTACGATTGCTGTCCGGATTATTGTTACTTCTGCCGTCGCTGCCGTTGCTATTCTGCTAGCGTTGGTGTTATCATTTAGTCATTTAGTGTACGTTTCGCAACAACGAGTGCCGTCCTAGTGAGACTTTGGGGTTGAGCAGAGAGCCAAAACCAAGAAAAGCGGGGGGCACTTCGGGTTTAGAGCGTAACCCTAGGGTTTAGGGTTTAGGGTTTAGGGTTTTAGGGTTTAGGGTTTTAGGGTTTAGGGTTTAGGGTTTAGGGTTTAGGGTTTTAGGGTTTAGGGTTTTTAGGGTTTAGGGTTTAGGGTTTAGGGTCCTAGACCTTAGAACCCTAACTGCAGCTTCCACAAATGGTGGATTCCGCCGACCTTCACTGCTAGGGGGAAAAGGCGCTCAAAAAAACCCTAACCGTACGCCCTGAATCCGAGGCGTCGGGATTCTGCCTTTCAGGTCCCAGGCTTTGGTGGGTTTAGGACTTAGAATGTCGAGTATGGGATTCCGTTTTTTTTTGGTGCCTTCGGGCTTAATTCTGATTGCTACTATTATTGTTGTTATTGTTTTTTGTTAGCATTGTTATTATTGTTATCATTGTTATCATTGTTTCTATTGTTATTCGCATCGCCGCGTATACTCTTGTTCTCATTATGGGGTTGGCAAGATTTTCAGATTTTTGGGGCGTTTCGGGCGCAGGTTTCTGCTTCGAGCTGTCAGTTTACGGCTCTCAGTCCTAAGCCATTTCAAACTCTAGGTCCTAGGCAACGTTGGGTCGAGGGTGTAGGTGGACTAAGGATATGGCAGACCTAGCTAGCAAGGTGACCCGCGGATGGCTTTGAACCTCTCAGTTGCTTGGTATAGTATACAGACTGCAAGAACGCCTGGTGTTGTGGAATAACGACTCTATTTTCACGCCAGTTATCGCAATGACAGCAACAAGACTAACTACAGCCCGATAGCCAGTGCTGACTGGGACTATGACTTTGGACCCTGAGCCCGAAATCGTAAACGGTGGCTTCAGGGCTTGACGAGCCTTTTTTCCCGAACTTCGTAAGCTCGGAAGCCTCAAGGATCAGCACGTCCACATCCCAATCCAGAAGCACCGCCACGTGCCGGTGCAAGTTCCAGTTGAGCGCCCGGTGGAGGCCATTCTTCTTGCGGGGATTATCGGCTTTAGTCGGGTGTGGGCGTCAAGCCTTTCGGCAGGTTGCAGGGCCAAAATTTGCGATGTTGGGTTAGGGTTTTCGAGGTCTAGGCAGGTTGTGTCTTACCTCCCCCAACCCCCTCAACCCTGCAAATCCTACGAGTCAGACTCCCAGACACCCCGAAATTTCAAAATTTCAACAGGCTTTCTATATAGCACAGAAGCCCCAAGACCCAACATACTAGCTCCGAAGCCTCGGCCAAGGCTTTCAAGACCCCGCTGATCGTCAAGCCCTTTCAAGCCCTTAAGACCCCCTTTGGAGGCTCCAAAAAGTAGATCCCTTAATGGGGCTTCCTATAAAGTACCCTTAGTAGTAAAGGGCCTAAATTAGTGGATCTACTTTCTAGATTCTCCCGGGGGTCTGGGTACAGAACTCTTTCGCAGGTCAATGTGATCGAGACCACGGAGAAGGTGGTGGACATCCCTGTCGTGAAGCAGCGGGAAGTGCCCCAGGCCAGGTTCATAACTTGAAGAGCCGGGAAGGTCACTAAACCCTACACCCTGAACCCTAAGCCCTAAACCCCTAAACCCTAAACCCTAAACCCTAAACCCTGAACCCAAAGCCCTAACCCTAAGCCCAAAACCCTTAACCCTAAACCCTTAAACCCAAAGCAGTAAACAATCAAGAATTAACCTCCAAAGCCTTGAAAACAGCCCGAAACGCCTAACACCCCAAAGAATCCAAAACCCGAAAGCCCCACAGCCTTAAAGCCCAAGACCCCAAACCTTCGGCTTTCCCCAAAGCTGCCCTAAAGCCGAGATTGCCCTAACAAAAGGGGCCTTAATAATTAGCATAGGGTTCTGGGGCTCACTATATTATGTTTAGAATAAGGAACCCCCAACATAGTATAGGTGATTATTAGGGCTCCTATAGTTAAAGTAAACCCTGAGACCCGAAAGCCTTAAACCGCCCACCATGTAGGTCCAGACCATCGAGAGGATCGTGGAGGTCCCCATGGTTCCCTCCTCAGAGTGGGCCCGAAACCCTAAACCCTTAGCCCTCCTTCAGAGTGGGAGCAGATTTTGGCGCTTTCGGTGTTCGCCCATAACCCTAGACCCTAAACCCTAAGGTTTAGGGTTAGTAATAGTATCTCGGTATAGTCCTTCTAGTATAACTATTACTAAAATACACTCCCAAACCCTGTTTGTAAGGTCTCGATGTCACTAGAGTAAACCGAGTCTCAACCTTAAACCCTTACGCCTGTCCGTTCGGCACATCACTTTCGTATTGGGTTTTGACCATTCTTCTGAGTTTAAGGTTTGGGGGTGTTTATTACGGTGGTGTCGCGTTTGTCACAGACCGCTTACAACTACCACACACACACGGACCTTCGTATGTGTTTACATGAGCATGCGCATGCAGGTCTGCTTGGTTCTGACAGTTTTGGGGCAGTAACCTTGGTATGGCAAGTAGTCCCCGGAAGCCGTCATTGGACTCGCCATCGTCATCTTAGTAAGTCATATTCTTACTAGATTTAGTCGGTGTTTAGTAGCCGTCAGCAACAACAAGCTATTTGCAGTGCTTCCACCGAAATCACGTCCTGTAAGACTGTCTACTGTTGGCAACACTACACTGTCGAGGACGAAGATCTGCATAGTCGAGAATTCTCGCGCAGCTTTTGCTGCTAATTGCTGTGATATTTAGGAGTTTATAGTCTACATGTCGATAGCTGTGGAAATTGGGCTGCTCAGCGGCAGGGCGACTACCGTGAAAGTAGACCAGGACGACACTGTTTGGACCTTGAAGTTGCGGGCGCAGACATCCCTAAGAGTCGGAAATGGCCGGCTGGTAGGCTCATCTGGAAATGTTCTGGATGCGGGTCTGTCGATCATAGACTCCGGGTTGCAGGACGGTGACTCGCTGACATTGCATATACACCGAGGGCAAGTATGTGGCACCAGAAAAGCTTTTGCTGCCATCGTTGGCAATGGATCTGTCGTGACGTTGGGTGATGCTGATTTCGGTGGTGACAGTAGCACCGTGCAGGCTCAGCTTAAGGATGTGGAGCAGATTCAAGCCTCTGGGGCGGCTTTTGCCGCCATTCTTGGCAATGGATCAGTCGTGAGCTGGGGTGCTCCTCACTATGGTGGTGACAGTAGTGCTGTGCACGGCTTGTTGAAGAATGTGCAGCAGATCCAAGCTACTCACGGCGCTTTTGCTGCCATTCTTGGCGATGGTACCGTTGTGACTTGGGGTGAGACTGGCGATGGCGGTGACAGTAGTGCTGTGCAGGGACAGCTGAAAAGTGTGCGGCAGATTCAAGCCTCTCAGGGTGCTTTTGCCGCCATTCGTGTTGATGGATCTGTCGTGACCTGGGGTGATCCTTCTAGTGGTAGTGCTAGCGCTTCTATGCACGCTCAGCTTAAGAATGTGGAGCAGATTCAAGCCTCTGGGGCGGCTTTTGCTGCGATTCTTGGCGATGGATCTGTCGTGACCTGGGGTGATTCTGATTGTGGTGGTGACAGCAGCACTGTGCAAGATCAGCTGAAGAATGTGCAGCAGGTACAAGCCTCAAGCTTGGCTTTTGCCGCCATTCTCAGCGATGGATCTGTCGTGACCTGGGGGGAAGCTGAGCATGGCGGCGACAGTGGTGCTGTGCAGGGTCAGCTGCAGAATGTGCATCGGATCCAAGCCTCTGCAAGCGCTTTTGCTGCTGTGCTTGGCGACGGATCTGTCGTCACCTGGGGTGCTGAAGATAATGGGGGTGACAGTAGCGCAGTGCAGGACCAGCTCGAGAGTGTCCAGCAGATCCAAGGCAGTTGGTGTGCCTTTGCTGCTATTCTTCAAGATGGCTCTGTCGTGAGCTGGGGTGATGTTGACCGTGGCGGTGATAGCGGTGCTGTGAAGGATCAGCTGAACAATGTGCAGCAGATTCAAGCTTCTGGGAATGCGTTTGCCGCCCTTATTGGCGACGGATCTGTCGTGACCTGGGGTGATCCTGGGTATGGTGGTAACAGTAGCACTGTGCAGGATCAGCTAAAGGATGTCCAGCAGATCCAAGCCTGTCGCAGTGCTTTTGCTGCCATTCTTGGCGATGGATCCATTGTGACCTGGGGGGAAGCTGGTGCTGGTGGTGACAGTAGTGCCCTAAACCCTAAACCCTAAACCCTAAACCCTAGCAGATCCGCTTTCTGTCCAAGTCTTTGCACACGATTGCGAGCGACACAGCGACAAGCCTGAGCATGCTGGGCTGCGCTGTGCATGCCCGCAGGAAAGGCTCCTTGCACGTCGCCATCATGTCGGGAGGACGGAAAAGAGAATGCGGTATATATATATATATATACATACACACATAATGTCTATCTATATCTGTATTATATGTATATGTACGCGTATATGTGTCATATGTGTATACAGGTATATGTGTATATCTGCATATATGTATATATGTATATACGTAAATTTTTATATATCGGTATATTTGTTTATTTGTTTATTTGTTTAGATGTAAATATATATGTATATGTATATGTATGTATGTATGTATATATGTATGTATGTATGTATGTACGTATGTGTGTATGTATGTATGTATGTATATGTGTATATATATATATATATATGTATGTATATATGTATATGTGTATATGTGTGCATGTGTATATGTAAATGTGTATATATGTAAGTCTGCACGTTGTTTTTATATACGTGACATATATACATGTGCATGTATGCATATATGTATGTATGCATGCCTGCATGTATGTATGTACGCACGTATGTATGTATGTAAGTATGTAGTTAGGTATGTCATGTATGTCATGTATGTAATGCACATATGTATGTACTGTAGTTCAATGTACTGTAATGTAGGTACGTGTGTGCATACGTATGCATGTATGCATGTATGTATATATCTATGTATGTATGTATGTCTGTGTATGTTTATGTATTTGTATATACACATGCGTTCGGATTTGTGCTGTTCGTGGAAGCCTACGGTCTACATCACATTTTTCTGTTTTTGTCAAGATAGGTGGGAAGGTAGGTAGGCAGGGAGGAATGAAGCGGAGATGCGCCTGTGCATGCAGGGGCACGTGTTTCCTGGTATAGCTTTTTTGAGTTCTGGTAAGCAACTCTACTTTCAAATGAAGTATTGCGAGTTGTTGGTGCGCAACGTCCTGTACTCTGATACCCTGCGGCATATCGTCGTAGCTTCATGCAGCTCCTACATAAACTGATGTGCCATCTTCGACATGTTCCGGAGAGCTTGATTCGATTATTCTGCATTATGCACCTGCATATTGACATACCTGTATGTTCATTGTTCATCATGAGAAGGTTCGACATTGCACGCATTCCACAATTCATGCTTTTGCACGTGCTTTGTTTGTCATCAGACGCTCCACTATGGTAGTACAAGAGATACTACATGTATGAGCATCTCCGTCGACATTCTCGTATACTTGTGTATACTCCAATAAGCCGCTGTAGGCTATCACCTTGTGATTCTGCACAATTGCATGTTTTGCTGTGTTGTCACTATCTTTGTGAACTGGACATGTCAAAGCATGCATTTACCACGTATATATACTGCACGCAGCAGTGAATGTTGCTACGGTTATACAAGCTTGTATGTAGCCGTGCTGTTTCGCTCCTCGGCATTCCTTTACGTTCTGCTGTTGCTGTTGTGTAATTAGTAATTGATTACACGTGTGTAAATACAGGTGCAAATCCAATACATTCGGTGTATGTATGAAGCGCAAACCATCCAACACTCATTATACATGCATAGGCATCCATGCGTGCCTATGTATGTGTGTGTGTGTGTGCATGCAATGCACTGTTGCATGCATGGACGTACGCATGTATGTACGTATGTGCGTATTTGTGTACGTATGTGCGTATGTGTGAATTTTGAACATGCATGTATATATACATATATAAAGAGGATCTATGTCAGTATAAGTGTATGTATATACACAGATGTATTTATGTATGTATATATGTATGTGTATATGTGTACAGGCGTGTGTATATATATATATATATATGTACGTTTCTATATACATGCATATGTATATGTATATGTTCACGTATATGTGTATATGTATGTGTTCACGTGTGCGTACATGTAGATGTAGATGTACGTGTAGATGCAGATGTTGATGTACATGTATGTGTTTATGTATATGCAACCTCGAGCCTAAAACCAGGATGCAAGCATGTGACAGCTCCAAGGTACAGGTGGTCCAGAAGGTTGTGGAGATTCCACAGGCGCCACTGTCACATCCACTTGTGCCGGCTTGTGCCAATTCCAGGCTGTTGTTCTGTAGTATTCTTAAACCTTTTCGATGTGGGTCCTCGTATTCAAGCTGGCTATCGGAAAAGGATAGGCTGATGATTAAAGGCCCCCTAAACCCTAAACCCATGAAAGGGCTACCGGACTGCGGCTGTACGGTAGACTGCTGCAGAAAGCCACCGCATACCTTTCGGCCACGAAGGCCTCCAAGTGTTGTGCGAAGTTCACTTAGTTCTGCAATACCCAACCTTTAAACCTTTTTGAAAGTTTAACCTTTCATTTCTGTGGCTTATTGGGGAAGTAAGTTTATGGTTTAGGATCATATCTCTGTCTCAATGAATGAGATGGCTTGCATGTTTCGAAGCATGGAGGGGCGCGCATCTTGATGTTGGGAGTATTCCTAGCTCATCAGTAAGCGAAGTTGTACCGTGCCTGATATGGGGTCGGACTAATTAGTAACAGTTTGCCCTCCTAGGTTCTTGGTTGTAAATTATGCGATGGTTTACCCCAAGTCCTATTTTGTGGAAATCATACGATGATATACCCCAAGTCTTATTTTGCTTTCTAAGGCCCCTATATTAACCCCCCCGGTTGCAACGAGGGCCGTGGTTGAATTCTCCTCGGGCACCTGAACCCTGAGGCCTTCAATTGTGCAAGCCCAAATCTCCACAGCCATGGTCGACCTAAAGCCGCCCGGGACCCAAAACCGAAGAACCCCAAGCCCTCAACTCTAAGCCCTGTGCATCCGTAACCCCTGTGCCAGGAGGGGCAAACTATGCAGGGAACTGTCCGTGAAGTGGACATCCCAGGAGAGCAGCGCCGCGAGGTGGGAGATAAGGGTTTCTTGAATTTGGGGGGGTCGTAACGCATGCGGCTATACTTGCTTTGGTGGGTGTTTTGTTTTCTGGAAACTCCCGGATGAGGCCTCCGGGTTCGGAGTCCTACTTGGGATTCGAAGCGCTTTGAGTTTGATTCTGAGTGTTGTCGGTTCAGTGGGGAGCACTCAGGGAGTGGGCTTTTTGTCTAAGTTTTCGGGCTCTTGTTGAAGTCCGGCGTCCATCGTCCCAGTAGTCCGAGGTTCGTGAATCCCAAATTCCATTCCCAAAACCTTAAACCCTAAACCCTAAACCCTAAACCCCTAAACCCTAAACCCTAAGCCTAAAACCTGAAACCTCGGCATCCTGAAACCCAAGCCTTTACCGACGCCTGAGCATTCAGACCCTGAAGCCCGTGGCCTCGAATCGGTCCATCAGTCGCTTGAGTTGTATAGGAGCAGCCCACGCAGACTGTGCAGCAGGCTGGGAGACAGCTGGAATGTTTCAAGAGGGCAGTGAGAAGCACCATTTGTAAAGCCACACCCCTATGTAAGATTGAGATCATTGGATCACTCCGCCATAGACCCTCAAACGCAATGTCACTCTTCTTGGTGCTACACGAGACGGCTGCTTCCGGGTTCGTTTTAGGGTCCCTTTGATATGGGTGCCGTGCGATTTTGGGGGAACTGAAAAGGGAGGCTAATCTAGATAAGGCTGACAGGTGCTCACTGCATCGACTCCGCCATAAGATTTCGTCAATCCCTGTCCCTGGCATTTGGGATTACCCTCGCCAGAATCCGAGGGACGAATCTGAAGCTGAACTTCACCAGTACCCTGAGTAATCCTCACAGTCCAAAACTTGAAAGCAGCGGTATCAGGATCCAGGGTTTTGGGTCCTGGGGGTAAGGTTCAGAGTTCGTGACCCGCAGATGGTCTTGCTTGCCGGCATCAAGTAATTGCACAACGCTTCTTCGGTTCAGAGCTCCAGCTCAGGGTTTGAGCATGACTCAGGCCAGACCTGACTTTCCCCCGGTCTGGGCAAGAAGCCCCACCATCCGAAGCCTGAGCCCGAAACCTCAGCAAGCTTTACACCGCAAAACCTTACACATCATATCCCAGAGCCCAAACCTCGAAAGCTTAAAACCCCAAACCCCAACTCCCCTAAACAACTACCCCAAACCCCAAAACCGTAAACAACTACACCAAAACCCTAATCCCTAAACGCCCTAAACCCCATACCCTACATCCCAAGCATCCTTAAAGCGCCCTGCCAGGTCCTGGCTGGCCCAGATCACCCGATGGAGGTCGTTCAGGGCCAGGCGAGCCTCAAAAGTAGCGGTAGTAGTAGTAGTAGTATATAGTAGTAGTAGTAGTAGTAGTAGTAGTAGTAGTAGTAGTAGTAGTAGTAGTAGTAGTAGTAGTAGTAGTAGTAGTAGTAGCAGTAGTAGTAGTAGTAGCAGCAGCAGCAGGAGTAGTAGTAGTAGTAGTAGTAGTAGTAGTCGTAGTAGTCCCACAAGCTGAATCCAGGGCAAACCGCCCTAAGCCTACCAATCCTAAACTCCTATAAAACCTAAAGGAGCATGGAGCACCGGAGGGTTTGTTCTGTCTCGCCTTTTACCAGGCTTAGAGCTTCAGCTGTTGATGGCTTTGAGGTTTTGAGTCTACGGGATAGGGTTTGGCACTTTAAGGTGAGGGTTCGGCCGTTCATGCCGCTTATATCCAGGAGTTGGTTTCAGGGTGTCCTGGTAAGGATCTTTAACCATTCAGCAACGAGAAATGCGGATAGTTTAGCCACGCATTGTACCACAGAGGTCGTAAGTTCTGATGAGGACCAGAGGAGCCAAGGGACCGGCAACAAATTGCAAAGTCCTGACCGCAATCCCTCCCTAAACTCTAAGCCTTACGCCACTTAAGACCCTGGAGCAACGGAGCCCGGCGGAGGTATTCTAGAGCCCTGAGCCACAATCCTTAAGCCCTACCACCGAAACCTTAGGCCTCAACATCTAAATCCCGATAACCCGGAAACCCTGCACCGTAAACCCTCTGGATCTTTGCAATAAAGGGGCCATAAGCCCTCAGCCCTGGACCTTACCTCCTCAAAGGACTCCAAACAATCCTAAATCTCTTAAGCAAAATCCAAGCCTCAAGTCTCTCAAGCAAGAACAGCCTTTGAAAGCTCGAGCCCGCAGCTTGCAAGCAGGTCACGGACGTGCCACAGGCAGTGCAGAGGGGTTTGTGCGTCAGGTTTCTGAAGCCTAACCCCCAACCCTAAACCCGAGAAACCCTAAACCCAAAAAGCCCTTAAATGCCAAATTCACACGATTGATGGTCCAGGCTAGTAATAGTTTTAGGATCTACTGGAGTTTCGGGTGGCTGCCCTGGGACTCCGGTTTTCCAGCCCACATGTCCGCAACTAAGGCAGCCCTCAGGGTGGGGCCTTCAGGCACTGATGGGTAGTTCTCTAAAATACTTGGAGGTTCATGGGACTTAGTAACTAGGGTTATAAATGAGGTAACTATACTTATAATTGCTCATATCCCCAGTTAAGGTACTTATAACTGTACTTACTAAGTCCCATGAACCTCCAAGTAGGGTCCCTTTCCGGGTACTTCTTTCTGATGCGGTATTATGTTGGGGACCCAAAAAAGGACCCTGATTTAGATATCTTAACTGCGCTGATTGTACGAGTAGTGGGGGTGAGCCGGGGGATTGGGCGTGAAGAGGCAGGAAGAGGTGGCGGGGTGAACTGCAACAAGAACTCAAGGTCAAAGAACCCCAAGACGTACTTGGATTTGATCTGGAACAGCGGTCGGGAGGTGCCCACGACGACCACCGTCGGCGAGCCTGTCTACCTGCCTCCCATCACAGCCGAGGTGTGATGTGCGCGTACTGCCGGGATCTTCAACTCCAAACTTGTTTCTTTTTCTAGGATATTGGTTTAAGGCGTGGCAATAAGAATGAAGCGATTTTTCACTATGTTACTATGTATCCGGTAAACCCTCGCCCCGCAACCTCGACATCCTCAACAGCTCGACTACAAGCCAACTCGACTGTTCAGGGTAAGGACAGGCCTGGGGCATGGAAACTTAGTCCCGAACCAATTTCCCGCAACGGCTTTACGCGGCAGATGGTCAGCATCTAGAATCTAGCACTCCTCTAAGACATTTACATAGAATTTGGAAAGGTGCAATCAACTTCCCTGTAAAGAACCCTGAATACACACTGCATCCACTATGCCACTATGCGTTGAAGCCGCACTTGTGCATGCACTACGAACATCTCCACTGAATCCCCCAAACACGCCTAGCCTAAACCCTCAACCCCTAAACCCTAAACCCTAAACATGCAGCTTCGACGCGCAGGCGGCTCCTGTGACCATGGTCTCTGAGGTCTCGCTTTCTTGGATTGGTTACTACAGGGGCCTAATACCATTTTGGGGTTCCATACTATCATTATAGTATAATATACACCCCCCAAACCCTATTCTAATTAATATTAGGGCCCCTATATTATGAAGCCCTTATAGTAGCCCTCATAGTAACCCCTATAAAGGAACCTTATACCCTATTCTAAGTATGAAGGCCGCTACATTACCCAACAGTGGCGGCTTTGAGGTTTGGTACGACAGTTGCTACTAAGCATGTCGTGCTGACATATGGCACCTGGTAGATTCGTGCATGCACATACAAATACAAATAATATAGAAAGTGTACACATGCAGGTGCACATGCATGTCTATCTATATATATATATATATATATATATATATATATGCATATATGCATGTATCCGCGCATGTGTGTAGACCATATGTGTGTATCTGTATGTAGGGGCTTTTGTATAGAGGTACCGAGGGGTTACCACATGTACAATTATAGATATACATTGACATGTGAACAGATGCATGGCACAGCAGTGTATATGTGTGTGTGTGTGTCGTGCATTTGCATATGCCTACATGTATGTACATGTCTACGTGTATGTGCATGTGTACGTGTGTGCATAAGCGTTGCATATGTGTCTGCCTCTGTGTGCACGTGTATGTACATGTGCAGCCTTCATGTGCATGTGAATATTTGTATGCGTAGGTGTGTGTTTATGTATGTATGTCTGTGTGTATGTATGTATACATATATATCCCCATATATATATATACACATAACTGTTTATGCACATATGTATATGTGTATGGATATGCATCTACACAAATGTTTATTCTTACATTCCTATGTGTATTCCTGGCATGTCTCAATGTGCGGAGAGTTTGATCGCCCGACGAGTTTGTTTGACAGGCAAGCCAACCCCCTCCTGGAGCCGTCTTCGCAGCTCCAATGATGCAGGCCACGACAAGGGGACGGGGGTGGGATCTTGAGACAAGCCCCACGTTTGTGAAGTTATTTCCTTCGAGAAGACACTGCTTATCACTGCTTCAACCCTTCTCATCTGCATGTATTCGTGTATGACCCTACACCCTTCACTTCAGACGCCTTGGCGGACCAAAAGGGCCTTTATGAAAACCTAAGCCCTAAACCCTTGCGCAAACCCGTCTGCCGTTTCAGGCCCCAGCAACCACGACGGTTGGCGAGCCGGTCTACCTCCCACCCATCACGGCTCCGGCCGAGGCCAATCTCGGGTCTCCAAGCTCGCGCCGTCTGAAAATGCAATACATAATATATACATATATACGTATATATTACAATGCAAGACATAATGCATAATTTCGTATATGTATAGAAAATTTTACAAGATAAAGTATAACAGATAGTGCATAATTTGTAGAAGATAGAACTGACAGAATATGTAGTAGATAACATATAACATAGGGAATAGGAAATGTAATAAGTAGCATATATCATGTAGAATATAGAATCATAAGAGTGCAAACACTATAAAATATTATAGTTCGTATAAAACATGTAGCATACAAAATAAGAAGTCGATTAGTATATAAAATATACAATGCAACATATAGTCACAAGTAGACTATACCTTCTAAGCTGGACAGGCCGCTCCACAGACGATCAGCACCATGCCGCCGCAGGGCGCCGTCTTCGCAGCCCCTGCTGCTCAGGTCTGGAAGCTAGGGTAGGTACACTAAATGGACCTTCACAATTGGTTGTTCCTTGAAAGCGTTCAAAAAAAAAGGTTGACTAGAAGGGATGATGTGGGTTTTAGTATAGTAATAACATACATTAGATATAATAGGAACCGTAAGGAACCGAACTGGTAATTGTGTATGCCCTTGTAGTCGGCACATGCACTCAGATCTCGCCTCCCGAAGAGAGAACGTAGAGTCGCACAGGAATTAAACCTGCCTGTACACTCCTGTACACGACGAAAACAAGAGTTGGTTGAAGAAGACTGTTTTGGAGTTCATGCACCAGCAACCTAAGTGAATAACACGACCACATGAGACACTATCCTAACAAACCTATCGCTAAGCCAACTAAATACATGTAAGGACATCATCTTCCATCAACCTGTGAACTAATGACCGGTGTCACCCCTGGCTAAAACAGGAGAGGCCATTACATTGCTAAACGACTCGATGGGTGAAGATGCAGGTACCGTCGCTAAATAGCAGAGCATGCAAACATATCACTCGCATCTTCATACCTACGAAAAAGTTTACGTTTTTTGCCAGAGAGGATGTGTATATATGTATACGTATATCTAGTCTGGAGCTATGCACATTTGCTTGTAAGTGGAGGCAACATGACATGTGCACACACACATATGTATATGTATATGCCTTTGTATGTGTATGTATGTGTGTAGATATATGTATATATGTATATGTAAATGCGCACATATGTGTGTATATGTATGTATGTATGTATGTATGTATGTATGTATGTATGTATGTATATACATATATATATATATATATATATATATATGCACACAGCAAGCTTCGCACTACAGGCCCGAATATTGAAAGTTTCTTGAACACACTATAGGCTAGGATGTCGCAAGAGTCTTACGTCTACTGCCAATGTCTACATGACAACACAATACAAGTATGTATATATGTATGTTTGCATGTACGAACGAGAATGAATGAATGTATGTATGTCTTTGTGTACATGAACATATCTGTATATACATATATATATACACAGTAGCATACATATATATATATATATATATGTATGTGTACACATATGGATGTACCTATGCATTTTTGTAGATACCAAAATAGATATACATGCACACGCAACTATGCACACGCACGTACCTCTCAATGTTTCCCCCTCCCTCGTATGACAGGTCCCAACCACGACGACCATTGGCGAGCCGGTCTACCTTCCCCCTATCACGGCTCCGGCAGAGGCGCGATCGGTGTTCAGGTGTGCGGCAGTTTTTCTTCAAAGTGCAAGCTGGACAGGGCGCTCCGCAGACCATCGGCACCATGCCGCCGCAGGGCGCTGTCTTTGCAGCTCCTGCTGCTGCGGCCGGGGACTCGGAAAGTTGAGACATCTCACAACGCTTTGGGCAGCGGCGCGCACAACTCAGCAGGCAATACATAGCTAAATGGATAGATAGATAGCTAGACAGATAGCTAGTCATATCTGCTATCTGCGTGGACAGATAATTGAAAATAGGTAGATCGATGAACGGATGGGTAGACAAACAGATAGAGAGAAAGGTTGATAGATAGCTGCATAGATGGCATAGATAGGTAGAGTAGATAGATGGATAGATGGACAGATACACAGGTAGATAGGTAGCCAGCGGGTACATAGATAGCTAGGCAGCCAGCAAGCCAGCAAGTACAAGGTAGGCAAGTCGACAGGTGGGCGGGAAGGCGGAAGGTAGCTAGGTAGGTAGTTAAGTAGAGTCGGCATGCATGCAGACCTCATCAGACCTCCATACCACGTATGCACATTTTTGAACTTCTCAGTCTGTGTGGCGCCTCTTTCCACTTGTCCCTTCTGTCCCTCTCATGGCAGGTTCCGACCACCACCACGATTGGCGAGCCGGTTTACCTCCCGCCTGTCACAGCTCCTGCAGAGGCACCAGCGGACCGTCCAGGTGTTCATGCGGCAGTTCTGGTTGAAGCTGCAAACCAGTGCAGGGCGCCCCGCAAACCATCGGCACCATGCCGCCGCAGGGCGCTGTCTTTGCAGCCCCGACTCAGGTGAGGGTTTAGGAACGGTTAGGGTGAGCCAAGCGTCAGTTTTTGCTCATTGGCACACCAGTTTCTCACATCTCTGTTTCTCTCTGCCTCTCTCAGCCTCTCTCGTCGCTCTGTCTCTCTTACTCTCTCTCTCTCTCTTTCTCTCTGTCTTTTTGTCTCTCTCTCTCTCTTTCTCTCTTTCTGTCTCTGTATACTACTTTCGTATATGTATATACTATTTGTATCTGTATATCTGTATAAGTATACCTAGCTATCTATCTCCTTCTGTATCTCTCTTTCTCCGTCTGTAGTTATCTGTGTCTGTCTTTTCTGTTTTTTTTTAACACTTTCTTCCCCAGGCGGTTCCTACCACGACCACGATTGGCGAGCCGGTCTACCTGCCTCCTGTTACGGCTCCTGCCGAGGTGCGCCGCAACATGCAAGTCTTCTCGCATACGATTGTTGGACACTTGTGGCAGTTGAAGCTGGAACGACGCAGACAACGGAAGAATATCAAGCGACTGTCGTTCAAATAACGATGCATACACATACGTTGTATGTATGCATGTATGCATGCATGTACGTATGTAGGTATGTATGTATGTGTGCATGCATGAAAATATCCGATTGATGGAAATAAGGAGGGAGGGAGGGCGGGACGGGGAGGGAGGGTGGGGGGGCAGATACGAACGAACTCAGATTAAAAGAGAAACAGATACACACTGGAGAGTAGAGTTGTGGTGTTTTCCTTCTTCCACCCTTCAGGGCTCCGTCTCAAGCTGGCTTCAACCCACAACCCCAAAATGAAACCCTAACCCTAAACCCCTAAATAAAATGATGATACAGAAGTGTCGGGGACGCCAATTTTGCACCTGGACGAGGCCGCTCCGGGGACCATGGGTGCCATGCCACCGCAGGGAGCCATCTTCGCAGCCCCTGCTCCTCAGGCAAACCATAACCCCTTTTGGGGGATACCTTAAGTATCCTTTAAAGGGTTACTCTAACGGTTCCTTTAAGGGGCTCTATAAGGGTTTAGAGTCTCCGAAAAAGGGGCACCTTGTTTTGGGGGGGACTACTGGCTCGCGAGGGTTACCAAGGGTGACGATGCGGGTTTCTACAACGGGTCGCTGAAAGGGAATTTCCGAAAATAGGGGACCCTCGTATGCTGCCCCAAACAATGGGACCCTTACTATAAGGACCCCACAATCGGGTACCCCTACTTGTCGGAAACGCTGATAAGCGTTATGGTCTGGTTTTTGACGGCCTTCAGCTAGCTTTGCTTGTTGCTTCAGCTGTCGCTGACATGTTTACTAGACATGACTGTAGGGGCCTTAAAGAATTACCTATACGACCTTTAAAGGTATCCTTAAGGGTTCCTTAAAGGGATCTATAAGAGATCTCTAGGCTTTAGGGTTTAGTATAGGGGCCTTAACAATTGCCTATACTATTTTGAGGTTCCTTATTGTACTTATACTCCCAAACCCTACAACCCTACTTTAATGATCAAGGCTCTCATATTATGCTCTTACCAACATGCACCTTCCCGTGGGCCGGGTGGTTGTGCCGGAAAGGGGCTTATGTGAAGCCTCCAGCATAAACCTGAAACGCCAGAGACCGTCGACACCCTAAACCCTAAACCCTAAAACCCTAAACCCTAAAACCCTAAACCCTAAATCCTAAACCCTAAACCGCAGGCGGCGATGATGACAACAATCGGTGATCCAGTCTACCTTCCTCCCATCACGGCTCCGGCTCAGGCCCCCGTGGGGTTGGGGGGGAGACGACGTTAGACACCTCTTTTGGGGCATTTCTTCTTGTTACTCTACCTTTTACTGAGGTTGGTTTTCACGCAGTGGCTGTGGTTGTGATATTCCAGTCTTATTCTAGGTCTTCTTCCTCTGTTGTCTGCGTAGCGCTCGGAGTTTCGGGTGCGGGGTTTAGGGCTTAGGGTTTATTAGGATCATCAGCTCGGTATGCATCTGCGTGCGGAGTCTACATTACTTACTTGCCTGCTTTCAGACGTCTTGTACACTCAGGCTGGCAGTTCAGAACCAGCGTTTTAGAGAGTTAATGCATGGTTCCTTCCGGGACCACAATACTGCAGGGAGCAGCTCAGATGGCCCCTGGTACCATCTATGGCGCGCCGCCGACACAGGTGGCCGCTTGTTGTTGATCCTTCGCGCTTGTAGGGTGAAAGGCCTGAACCCGGAACCCTGAATGTTCCACCCTAATGCTAAGCCCAGAGCCTGAACGACTCTAATTAATTTCAATACCTTGGAGACGTTAAAGCATCAGGTGACAGGTTGCGGCTTCGGGTTTAATTTCGAGGCCCCCATGGTATCAATAGTTCTTTAAAGGGTTCCTTGATAGGTTCTGCAAGTGTTCCTGTAAGGGTTTTGGATAGGGGCCTGAATAGTTAGATAGTGAGAAATAGCATTCGGGAGAATCCAGTTACGAAAGTTTGTGACCCTTGTGTGTAGGCTGTTGATAGACAGACAGATAATTAGGCAGATCGATAGATCATGTAGAGAGAGAGGGCGAGCAGCGTGGAATCGCAAAACACAAAACCCTCGAGTCACTTCACAGCTAAATGGCCCAAGCCCTAAACCCTAGGCCCTAAACCCTAAACCCTAAACCCTAAGACCCAAACCCCAAGTCCTAAACATCCCGAAGCCCTAAACTGTTTGCTGGTAGTTTTTTAGCATGTGGACTTCCAGAGCGAATATGGTAAATCCCGCAATTGATAAACCCTAAACCCTAAACCCTAAGATCTTGCTTTTCGTTCCGGAGCTAGGGCCCAGAGTAGGGCCTTATTCCCTTTTTGTAAGGTTTAGGGTTTCCTTATAACCCGTTTTCATACCAAAAAGGGGGCCCTGTTTCTTCTTGGCTTTCTCTGGGGGTCTAGGGAAGGTGCCGGACCCTTTAAGCTCAGCTTGCAAGATGTCGAGGTTGGATTCGTGGGCAACAGTAATCCCCGATGCTCCCGAATATAAGTGTACTATACTGTACCCCCAAAACCCAGTTCTAAATATCAAGGCAGCTATGTTAGACCCCTTGTAGTAACTCCTGTAGTTATACTAAGTTAAATTTGTTCAGTTTTGCTTCCAAGAGCTGCCCCAAGGATCCGTAATCGTGGCACCTAAAAACCGAGTCTGATATGCTGGCCAGGCTACAGGTTTTCAACATGGCTGTAGCAGAAGCGGCAGTATGTAGTCGTAGTCGTCGGGGTTGTGTCTCTGGTTGTGGTGGGGCAAGGGTATTGGCAGTGGTTTGTAGTAGTGATGGTGGTAGTGGTTTCTGGTTGTGCTTGTTCTTCTTGTTCTACTTGTTCTGACGTTTTTTTTGTCGTCGTCGCTGTCCTTGTCGTAGTTGGTTGTGGTGGTGGTGGTGGTGGTGGTGGTGGTGGTGGTGGTGGTAGCGCCGCCGCCGTGGTGGTGGTAGTAGCCCTGTTGCGGTTGTTTTTTGTGCTGGTGCTTTTTGGTGCCGCTTGCCATGGCCGTGGTGACGATGATAGCGATGCTTACTCAGGATTTCTGCTTGCTTGAGCCTAGGCCTAGTATGCTGGAGATATCGGCCTTTTTCTTCTCATCTCTTTGTCTTTCACTTCTGCTCCGTGCTATGACCCTAGCTCTTTATGCTGCCGTCTTTATCGGTTTGTTATTCTTCTACTTTATGTTTACAACGCACTCTCTTCTTCTCCTTTCTCTGAATCATCCGAACATATCCGTTTCTTTGCTTCTGATTCAAAGCCTAAACCTTAAACCTTAGGTACGGCCCCCATACAGTAAGCGTCTATAAAAAGGCTACTATTAAGGTCCTACTATATCTGTATTATGAATAATATTCAACTATTACTGAGTGGGGGTACTTAACTTAAGCCCTAAAGAGTCTCCCAGCCGTGAGGTTGAGCCCTGCTCCGCGAATCTCCTGAGTATATGAAGTAGGGCTTATATTACCATTTTGGTGAATGTAGTAGGGCTCCAGTTGAATTTTGGTGAGTGTATGTATTGGGTTTTATTATGGGGATACTAGTGATATAAACCATACTCTATATCGGAACACGATTGGTTCTCATTGTCTAGGCTGCCTAAGTTCATAGGGGCCCTTAGGGGGGTAGAGGGGGGATAGGAAATATAGTCCCTACCACTCTCCGGCCTAAAGGTCCCTATGATAAGTTCGGGGAAATAGAAATAGAATTAATGTCTGAAAAGAATCAGGCTTTACTTCGTGTCCCAAGTCCGAGACCTTGATCACTTTACCGAAGCTCCGTGTCACCATGGTAATAAATTGCAGTCATCACTAGTTTCTTTCTTTTTGGTGGAGGGTTTTATGGGACAGACATAATCCCCTGTCGCAGTGTAGAGGCCGGAATTACTAGCAATTCTATCCCGTCATGGTCCCTAGATGCCTTCAGTATAAGGAATTATCCAGGGCCCTATCGCACTGCTTTCCTCCAGGGTGCCGTGTTCGCAGCCCCTGGAATGGCTCCCCCTGGTGCCGTCTTTGCGGCACCCGCACAGGCCTAGATCCTGGCCGCAAGTTGCCCCATGAGCTTGCGGATTTTGTCCAACCTCGTAGTACCCCTCACACGAACCCTTGAAGGTACAAGCCTCAAAGCGTGGTATCTTCAAGAGCCCGAAACACAAAAAGCAAGGAGCAGCACCTTCCGGACCCTAAACCCTAAACTAAGATACGCCAGAGCATGCTAGCATATGTTTGTATGCAGTAGTGTGTATACTCTAGTGTATGCTGGTATAGTTTTCGCAGATTGTAGCATGCTGTAGCATGTTATGGTTTATTACCCCAAACCCAACCGGAAAGTCAAAGCCCTTCACCCTGGGCCCCACGCTCCAAGCCTTATTTCAAGGCCCAAAGCCCTAGCGCTAAACCCCACAATGCCCCAAACACACTATAGGGGCCTTCATAAGTAGAATAAGGTCTTGTGCTATAATATCATACTATATCTACCCTAAACAGTGTCGAGGCTTTAAGGTTTAGGGTCGAGGGTCACGAGCCCAAATCCCAACTCCATGAGCCCTTTGCCAGAGTACATCCGAAACCCGCGCCCCCCCCCCCCCCCCCCCCCCCCCCCCCCCCCCCCCCCCAAAAAAAAAAAAAAAAAAAGCCAAGAAGCCAGACGGTTGATAATATAAATCCTGCATTACCCATAATGGGAAGATACCCTAATTCCCATAGCCTAGGGTTCTTAAGGTACTGCAGGATTTATATCATCAACAGTAACACCCAAAGTCCCCAAAGCCTTGCAGCCTAAACCCGAGACCGACCACAAAACCCGAGACCGACCAAACGAATCCTTTAGAAGCTGCCCCGCCCCTGTAGTAGTGGTATAATAGGAATAAAATAGGGCCCTACTATAATCCTTATAGTCACTATTACAGGCCCATGCCCTTAAGCCCCATCATTCTTACAGGTTTCGTTGCAGAAACCGAAAAGCCCTAAAAGCCCCCCCCCCCCCCCCCCGAAAAGGCCGGTGGCTACTTCGCCGCGCCGATGACCCAGGCTCCCATGACCCAGGCCCTTGCGATGATTCAATCCGATCGCCGTTAACTGGGGTAGGGTTTAGGGTTTAGGGTTTAGGGTTTAGGGTTTAGGGTTTGGGGTTTAGGGTTTAGGGTTTAGGGGTTTAGGGTTTAGGGTTTAGGGTTGGGTTACTCGAAAGGTTACTATAAGGGCTTTGAGGTCGTTGTAGTTGTCTCGAAATGGTGACGCTAACCAACCCTCAGGCCTATAGTCGCTATTGCATAGTATAGTGTGGTATGTTGTAGTGTATTTTTAGGTACGCTGGCAGCATTTCCCACAACTTCGAAGCTTGGTGCTTGGAGATAGCCTCAAGCCCAAGGTTGTTCTTGTTACGGAACTTAATTTAGTTACCATACTAGGGATTTATAGTAAATAATATGGTTTGCTTATTATGGGAAATTAAATTCAACCCCTTAAGAGGAGCCGAGTTCACTCTGTGTTCTTCTCTATCTGTTGGTGGCAGCTAACCCAAAATACTCGCGGGGTTTAGGGTCGGGTTTACTCCAGCGGTTAAGGTATGTCGGCTTTGTGATCAGAAGTTTAGGACCTGTCTTCGGTTGCGTGGGGAGGGTGAGTGCGGGCCCGAGAGCTCTGAGGCCCTCCAGCTGAAATCCTTCCACCTCGCTTGAAGGATCATGGGACCTAGTAGCTGGGGTTGCAAGTAAGGTGACCATACTTGTAATTACTTATAGTCCCAATTAAAGTCCTTGAAACCTTACTTACTAAGTCCCATGATCCTCCACGCAGCCGTTTTCGTTACAGGTCGAGCTCCTCAATGTGCTGCAAAGACAGAGAGACTACAAGAATATTGGAGCCTGAAACGTTGCAGCATCATTCCTTACAGAGTTTAGGGTTTAGGGTATGCGCGTTCCAACTGTTCGACCCCCCTATGCTCGCCCTAGGCACATTAAACCCCTACTGAAGGGGGGACATACTCAGTAAGGCTACAACTAGGGTAACCCAACTCAGGTGACTCATAACCCCAATTAAACCCTAAACCCTAAACAACATGGCCTTTCGTTTGCTTCAGACCGAAGGGGCGGGCGGAAAAAGGTGCTGAAAAAGACACCCCTAACATATAACCCTACTTACTAAGTCCCCCGAGCCCTTGAGTAGCGTGCCGCAGGTCCCCGGCACCGCCGGTGCAACGGGCGCGGACATGTTCACGATGATGGCGCGGGGCTCGGTGGTTGGGATTCGAAGGCTTGCAAGCGGTTTGGGGTCCTGGGGTGTAGGGTTTAGCGTTTGGGCTTGAAGGTTTGAAGGCGGTCTTGAGGGTGTTTATGTGGTTTATAGAGTCTGTAGGATTCTTATGAGGCTTCGAGGATGAACATAGGGCTTCGAAGAGGTGTATTACAGAGGATACGGCTTCAGACGGTTCCACATAGTGGTGTAGCTGTTTGATTTGGGGGGGTTTGGGTGGGTTTGCCTCGCCACACATTGGGGTGGAGTGTTGGGGGTTTGTGCTTAGAGTTTCGTGTTTGGCGCAAGGTTTTCCAGCAAAAGCCCAAAACCCGAACCAAAAACACGGAGCTGAGCCCCTAAACCTTAAACCCGACAACCCTTTGACCCAGAAACCCCAAACCCTAAGTCAAGCCTGTGAAAGCAACATTGCAACCTAGCACCAATACGTCAAGCGACTGCACCAATGCGCATAATTATCATTCAGAAGTAAGTTTTGTATTTTGTACAATCAAGGAGTATGGAGCGATCTGCATCTGATTCTTGCGTCTAGAGATGCATATATTCATGTATGCACATTCGTACATGTAGTCACTTCTTTGTTCAACTTACATACATATTTTAGACGCTCGCATATTGGCAAAGATTATTCCTTAGTGCGGTTTGCTGCAGCTTTACTACAGAAAGCCTTTAACTCGATTCTAGATATGACAGTTAGGCCACTATATCATATCATACCATATCATATCTCTATATATATATATACACATATCTGTATGTCTGTTTATAGGTATAGACATAGATCTAGATGCAGATGCAGAAATAAATATGGACACGGGCACACACACACATACACTCGCTCTCTCTCTGTCTCTCTCTCTCTCTCTCTCTCTCTCTATCTGTGTCTCGCACCGCTAAACCCCCGGGACCTACGCTCGGAGAACCTGCAAGGACACCAACCATGATGGTGTCGTCTCCAGGGAAGAGCCTGGACCTGAGCACTGCTATAGGGCCTTAATAATTACCTATACTATTTTGAGAGTTTCTCTTTTATATAACAGGGTTCCTTTTGAGGGTACTGTAGGATTCGGATTCTATAATGGGGTTCCGGGTACTACTTGGAGGATCATGGGACTCAGTGGCTTAAAAGGCTCCTCATAAAGATCAATAAGGGTATGAAGATACCCTAACTGGGGTTTAAATAATCATATGTATGGTTTCCTTGTTTATTGCCTTAGTTACTGAGTCTCATGATCCTTTAAGTACCATGTGGCCTCCACACCCTAATTCCTGAGACCCGAAACCCTACACCCCCCGACCAAATCTTGAATCCCAAACCCTTAACCCTAAACCCTAAACATCCCTACACCCTGAAGGCCAAACCGGTGTCGAAAATTTGGTGTTGGCTTTCCTACAAAACCAAGAAACTCCAATGCCCCTAAATTAAGGAATATACCAATTTATATTAGGGGTCCCACTGTAACTTAAGGCGTATTCCGTAATTGAGGGCTATTGGAGTCTCTGGGAACAGGAGCCCGCTTCGAAACATCTCGCTTTGCTGAGATGTTTGTGCTGCTCAAGGTTTTCGAGTTTCGGCCTAGGCTTTAGTTCAGGGTTTAGGGCTTAGGCTCATCAAACCCCTGGGCTTTAGTTCAGAGTTCAGGGTTTAAGGCTTAGGTTCATCAAACCACCAGAGTGCAACTCCCTGAGCCCGATCCAAGTCCCCATCATGTATTTCATCGCGAAGAGGCGGGCCCGCAAAGTCACACGGGCCATGTCTGTATGTAGGGTGTAGGGTCATGATATTGCTATCATCATCGACAGCGCAACCTGAACCACGTTGACCCTTCTGATGACGCTTGTCCTCATGCGAGTCTTCATCAGCCTTGTCGTGGGGCACGAGAATCTTCATAGTCATCGCCCTCCCCTTGGCATCGAAATCCTTTTCGTGGTTCGTATTCGGTCCCGGTCTGGGATGTTCCCGAAGGTCTGGATGAGTGCATGGTCTAGGGAGCGAATATCGGGAAGCTAGATGAACAAGCTGAATTCTATAAACCACAAGCTCTAGACTAGGCCGCGAACTCGGAAACACTACTATAGGGGCCCAAAGAATTACCCATACTAATTTGCGGGTTCCTTAGTATAAATATACTTGAATGGGCCCCCAAAGCCCTATCTAATTATTAAGGCCTCTACACCCCACCCTGAACAGCTCATACATCCTGGAGTCCTTGACCCCCAGCAAGGGATATGCTGGGCAGATGATGCTTCTGGTGATGGCTCCTTACACCTAAAGTCTATTTCGGGTTTTCCATTCGGGATTTAGGGTCATCGATGGTTCAAAAAGTTTGGGGTGTCGAAATTAATGAGTTTTCGTGTTTCGGGTCTTGGGTTTATGTTTGAAACCAGCCCTCAGCTCAAACCTAAACTGTACCTCAAGCATCAAGACATGAACAAGGTTTGCCAGGGCGCTCCAGTCCGGCAGCGTGGCAGCCTGTCTCAGAAGTGACAGCTTTGAGATTGTAGGGCAGTGTGCCTCCCGCTAAGTGGGGTTTCGTCATAGCCACCCGTAGCAACATTGCAAGCCGCAAGCTGCAGTTCAGGCTCGCCGTCGTCATCGGCCGTAAGTAGCAGCAGAAGTAGCAGTAGCAGTAGCAGCGGTAGCAGTAGTGATAGCTGTACCGGTGCTGGTAGCGGCGCTGGTAGCGGTAGCGGTAGGAACAGGAGCAGTAGAAGTAGAAGCAGAAGTATAGGTAGAGGTAGAGGTAGAGAGGTGGAGGTGGAGGTGGAGGTGGAGGTAGAAGTAGTACTAGTAGCAGTAGGAGGAGTAGCAGTAGCAGTAGCAGTAGCAGTAGCAGTAGCAGTAGCAGTAGCAGTAGCAGTAGCAGTAGGAGTAGTAGTAGTAGTAGTAGTAGTAGTAGTAGTAGTAGTAGTAGTAGTAGTAGTGGTAGTAGTAGTAGTAGTAGTAGTAGTAGTAGTAGTAGTAGTAGTAGTAGTAGTAGTAGTAATAGTAGTAGTAGCAGTAGCAGTAGCAGTAGCAGTAGCAGTAGCAGTAGTAGGAGTACTAGTAGTAGCAGTAGGAGGAGGAGTAGTAGTAGTAGTGGTAGTAGTAGTGGTAGTAGTAGTAGTAGTAGTCGTCGTAGCAGTCGTAGAGTTTAGCAGCAGTAGGTGTACTAGTAGTAGCAGTAGGAGGAGGAGTAGTAGTAGTAAAGTGGTAGTAGTATAGTAGGGCGTAGTAGGGAGTAGTAGTACTACCAGCAGCAGTAGTAGTAGCAACAGCAGCAGCAGTAGTCGTGGTGGTGGTGGTGGTGGTGGTAGCAGTAGCAATAGATGCTCGCATCTCACTTTACCTACCCTGCTTTACACCTGTATCATACTCTGCGGCTTTCTATCACACGTGTCGTTGCACCAGCTCTTCCGACGGCTGAGATGAAGAACATATTGTCATGAAGATGTCTGAAAATGCTTTCATTGTTACTATTTGTATCTTGTGCGTTTAAGTGCTGTTGTCATGTTGTTTAATTCAGCAGAATCCAGATGCAGACAGACTATAAACCTTGGAAAAATGACGACTCACCCAGACTGGAACCCAAGCTTACCTTTTACGGATAGACGACCCCGAGCCCTTCAGGGAATAGGTTTCCTTGCGAGGTACTCCAGAAGCCTTGAGCCCCATTCATTCTACACCCTCCGAGCTGCGGGTTTAGATTCCGATTCCGACGCAAAAACACCGCGATGCGGATCTCAGGCCCCAATCCCCTCTGAGCCGACCCAGGCGGAAGACCGCAGGGTTGGGGATGGGGGTGGTGATGCTAGGAGTGCGACAAGCAGTGGCAAGATTTAGTTTCGTGGTTCTTGATGGCAACAGTCATTAACCATCATCACCATCATCATCGCGAACATCATCACCACCACCATCATCGTCATCATCATCATCACTACCATCACCGTCATCATCATCGTTATCATCTTCATCTTCGTCATCACCCGCGCCCTCACCATCACCACCATCATCATTAGCTGCATCATCGACATCGTCGTCGTCATCATCATCGTCACCGCCGACATCTTAATGATTTGGGACCTTCATATAAGGGAGTTTCCGACGATTAGGCAAAATTAGGGGTACCTTATTGTGGGGTCCTTATACTGGGGATCCTACTATTTAGGGTACTATATGGTACTATATTAGGGTCCCCCATTTTTGGAAACTCCCATATACGGGCCTTGATTATTACCTGTACTAGTTTCAGGGGGTTCCTTAAAAGGGGGTTTAAAAGGAGTACTATAAGGGTACTATATTACACGGACTACATGGTTACCTATACTATTTTGGGGGTTCCTTTAAAGGGTCTATAAGGAGTACTATAAGGGTGCTATACTATGGGGGGCTAAGTAGTTGCCTATACTATTTTGGGGGTTCCTTGCTATAATTATAGTACAATGGGCCCCAAGACCCTGTTCTAATTATTCCCTAAAGTAGTCCGAGGTTCAGGGTTTTATTGGTAAAACACAACCATCTGTCCTTGAAACCCCCAAGAAACCTGCAAAAACGTGTAAAACCCTGTAATTCAGACGCTCAAAGAGTTTTTGCAGGATGTGTAGCAAAGCTAAGCAAGTCAGCAAGCCCCTGCCCCACAAAACCCGGTAGAGTGAAAACAACTTTCATGAAGAACCACCCTAAACCCTAAACCCTAAACCCAACCCCTGAGCCACGAGCCCCAAACTCTACACCCTAAGCTTCAAACCCCCCCCTCAAGGAGAACTCGTGTAAGCGAAGCAAGTCAACAGCCTCCTGGCAGGCTCAGTGAGGGTCTCCAGGAGAGGATGCGCAGGCAGACCTCAGACTCTTGAGCCCGGATGTAATATGAGAGATATTAGGTTTGGGATTCAGGGGTTTAGGTTTTAGGGCTTAGGGGTTCGAGGTTTAGGATTTAGGGTTTCGGGTCCTTCATAATTACCTACACTATTTTTGGGGTTCCCCAAAACCCTATTCTAATTGTTAAGGCCCCTGTGTTACTGGTCGGTGTTATTCCTCAGGGTTTTCTATGGCTATTATACTATAGCAGACCCCAGAATCCTGTTCCGCCCATAACCCTGAACCTGAAACCGGAAAGCCTAAACCCCAAACCCTGCAGACTCCAGCATCCTGTTCCAATTGCTAAAGCCCCCCCATAACCCTAAGCCCTAAACCCTAAACCCTAAACCCGGAGCCTTCATTCGAACCTGTTCGCCTCAAGCTGGAAAGCTCTTCCCAGAGACTCCAATATCCCTTGCTTGGAGGGGCAGGGGACTTAGTAAGTAGTTATTTTATAGACTTATAAGTATCATAACTTAGGGGTACTTTGAAATAATTTTTAATTTTTGGTTATTATAATCCCTAAGAAACAGCTAAAATTTTAATTTTTGCTAGGGTTCTAATTTCAGTATAGATAATCCCAAGTAGGCTCCGTGTTAGGGTACTTGTAAGTCTACTTATTACCTGCTTACTAAGTCCCCCGCCCCTCCAAGTAGTCGAGGAATACCTGGGGGGCGGGGTTCCTTTACAGGGATCCTTAAGGTTTCCTTTAAGGGATCTATATATAAGGTTTAGGGTTCCTTTAAAGGGGATCCTTAAGGGTTCCTTTAAGGGAGCTGTATATAAGGTTTAGGGGTCCTTTAAAGGGATCCTTAAGGGTTCCTTTAAAAGGTATCTATGTGTAAGGTTGAGGGTTTAGAGATTTCAGAGACTCCAACCAGGGATATTGGAGTCTGGGATCGGGGCATGGGGCCTGGGGATCAAAGCCATTAATCACCAAAGGCTTAGGAAAGGAGTCGAGACTTGGCGTTGACGACTTCAGGGCGTGAACCGGCTTTTGAAGAGCAAAACTAATGCTACTACTAATACTAATACTAATACTATTGCTAATATTAAATACTAATACTAATACTAATAGTAATAGCTTTCCGTACGGTTTCACAAGGGCTCTGGGGCTCTCCGGCGTTCGGATGTTACGAAGAGGCTTCGGATGTTGGAGGCGTCAGGTTTTCCGGGGGCCCGAACAGCAACACCTTAAGCCCCAAACCTAAACCCTACTATAGAGGGGTCTTCATAATTAGAATAGGGTTTTGGGGGCCCATTATACTATAATTACATAGTATATACCTGTAGCCGAAAAGACCTACCCCTTTTTAAGGTATTATATATAGAAACCATAGTAAGGACCCCTGAAAAGGTAGGTCTTTTCGGCTACAGGTATACCCTAAACCTAAAGCCGAACGCTAAACCCTACAGCTCGGGAGTGAGTTCTGCGATTCCTGTGGGGTTCAGAGTGTGGCTGGAGGCTTTCGGGTTTAGGGTTCAGGGACTACTGCCCTAACCCCTAAACCAAAACCCGTAGACTTTAATCTACGTTGGCTTAGAGTCAGAGGTTGGGAGGTTCCGAGGCCGCGGCCGCAAGAGGGTTTCAGGAGGATTCGGTGCTGTGATTTCTTGCATGGCAAATTTTTTTCTGAACGGTCCGAACACAGTTTTCTTTACAGTGCCAGAAGAAGCATCGGAGCATCAGTAGCGACGGATGCTGCTTGAGCCGAGAGCATCGTATCCTTCTGCCAGGTGTGACAATCTTGAGACGGCCGTTCTTGCACAACTGGCACGCGGTCTCAATCGGCGAGCGCCGTGCGAGTGCGCACGAGATGCATTGCGGCTCAGAGGTGAGGGTCTCTGAGAGTTCGTGAGGCCCTGCCCCCCCACCTGACGCCAGTCACCGAGAAGACTGAGGCAGTAGGAAAGCCTAAAGAATTACCTCTACTATCTGGGGGGTTCCTTATTATAATTATAGCATAAGGGGGCCCAAGACCCTAGTCTAATTATTGAGGCCCCCAAAAAATAGGAAAGCCTGGACACAGACCCTGGACAGCAGAAAGCGAAGCCTCGAAATTCTAATTCTCCCCGATGCCCATGAAACCTGAAAACTTCAAGAATCCTCAAGCTTGAAGCAGGTTTAGGGTTTAGGGTTTAGAGTGACAGTTTGCGGTCCATGTCCCACAACGCATGTATGGAAATTTTTTGGTAGAGGTGTCGCCGCTTCAGGACTTGGAGTGAGGGAGAGTTCAGGGTGTAAGGTCCGGGGTTTAGGGTTTAGGGGTTCCTGTGTCGCTCTGCATGCAAGGGATAGTTGTGGCCCGAAGCTGCCGCTGCTGCTGATGATGCTGTTTATCACTGTCCTGGCCGGGTGATGGCAAGGGAATTGTCGCGCTCGATACTCGTGATGCCGTCCGCGCTGGCATTCCTGTGTTGTGAGAGTTGCTGCAGATGCTCATGATCCCGGACCTGCGAGTGTTCTAGGGGAAGCATGTCACTTAGAATGCTCGTGATGCTGTCCTTGCTTGGGTTGTGTGAAAGCTGTCGTTGTTTAGGCCACAATCGCTGGTCTGTGCTTACTGGGGTTGTTGTGTTGACACTGTCCCTGCTGATGCTCGCGGTCCAGGCGCTTGAGGTTGTTGTGTGACACGGATTTCGGCAGGTAGCCAGGGCTCTTGATGGGACCTAGGACATGAGGAAAGGCCTGTGGACATACTCAGCTCGAGGCCGTCACGAGCTGTACATAGGGTCTAGAATCTAGTTTCTAGAGGCTTCAGCCACGTGATTGGCAAGGGCAACTGATCGTTTTCCTGATGAGGCAGGGCTTTGAACATTTCACCTTGCTGCTGTTGGCAGCTGGGGCCGGGAAAGAACTGCAAAGCTCTAGTATTGGGGCCTGAGTAATTAATAAGTACTTTTACACTATTTTGGGGGTTCCTTATCATAACTATAGTATAGTATACCCCCTTATAACGAGGAAAGCAACAAAAAGTCGAGTTCAGCTCACCTTCCTTCACAGGGCAGCTTCGGGTGTTGCCCACATCCTTCCCGGCCTATCATTTTGCATCGTAGCTGCTCATGGGTTGCCCCTTGCTTGGCCCAAAAGAGCACCAAATTGGTTGATTTCAACGCAGCTCCGTGGCTTCACGAGCGTGACGAAGACCTGTTGCAGCCTTCGTAGCAGCCCAGCTACTTTGGGTTTTCGGTTCGTTTGATTCAGCTCTGGTGTTTGGGGTTCGAGGTCGTTCGAGGTTGAACAAGCTTGCAATGCTTTGAGAGGCTAGGTCCTTCGGGTTTGGGTTGGAATCTTCACTGGTAAGCCAAGCTAATCGTCCAAGACCTATGCCCTAGCAATGCCGTGGAACCCTAGTGCCGTAGTGCCTGAACGACACCGTAGCCCAGGACCCTAAACCCTAGCCGGGGTTAGGGGTCAACTTTTCAGTTCTTCAAGCTCGATGATGACTGGAGGCTGCGAGTTTTACATCAGAAGATCCGCGGGTCAGGAGGGGTGGAGGGTTGAGATGCTACATAAATGGGCTCCTTCAGAATCAGCATGTCGTTCGCAGCCTGAAAAGCCCATGCAAATGCTGGCTTATCTACAGGAAGCCCTAAAGCATGAAGTCCGACTCCACAGAACTTCTTTCAACCTGCTCCTAAACCCTATACCCCTAAACCCTAAACCCTGAACCCCTAAACCCTGAAATCCTAAACCCTGAACCCTCGCTGTCCCAGAAAACCAAGAGCCATAGACTCCAGAGCAGTCTCGTTGGATCCCGGGTATTCGTTGGAAAGCCTCGTCTGGGGTTTCCTAGGGTTTAGGGTTTAGGGTTAAGCGTTTAGGGTTTAGGGTTTAGGGTTTAAGGTGGAGTGTATAGGGATGTTTGTGCCGTTTCGGGTTTAGGGACCGATTCAGGATGTAGGATATAGGGCCGGGAGTGCAAAATTGAGAAACACTCCCAGTTGGCCTGGGGCTGAAATTAAAGGCCGGGAAATGTCTGGAAAGCTTTTAGGCCTGCATGGACCTAAACCTTCAAGCCAAATCCCACAGCCAAATCCCAATAGGTGAGGAGCAGCTAAGCAGTGCCAAGAAGAATCCGTTGCCGTGCCGTGTGATTTCTTTTGACATGCTCCGACAGCCCCCTAGGAGGTTTCTGAGTTTCTCAGTATCCTGGAGTATCCTGCTCCGTCGTCCGCTGTGGCGATCCCTCCCGACCTTCGCGTTGCAAACGATCCCATTTTGCACATTTTGCGACAACGACAGATGCCACGAGCAAAAGGAGGGTCTGCGGCTCCGAGAGGGCCTTGAGGGTTGGGTATTTTGGGAGTTTTAGAGATTCAGATGCTTGTGCTCCAGGCCCATACCGATACCACTGTCAGTTGTGACATGCTTCGCACAGCACTGTCCCTGATGCAGCTGTTTTGACTCAGAGGTGAGAGGCTGAGTGTGCCTGCTTACGATCCTAACCTCCATCTCCTAAATTTCTAGGACTCTCCCGGAGCCCTGAGATAGTAGCTGTGGCATTCCCTGAATCTTCAAGCCAGCTGCGGCCTCAGCATAAAGAGGGCGAAGAGAAGAGAAGTCTTGGTGAAAGAGGGGATGTTGGATGTTGGGGGGTCGGTAGGGTTTGGGGGGTTTAGGGGGTTTAGGGTTTCGGGTTGGGGGGTTTAGGGTTTATGGGCGGTTTAGGGGTTGCGGGGTTGATGGGGTTTGGGGTTTAGGGGCTTGGGATTGAGGGTTTACGGGCATCCGAGTTTAGAGTGCAACAGGGCGAGGGCTCCTAGTAGGAGCCGAAAACTTTACCTTGACCCGGAATAAACCTACCTTTTTAAGGATTTGTATAAGGAAATCATAACAAGGAACCCGGAAAAGGTAGGGTTATTCAGGATTAAGGTAAACCTTAAACCCTAAACCCTAAAACCCTGAACCCGAAACCCGAAAACCCTAAACCCTAAACCCTAAACCCTAAACCCTAAACCCTGAACCCGAAACCCGAAAACCTTAAACCATAAATCCTAAACCGTCAAGATTCCATGGCCCTGGCAGGTTCTACTTGTCAACATGGCCGCAGCCGTCGGTGCCAATCCTGTCGCACGCCGAAAAGATTTGCTTAAGGTTTAGGGCTTAGGGTTAAGGGCATAAGGATACCATGCGGGTTTAGTATCGGGTTGCTTATTCGGTCGATACTATAATATTTAAATCACGAGCTGCTTTGTGCTGCCATTGGAGCAACATTGTGTGCGGATCTTTTCTCCGTTGCCACGCTCAACAGTTACTTGGAAGGGCAGGGGACTTAGTAAGTAGGTTATAAGTAGGGCTATAATTGGGGTAACTTCATTTAGGGTACTTGTAACTCTACTTCTAACCTACTTACTAAGTCCCCTGCCCTTCCAAGTAGTGAGCTGTGTTTTCCTGGAGTGGCTGCGGTTTGTGTTGCTGGGGTCAGGTGACAGCCATGCCCGGCCAACAGATGCTAATGGAGCCGATCACCGGACAGTTCCCTGCCCAAACTGTGGCTCCCATGGGCACTATGCAGCCTGCTCCAGGCCCTGGGCTCGTCTACCCCATGCCAGAGGCTGTGCCAGCCCAGCCTCCTCAGGGCTACATGTACGCGGCCCCACCAGGCACGACCATGGAGGCAGCTCCCACCACGGAGGCGCCTGCCATGCCTGGTCCGGGCTTCATGTATGCCGTGCCCGCCGCTGACCCTGCGACCGGCCCCGCCGGCCCGGAGCCCGGCTACACCTTTGCCGCTCCTGCCATCGAGGGCGCACCCGGCGCATCCGAGGGCGCACCCGTCTTCGCTGCCCCGGCCCAAGCCCAAGTTGGCGAGCCACTGCCCGGGCAGACGATCATGGGCCAAACGTACCAGGCCGGGGTTTGTCGAGCCATGCTCCGATCGCTACTTGTACAGTTCGTGAGTCCCGTTGACAGGTGAAGATCCCCATTGAGAGCGTCAGGGACCCCACCGGCGCGATTGCAACGCAACTTGCCCGGAAGAGAACGTCAGACCGTTTCCGAGCTCAAAAAGACATGCAAGCCTGCATCGTCCTAGGGTCCTCACTGCCGCTGGAAGAGCCTCAATAGATTGCACGACCGGTTGCGCAATTTATACAGCTGCAAAGCCCCCTGCAGTGTAATCACTGCATGCTGCTACACCCTCGCCATCAGCCACAAACCCTACAGTGGCCCTAAACCTGCCCAGGCAGTACCCGGCGTCCTTCCAGCAGATCCAGGCAGCACGGGGCTTTTGGGAGCCACCTTGAGGATTAGAGTTTTCTTTGTTCAATTGGTTACGCTCGCCCGTACCAGTACCACTGGGCGAGGAGCAGGAGGAGAGTTGCGAGGGATGGTGGTAGTGGTGTGCGTGGCCATAGTCATGATGGTGGAGATGAAGATGGAGTGGTTGCTGTTGACACAGTCCAAACCAGAAGCAAGCCTGCTACGAAAACCCCATGTCAACAGACCCAACGTCTACATTCTGGGAGCCTAAGCTCTGCACTCTAATCCTAAACCATAAGCTCCAGACCGTTAAAACTACTCTGAACCCTCACCCCTACACCCTGAATCCGGCACCCGAAGAAAGCCACAGTTAATAGCAACAGTAATGGCAATAGCCAATGGCAATAGCTACAGTAATACAAAAAAGAGCAGTTCTGGGGCCACAGCCCTAAGCCCTAATCCCCGAAACCCTGAAACCCTAAACCCCTAAACCCCTAAACCCTAAACCCTAGACCCTGAACCCTAAACCCGAAACCCTAAACCCCTAAACCCCTAAACCCTAAACCCTAGACCCTGAACCCTAAACCCGAAACCCTAAACCCCTAAACCCCTAACCCCTAAACCCATTCCGGGAGCCAGAGGTGGATGGCGAGGCCCAGTACGTTGCCGGCAAGTCCGAGCAGGTCGACGGGCCCCCTCAGGTCGGGGGCCTCCGACGTATTGAGGGTTCAAAGGGCTCCTTAAAAGGCTCCTTGAAGGGATCTATAGGGTTCCTTAAAGGGATCTATAGGGTTCCTTAAAGGGATCTATAGGGTTCCTTAAAGGGATCTATAGGGTTTAGGGTTTAGGGTCTACTTGGAGGTTCATGGGACTTAGTAACTACAGTTATAAGTACCTTAACTGGGCTTATAGCTAGTTATAAGTATAGTTACCTTAATTATAATCGTAGTTACTAAGTCCCAACCTCTAAGTAGGGGCCGGGGGCCCTTTAAAGGGTCCTAGGGGGGAGCTATAATTGGGTTTTATGGTTTAGGGTCCTGAATAATTTGAATTGGGTTTGGGGTATATTCTAATAAGGAGCGCCCAACCCTATTCTAATTATTAAGGCCCCTACAGTACGCTCTCTGGGTGGGGGTGGTTGCTTGGGGATGAGGGCTTAGTTGGGGGTTTAGGGTTTAGGCCTAGGGGTTTAGGGTTTAGGGTGTGTAGAGTTGAAGGGTTCAGAGCTCACGCTTTAGGGTTGTGTGCCGCGGATGTTTTGATACTTGGACATTGGTCCCTTATTGGGTCCCTAATATAGTACGACACCTAGTATTTAGGGCACGCAAAAAGGGACCTTAATTATGACAACCACCCATGTATAAACCTGGGGTTTTGTAGCCGGTTGCTTGCATTAAGCAGTTTTTTTAGGAGTTGCGGGTCAGGGATGTAACCGGGCTTTTGGCTTTAGGGTCAAGGTCGAGGGTTTAAGCTGCAGGGTGTAGTGCTTGGGACGGCTTGTTGCGTGGATTCTATTCACAAGGTGTGTTGCTAACCTGGTAGGGCGGCAGGGTTCCCTAAACCTGAAACCCTGAACCTTAAAACGCCATTAAACTCAGAGCCCAGGTGGTACTGGCTTTGCACTTCCCCCCGCACACCCAAACCCTTAAACCCCCCGCATGAAGGTGGGGAGGAGCCCGTACATCCAAGTAAACCCTATTGCCCTCTTGGCAGTTTCGTAAAAATAAAGAGTTTACGCACTAAACCCTGAATCGGTTCAGGTTGGCACACAGCGTGTTGAGCAGACCGTCGCCGGGCAGGTGAAGCAGCAGGCGGAGAGATTTTACAGGGTCTTATCTAGAGATTCTGAGTTTGGTTTAGACTTCAGGGTTTAGGGTTTAAGATGCGTGGATGGTTCGGATATTGCTTGGGGCCCTTGGAAGCCCCAAGGCCCAAATGCTAGGCCCTCAAGGAAACCCTGGATCTCTTGAAAATCTGGGGTCAGACCCAGCAGCAATAGTATTTTCGTATAGTCCCGATATAATTCTACCAGAACCCAACCCCAAAATCCGATTCTCGACTCTTGTTATTCCGGCCCCGGCAGTGAATCCCCCACCCCCAAACCCCCAATCCCTTACTCTAAAACCCATGAGATCCCGTGACCGTAAGCCCTCTAAAACCACAAAAGCCCCAAGCCCTAAAACTCCGTAAGCCCTAAACCCTGAAGCACCTACAACCCCCCAATGCCCCAAACCTCCCAATGTAATGCCCTAAGCCCAAAACCCCAAAAGCCCCAAACCTCCCTAATGCCCTTCAATGCCACAACTCTCTGGGCAGATCGTGGAGATCCCGCAAGTGCAGGAGGTCGTTGAGGAACAGGAGATCCCTGAGGTGCCTTTGAGGGCTCCTTCAAGGGCTCCTTTTTTTTTTTTTGTGTTTGTACGTTTTTGGAGAAGTACTTCGGGCTTTTAGGCTTTTGGGGTTTAGGATTAGGGAAGATTTTAGGGCTCCAGGGGACGAGTTTAGGGTTCGAGGTTTGGGGTTACTGAGAGGTTTCTGTGAGTACACCTGATGTTGTCATCGGGAATATTCAGACAGTCGTGTTGCTATGAATATAGGGTTCCTTATTATCATTATAGAAAAAAGGGCTCCTGTGATCGCTATGTTCCATCATGGCATTTTTTCGAGTATAGGGATTGTCAGGGGCTCAGGGTCACACTCGCAGTAGCCGTAGCCATAGCCGTACCCGTGCGAGTAGGAGTAGGAGTAGTAGCAGCAGCAGTCGTAGTCGTAGTCGTAGTAGTCGTCGTAGTAGTAGAAGAAGTAGAAGTAGAAGTAGCAGTAGTAGAAGAAGAAGTAGAAGTAGTAGCAGAAGATGTAGTATCGTCGTCGTAGTAGTAGTAGCAGTAGTAGTAGTAGTCGTAGTCGTCGTCGTCGTAGTAGTAGTAGTAGTAGTAGTAGCAGTAGAATAGTAGTAGTAGCAGCAGCAGGAGTTGTAGGAGCCGGAGTTGGAGCAGCAATGCTGATGGCGGTATATTGTTGTAGCAACTCAGGAGCAGTGGGCAGCGGAGAGAATTCACGCTTGAATTAATGCTTTGGTTCAGGGGTCTGCCTGACCTCCTCTTGTGTGAGCATGGGGTTTGCTTGGCCCGATCTCTTATTTGTTCCGTTCGGCTTCGAGCCGCAATATAGGGGCCTTAATAATTCGAATCGGGTTTCGGGGCCGACTATTAGACTATAGTACATTGTAGTACAATTATAACAAGGAAGCTCCACAGTAGTTTTGGTAATTATCACGACCCCTACATTACTACTGCTCATTTGACCAGCCGTGTGTCGGCAATCCGGACTGTCCCGGGCAGGTGCAAGTCGTGCAGAAGGTGGTCGAGGCCCGCGGACCCTATGACATCCTGTAACTATAGCTACCCTAAGAAGGGGGCCTTAATGATTCGACCCTATAACTATAACATCCTGTAACTATAGCTACCCTAAAAAAGGGGCCTGAATAATTCGACCCTTTCACATCCTATAACTATAGCTACCCCAAAAAAGGGGCCTTAATACTTCGACCCTATAACATCCTATAACTATAGCTACCCTGAAAAAGGGACCTTAATACTTCGAATAGGGTTTTGGTGCCCGTTATACTACAAGCATCATTAAGGACCCCCCCCCACCCAAAGAGTATAGGTAATTATTAAGGCCCCTATCGCGCGCCCTAAGCCTTGAACACTGTACCCTAGACCCTTGCAAAATTCATGGAATCCGTGGCGCCTCAACCCGAAGCCCGAGCTCAATCCCAACTCGCTGAAACCTGAGCCGAAGAACGCTGCCAATAAGAAAATCGTATCATAATCAGAATGCCTCTCGTGGTAGTACTGCCAGCAAGCATAAGTCTAAACTCTAAAACCTGGGACCCGAAGCCCTAAACCCTACACCCTACACCCTCAACCCCAAACCCTACTTCCTTCAATTCATGGGTCGCTCCCTCGGCCCGCTTAGAGTTGAATATAGGGGGCCGAAACAAATATTTTGGTTTCCTCATTAAAGCTGTAGTAGAATATACCCCAAAGCCCTCCCAAAGTTCGCCGCAAGGTTCCCCAGGTTATCACGCAGCAAGTGGAGCAGATCGTGGAGCAGATCGTGCACGCCGCTTGCTCAGGATTGAGGGTGTAGGGTCTAGGGTTACCTTGAAAGGGAGCCTTAAGTAAGGGTCCCTTTAGTTGTATCAATAAGGGCTACCATGAGGGCCATTATAAGGATTTATTATAGGGGCCATAATAATTGCCTATACTATTTTGGGGACTCTTTGTTATAATTCTAGTATAATGGGCCTCAAAACCTTACTCTAATTATTAAGGCGCCTATAGTTATGTGCACAGTAGGGGTTTGGGGGTGTATTGTAGAAGATAACTCTACAGGTACTAGACGAGGCTTCATGACTGGCAGGATTGGGGGGTTTGGTAAGTTATAGGATTATTAAGTCCTCTATATTATAGTCCCCTTATAGATCCCTTATAGTAACTTTTATAGATCCCTTATAGTCCCCTTATAGATCCCTTATAGTAACCCTTATAGATCCCTTATAGTAACCCTTATAGTAAATCTGCAGCCGTCTGACTTCCCAAGCCTGAAGGCCTCAAGCTCCACACCCCTGGTCTTGGACTCCAGCTGCAAAAACTCAAAAGCTGTAAAAACTGTAAGCCCGTCTTAGTAGCCCTTTTTTGCCTCACCGTGCACGCTCTAACCCCTGCAAGCCCAAAAGCCCTTCAACCCGCTCCTCCCTGTGCAAAAGCAAACTGAGGTGCCCGAGATCATCCACCAGCCAAAGGTCTCACACCGCCAGGTGGAGCAGGTTGTAGCTTGGCTGCCTTCGTCGGGGTTGGGGATGTACTTGGAGGATCTTGGGACTTAGTAAGTAAGGTTATAGGTACTGTCACAGGAGTGATACATAATTCTACCTCCTAGTTACTAGTTGCGAAGTCCCATGAACCCCTTTGGGGTTTGGGGTTGCTTTTGCTGCCATTCTTGGAGAGGGATCTGTCGTTACCTGGGGTGATGCTCGCTTTGGTGGCGACAGTACTGCTGTACAGGAGCTCTTGTTGACCACTTGCAGTATCTAGCATTCTAGATTCTCTGCCATTGCAAGATCATGCTTGCGGCAGCACGGCTTGAAGACTGCTTAACAAATCTGTGGCTTCTCCGTCCTACACCGTATAATGTTTGGGGACTCTCTCAAACTTGCAGCAAAGACCTCAAGAAGCAGCGTCACATCACAAGATCTGCCCAAGCAGCGTCGACGCTTAGTGTCAACAGCCCTTGTCGAGTCGACGTGACGATGACGATGACGATGATGATGATGATGATGATGATGATGATTAGATTTGGCAGTTTTGACAAAGAATTCCTGAAATCCTCGCCATTTGCAAACCAGCATGTGCCAATTCTCTAGTTAGCCGAGGTCGATGTCCCTGTTCCTCAGCTGGTTGAGGAGGTTGTGCACGTTCCAGTGACGCAGACCCAAGCCCGCTGCGGCCCCAGGAATCGTAGAGTTTGTTGTCTGCAATGTAAACCACTTCGCTTACTTGTCTTACAACCCTGAACCCTAAAGCCATGGGAATGTGAGTAATTCCTCGGAGGGTTGCCTTGCGCTGGCACTGGGTAAGTACTCTGACCGTGCTGTACCTGTTGCCTTCAAACCAAGCTTCTGGGATTCTCCCCTGGTGCCATGTGGAGCCCAGAGACTCCAATATCCGTCAAATAGGGATAATATATATATATATATATATATATATATATATATTCCTTAAATCATAGATATTAGTCATTAGGGATCTTACTATAGTCTAAGGTATTTGTTTTAGATAGGTGCCTTTTGGAATCTCGTGTAGTTCAGATGTACTGCGAGCCCAGTAGCCCAGCGACCCCTGCCGGTAGGCCGACATAACTCGAAGCTGCCAACTCACGCTTGATTGATTGCGCGATCCTTAGCCCTAAACCCTAAAAACTCAAATCCTAAACCCCAAAACTTGAAGCCTAAACCATTAAACCACGAACCCCAGGCCCGAATCCCGCATTTTCTGCAGCCCGAAGCACTAAGCCACCTGACAAAGCCCCTGCCCCGGATCCTACCCTGAATCCCAAACTCCACGGCCTCATTCCCAGAGACTCCCCATAATATGATTTTAAAGGTATGCTCCTTGATTAAAGGATCGTGAAGTCTCTGGGTTCCCAAACACTTCAAAGAAGATTCTGAGGTCACCACCATGTTCACGTCGAGCAAACCGTCGAGGTTCCCGTGCCGATGATGCAGGAGCTGATGCGGCGGTTGTATTTACAGTTTTAGGGTTTCGGGCTTCGAGTGAGGCTTGTTGTGGCCTAGGGTTTGGCGGGGGCTTCCCTCTACTTGTTCAGCCTCAAGCCACAAGCCCCAACTCCAAATCTCCAAACTCAATCAAAGCCGTGAACCCCGGACACCCAACCAACCTGAACCCTCAGCCCGTTGTCCCCAAAGCGCTGCTTTAATGATCAAGTCCATTCATGAAATTGCGTTGAAGTGAACTTCTGATCTACCGTCCCAGAGTGCTCAATTGCCCAGCACGAAGCTGCGAACCCGCGTTACAAGCATGAATTACTGTTCCATCTTTGGAGTTTGCGGCCTGATGTGTTCAGTACTTATTGTTTTTGGGCTTCCCAAACCGCGACGGTATACAGCAAACCGAAACGGATTTGACAGGATTCTGTTCAAGGCACGTAGAAAGTTTGTTCGTAACTGCATAGCGGTGATGTGATCGTGTTCCCTTCAACAAAAACATGATCATGGTCGGGGCACTTTTCAAGTGCAGCAGATTGTAGCTGGGTTCTTCATGGAGGGGTCGTGAGTTGGGGGATTCTCAGAGTCGTGGCAGCTTCTCCCAAACCCCTAACACCCAAAACTGCCCAAAACCCTCCGGTTGATGATATAAATCCTGCATTACCAATAATAAGGAATATGCCATATTCCCATAGTTTAGGGTCCTTAAGGTAATGCAGGATTTATACCACCAACCCTATTTCGACGAAGCCCTGCCGGATGTGCTTCGTAGGAACTCTCCTGCAAACCCTCAGCCCCAAAGCCCAATACCCCCAAAACCCTCAACCCTTGGTCTTGTCTTCAGAGACTCCAGCATGCCTTAATTCAGGTATGCACCGTCAATCATTTAAGGATAGTTTAAGGTGTATTCCTTGATTCAGGGGTATACCGTAAATCATATAAGTATAACCTTTATTCAGGGATATTGGAGTCTCTGGGTCCGCAGGAGCAGCAGGTTCACGTCCCCAAGGCATGGACCCCGCCTGCCCCGACCCCGAAGGAAACTGCAGAGAGCCGACATCCTTTCAGTGTGGGCTTTGAGTTTAGAGACGGGTTTGCAGTTTTTTGGACGCCTATATCTTTGGCTTTGGCTAGACAGAAGACGAAGCAGCCCAAAGTAGCTTGCGATCCTTCGCAAAAGCTGGTCTTTCCGTCTTCATTCTAATGATGCCGATTGTGGGTTAAATGCTTGTGACGCGCGTGGTTCAGGGGGTATAGAGTTGAGGGTCTCAGAGCTCTGTGGGTCAGATTCAGCTGGCGGTTAAGTAGATCAATTTCACAACCAAAGCTCTGAACGCTAAACCCTAAACTTCGGACAAGCACAAACAGCTTAAACAAACACCTTAATTAAACCCTCTTGTAAACTCTCAACTCTAAACTCCTGACAAAGGCCTTCATCCCTTTTGTGAACCTTGAACCCTAAACTCCTGACAAACACCTTAAGCCCTATTGCAAACCCTACCTGTAACCGAAAAGACCAACCCTTTTCCAGGGTTCCTTATTATTGTTTCTATATATAGTTCCTTAAAGAAGGTACTTGTAGGTCTTTTGGGCCACAGGTATTGTAAACTCCAAGCTCTACTTAGAGGTTCATGGGACGCAGTTACTATGGTTATAAACAAGGCAACTATACCTATAATTGGTTATAACCCCAGTTAAGGTGCTTATAACTGTACTTACTAAGTCCCATGAACCTCCAAGTATGAAGGTGGTGACCCAGAAGCGGCAGATGCATCAGCACGTGGAACAGATCGTTGAGGTCCCGGTGCCCATGACGCAGGAAGAGGCCGGGTAACATGGGGGTGGTTGCCAAAATTAGGGTCCCTTTTTGGATACCCTAAATAATAGGTGCCGTACTATAAAAGCGACAACCACCCACATGGGTTGAGGGTTCAGGGGCTGAGGATTTTGGTTTCGGGGTTTAGGGGCTCAGGGTCCGGGGTCAGGGTTAGGGTTGAGGTTTAACTTGGGGGTTTAGGGGGCTTACTTGGACGGTCGGGGGACTTAGTAAGTAGGTAGTAAGTAGACTTATAAGTACCCTAAAAGGGACCCTAATTGGGGTTATGGTACTTATAAGTCCGTAAAAGAACCAGTTACTAAGTCCCCCGACCCTCCAAGTAGGGTTGGGGTTAGGGTTTAGGGTTTGGTCAGGGGCTGAGGCTGGTTTCCGGAAGGAATCCGAAGCCTTCAAGCCCCGAATCTTGCCTTCTTGGCCCACTGCATAAACCTTACAAGCTTGGGGTTCGCAGTTTCTCCTTATGCAGTTCCTAAGGGTTCATGACTTATGATTATACCTTAATATGATGCGCCCCAAAACCCAATTCTAGTTTGGCAGTTATGAAGACCCCAAAGCCCTGCAGGTCGTGCACATCCCGAAGGTCGTGACGCAGACGCGCGTTCAGCATCAGCAGGTGGAGCAAGTGGTCGAGGTGCCGGTCCCCATGACCCAGGAGGAGGTGGGGCTCCCCCGGATTTGCTGTAATACAGGGGCTTTGGTAAGTACCTATACTAATTATTGTGGGGGTTTCTTATACATTATAAGTATAGTATAACATATGCCCCCAAAACCCTCTTCTATTTGTTAAGGCCCCTATAGTAGGGTGTTTTGGGGAGCTGTATGGGCTTGCTAGTCTAGAGCACTTGGAGAGCTTTTTGGTTTGAGGTTTAGGATGTAGGGGTCGTAGAGAAGCTGAGGATTCAGAGGGTTTAGGGTTTAGGGTTTAGGGGTTTAGGGTTTAGGGTTTAGGGTTTAGGGTTTAGGGTTTAGGGTTTAGCTAGCAGACACCAGGCTACGCAGATCAGTCGGGAAAGTGCCTTCTAGACCCTAAGCCTTAGACCACAAACCTTGGGCCATATCCCCCAAGCCTCGCAAACTTGAACCCCAAAGGCCCCCGAATCTGAAGCCCTAAACCCTAAACCCTAAACTCTAAACCCTAAAGCCGTAAACCCCAGAAAGACACACAAACACAAACCCTAGCAGAACGAGATCCTGAGGTTGTGCATGTGCCCAAGATCATCAAGCAGCCCCGCATCGTGCATCAGCAGGTCGAGCAGATCGTGGAGGCTTTGTGAATTCCCGAAGCCTAAACTCCACTTGGGTGGTTTAGGGTTTAGGGATTGGGGTTTAGGGTTTAGGGTTTAGTTTTTTTTTGGTTTAGGGTTTAGGGAGTTGTCAAAATTAGGGTCCCTTTTTGGGGCACCCTAAATAATAGGTGCCGTAGTATAAGAGGGACCCCCAAAGAAAACCCTAATATTGACAACCACCCACTTGCAGGGGCCTGCGTCCGGAACTCTGGTCGTTATGGTGCCTAGTCGGGTCTAGGCGTTTGGGGTTTGCTAGGTGGTCCCTAAAGCTTCGGAGCTTAGGGTTCAGAGGTTAGCAGCTTAGGGTTCCTTTAAGCGTTCCTTGGATGTTTTGGAATCTACGAGGGTTTAGGGTTGAGGGCGTCATGGAACCTAGTAACTTGGGTCGCAACTCACAAATGAGGCAACTATATTCATGTCTATATTATAGCTACTTATAGCCCCAACGAAGGTAATGAACTATGTTCATGCTTATACTTTCTTCTCGCTCCAATTAAGGTAATCTCAACCTTTGGTCCGAGAAGAGCAGCCAGCTAAAACCGAGACCTTTAAAGTACACGAACGCCCAACACCCTAAGCCAAACATTAGTAGAAAAAGTCGGAGGACTCAGTAGTAATCTCACCGAGTAGCCCATGAAACTTGTAATATGAGGTGTCGCCACAACCACAGTCTCATTATGAAGGCCCCTATACTACGCAGAACCAGACCCCGATCGAAACGACTCCACAAGCCATTGCTCCTGTACCTGGGTTTGGAGTATCATACTTGAATACTTTTTTTGGGTACCTGATCCGTAAAGGAACCATTATGAAATAATAAAAGTCTATACTTTTCTCTCCCTGGTCACTTCAAAGTCCAGTGTAGCGCAGGTGCCTGTGCCGATGACGCAGGAGGAGCTGCAGCTTGAATCTTAGGGTTCGAGGGTTCCTACAGGGGTTGTACAGGGCTTTTTGAGGTTCTCACAAGAGTTTCATCCTAAGACCTGAAACCCTCAACACAAATCTAGGGTTAGAGTTTGGGATCTTCGTGGTTTATTCAAGCTGTGGATGTGCGCTAGGGTTGAAAATAGAGGTAACTCTATATCTGTAAGTTCTGGTTATCCGAATTAAGGTACAGAAGTTGCAACTTTGCTTCCCAAGTCCCGCGATTCTTTGAAGGGCTTTCTCCTAAACCCTAAACCCTGAACCCTTACTTCTTAGGGGTACTTAGAGAAATCATTTTTTAACTTTTGGTTTTTATAATCCCTAGGAAACGGCTAAAATTTTATTTCTTTGCTAGGGTTCTTTCTAAGTTCAGCAAGACTACTCTAAGCTACCAAAGCCTACTTTGTGGTAGGATCCCTTTACGGCCCTATACATTCTTTATTGGGCTGTAAAATAAGAGCCGACAGAAAAGTAAGCAATGATAGTTTGAGGTAGATTGGAGTTATGACAGCCCTCCACCCCAGACCCTCGCAGCCGAAGCACCTGTGAGCGTCTACAGGAGCAGGTCCATGTGCCCAAGATCATCACCCAGACCCGCCCCTCGATGCATCCAACAGGCCTTCGCCTTTCCGGCTTTTCCCTATTAAGGGATCCTTTAAGGGATCTATATATAAGGTTTAGGGTTCCTTTAAAGGGATCCTTAAGGGTTCCTTTAAGGGATCTATATATGAGGTTTAGGGTTTAGAGATTTCAGAGACTCCAATATCCCTTAATCAGCGAACAGACCTTAAACTGCAGTAGGATCTCAAATATGATCTAAGGTAGCTGCCTTAATTGAGGAAGATACCTTCAACTCTAGCAGGACCCCTTATATGATTGAAGGTATATGCCTTGATTTAGGGCTTTGGGAGACGAGCCCTAAACCTCCCTTTAGAGGAGGAGTAAGGGGGAGGCTCATACCTTGCAAAACCGAAACGGTCCCAGAACGGTAGACCCAGAGACTCCAACATCCCTGAATCAAGCAAGGAGCATTCCTGAAATCATATGGGTGGTTGTCAAAATTATGGTCCCTTTTTGGGTCCTTAATAAGTACGGCACCTAATATTTAGGGTACCAAAAAGGAACCGTAATTTTGACAACTACCCATATCAGGGATCCTTCTGTATCGGAGAAGCGCGGCCTTCACCAGGCCCTGGCCCCTGAACACTAAACTCGAAACCTTAAAGCCCAGACCTTGAAGCCCGAATCCAAACCGTAAGCCTGAACGCAAAACCCCAAACCTAATCCCACAACCCAAGACCCAAAGCCCTAAACCTTAAAGCCTAAACCCGAACCCTAAACCTAAACCCAAAACCCTAAACCTGAAAACCCCAACACCGAAACCCAAGGTCAGATGCAGCAGACTGTGGAGCAGATCGTTGAGGTTCCTGTGCCCATGACGGAGGCCATGGGGGTTCGTGTCATGCAGGGCACTTTGGGTGAGGGCTTGAGGGGTTAAGGCTCCCGGTTGAGGGTGTACTTGGAGGATCATGGGACTTAGTAAGTAAGGTTTTAAGTGCCTGAATTGGTGTTATAGGTAATTATAGGTATGGCCACCTTGTTTGTAACCCTAGTTACTAAGTCCCACGATCCTTTATATAAGTAGAGTTTAAGGTTGGTCAGTGAGGTCTTCGATTAGGATGCAAGTTTTTCCGTTGAGGAGTTTGGTGCGCAGGGCTTGCAGGGGTTACATTTATTTGCACGTCCTTGCGGATTGGGCCATCAATGAAGCCTGTAGTGACAGCATCGTCAGCAGCAGCAACAGCAGCAACAGCAGCAGCAGCAGCAGCAGCAGCAATCTTTACAACCGTCATGGCGGTCCTCGCCGTTGTAGTGCAGAATAGTAGCAGGAGTGAGTGGCAATCGTACAAGAACGTAAGTCGCGAGAGCTATGGACAGGGTCAATGTCAGAAATATTATCGTTGTGACCAAAATGTACCGGCTAACATCTCTGGTCAGATTTCGCCCTGTGATTGGCGCCATCTTCGCGAATGTCGACGGTGTCATTGTTCTTGCTGTTCCGTTGCCAACAGCTGTTGCTGTTGCTGCTTGCCTTGGCGGTTTTGTGGTCTGTAACAGGCTTGCGTTGTTGTGTCGCATTCTGACTTCGGTTTTCTACGAATGTGGGTTCCCACGCTCAGCTTCATCGTGGTTTTGAGTTGGCAATATGCAAGGCTTTCGTTGGCCTGTTGTTGCTTGTGATTACCGTCTCTGCTGCTAAAACTAAGTAGCGACGGAGCTACTGTGTTTGCTGCCTGACAGTGCTGGTATGTCGTGCTTTTACCAAGTGGCCTCGTTGCTTGGCCACGTTGCTTGGCCCCGTTGATTGTTAGTATTTGCTAGTCTTTGTTGTTGCCTGATTCATGTCTGTGTCTTCTGGGTCGTAACAGGGCTGCTGTTGAGGTGCTAAGATCTGACCTCTGTCAGTCAGGTATTCTTTACTATGGCTACCTGCCCGAGATGGAGCTACTTCTCGTCTTCCTCTTGCTTGCTACCATCGTCATCATACCATTCCTGTCACCATAGACTGTCGTGGGAACGTCCGCACCTGATCGTCCTCGCCGGAGGAAGCCAGCCCTGCCTTCAACACATATAGCACCTGGGGCCGCCCGCGCCCAAAGCATAAACCGGCACCAACGCCTCCTGTAATGAAAGGGGGGGCACTCATGTTTCAAACTGGACCTGAATCTAAACTCCTGAAGCGACATGCAAGCCCGTCATCGAGCTCGAGGCTCCAACTGCAACTACTAGGTAGGGCTTTGGGACATTTTATATTTTCTCTTGTTGGGCTTAAGAGGATCTTACTTACTAATCTTTTTCAAAGGCTTTAAAAGCCCCACCTAGACTACAAGCCTTCTCCAGAGCCGTCCCTCCCCTGGTCAGGAGGTTGTCGTGCATGTGCCGAAGACGGTGACCCAGACGCGCGTGATGCATCAGCACGTGGAGCAGGCTTTCAGGGCGAACCTCAACTTGAAGCCCTCAGCCTTAAGACACTGAATATTATATATATAATATATATATATATATACATATTACATTATATTATATTGTATTGTATTATACTTCATAATATATTATATTCTATATATTATATATTTGTTGAGCCCTCGAGGCTCTTCATGCTCCAACTAGGGTTCGACGGTTTCGTTGCACAGCTTTGCGCGGAGAAAAGCTTCAGGTTCGTGGACAAGGAGTGGGCCCAGGATGCTTAATGTGGGAACCTAATTTTGTCCCTTTAAAAGGGGTATATAAGGGATACTACAGGGGATCTATAAGGATACTATAGTAATGTAGGAACCTGATTAAGAAACCCCGGGCCTTGAAAAAAGGCTCCTTTGAAGGGGTATATAAGGGGTACGATAGTAATGTAGGAACCTGACTAAGAAGCCCTGGGCCTACAACCCCCGAACTAGTAGGATTCATACAAGAGACCCTAAATAAAGGCCCAAGGTTTCTTAACCGGGTTCCTACATTAGCCTGCTGTAGGCTTCTTGTAGCAGATCGCTGCCGAGTTTTACCAGGACTTGAGAACAGGGATGGAAAGACACCAGTGGTGTGTGCAAGGTGGGTGGAAACTCCCAGATCTTGCAAAATCCCTTAACTAAGGAAGGGATCCTGCTATAAGTTAAGCTATAGGAAGATCTGGGTTCGTCATGCAAGGCTGCGCAAAGCAACTCCGGTCTGCATTGAAGGAACGGCGCACCCCGGGCTGTGGCGCTTCAGAACGCCCGGGAGGATCCAGAAAGCAGATCCTCATTTCGGGACCCTTTGCTACTAAAGGGTAATCTATAGAATTTCGAGAGGGATCTACTTTTTTGGATCCTTCCAGGGTATGGGACATCATCCACAGAACCCCAGCGGAAGCTACAGCCGCTGCAGCTGACACGTCAACTTATCTGACAGGATGTCCGAATGCTTGGATCCAACATTTACCCTAAACACCAACTTAAAACTAGCCCAATACCCCAAAGCCGGCCGAGCGCAGGAACCTGTGCAAGTTCCGCAGAAGCCGAACGTTGCCCATCAGGTGTTGAAACGGGGGTTAACCCCAAAACCTTTCAGCACAGCCTCTTGTGTGAAAACCTTTAATCATGTTTCGGATTGTGCAGGTGGTCGAGGTGCCAATGATGCAGACCCAGGACAGAGGGCCTCATTTAGGGTTTCTTGAGCGAGGGGCGTCCCACTATGTAGGGGCTTCAGTCGGAATAAGGTTCTGCATTTTCTGCAACACCTCCGAGAGCCTTAGCCACAGGCTGTTGGGTTGTGATTCTTCAAAGTCCTAAGGTCTTAGAATCAAGGCTGCTACAGCTCTAAAGCACGAAAGATTAAAGCGGGGGCCTTAATGATTTGAATAGGTTTTGGGATATGTACATACGCATCTATAAACGTATGAATATATATGCATACATACGTACATACATACATACGTACATACATACATATATATATATATATATATATATGTTTTTACACATATGTTTTTTCTGTATATATATATATATATATATATATGTTGCGGTGTATCTATATCTATATCTATATCTATACACATAATTACCTACTATGATTATCCTAAACCCATGGGTTGGCGCTAAACTTCGAGCCACACTCACTTTCGGGCTTGTGGCGTAAGGTTCGGAAGCTTGCTTAGACTAGAAAGACCATGGCCGTCATCATGCTTTTTCATGGATGCTCCTGACTCAAGACGGAGTAGACCCCAGACGTCGTCATGGTTGGACCACCGACGCTGTCCACTCGAAACGGCTTCGACCATGGACGTCATCATGTTTGTGCCATGCTGGGTCTCCACCCCAAACGGGTTACAGAGAAAGTCGCGGGCAAACGTGGCGGGGAAGCCTAGAGTGTATATTCTTACTACTTCCATCACCACTGCTACCGCTACTGCTTCTAGGACTGCTAACTATTGTTGCTGCTAATGGCGGATGTGAGTCTTTGACAGCACCAGTAACTCCGATTGCAGCTGCTACAGGGACACCCGTTGCCGTTGCTACGACAACCATTGTATACTACTACGACTCGTGATTAGTTGATCATTCCTCCCACCGAGTGCTCAAGCAATAGCATCAGTTAATGGCAATTCCAGAAGCAGCCAAAAACAACCCTGATCATATTCCATTGGATGCCAGCGCTGACAGTCACCCTGAAACCATGCTATAGACAAAGCAGTGGGCTTAGTACTGATTTGCTTGTGTCGCAACAGTCCAAAACCCTTAGACGCCGTCAATACCCAGAGCCCCTTTCTCAATATTGCTTATCATGGGCCGTAGTTTTTCAAACCCTAAGTTTCAGACCCTGCGACCTAAACCCCCACGCCCTTCAATGCCCTCTCCACCCCACCTGCGCACAAGGAGCAGCTGGTCCACGTCCCGACAACCATGCAACAGGAGCTGATGGATGCGAAGTTTAGGGTCCAGCTCTGTCTTCAGCGCTTAAGGGTATGGGATTGGGGATTTAGAGATTGGCGGTGTTGGGATTACGAGGTTTTCGGCCAAAATACCACAGGAATAAGCAACTTACCGACTGCAGACACGCAGTGTCAGCTGGCCTGTTGAGATTTGTCCAGGAGCTGTATGTCTTGCTCACGTTCCACGAGCATGGACCAATGTAAACCTTGGTCTTCTAAGAACATGCTACTGCGAATCCGTACGCCCTGCCTGACTCTCAAGCCCCGAACCATCAATTTCCAGTCACGGCAACAGCAAAACACAGCCCCAAAGTAAGGCAGCCTCAAAAGAAGGGAATACTCGGCCCTTCAGGTGCCTGCACTGGTCCAAAACTCAACCTTAAATGCAAAACCCTGATGCAAGGCAAAACTGAGACATGAGGGCTTTGTCAAACGTAGGGATTTAGTGTCAGTTGTGGGCTGAAATTCCTACTATGCAATTCGCATCGGGTCTTGCGTCGTCGGTAGTTTGTGTTTTGTAGGGTTTAGGTTGGTCTGTACCAGGTCATCAAGTGTCATGCGTTCTTCAAAAGTGGTGTCACCAGTTGTACCTGGTATCAGGGATAGGGTTGAGGGTTTAGGGTTTAGGGATGCTCGTGGCGTCCTTGCTTGCAGCCGAAGTTAAGCGACAAAACCCCTGTGAAGTGGGGTCTTTAGTATGTACTAGCATACCCATAATGACACCCAGAGCATACACTTACCAGTATTCCGAAGCAGCTCTCTGCATCACCAAACTCTAGCAAAAGCCACGAGCCTTTCTAAAAACTTTGGAACCTAAACCCTAAACTCCACGCTAGAGTTCAGACTTGGGCTTTTTGGTTTAGGGTTCAGGGTTTACGATCTATGGCTGAGGGTTCAGCGTTCAGGGTTTAAGGATCAGCTGCTTGCAGTAGGGTTTGCGGGGCCAGCACCAAATCGCGAGAGCCTCCAAAACCTGTCGACTAAGGAATATGCATTAACTCAGGTTATGGGTGCCTTGACTGGGGCTACAAGTACTTCTAACTTATTCATCACCCTAGTTACTAAGTCGCGAGCCCTAAGTCCTTCAAGCCCACTCCCTTAAGTCCCTACAGCCCTAGATCCTTAAAGCCCTAGATCCCTAAACCCCTAAGTCCCAAAATCCCAAAATCCCTGAATCCCTAAATCCCCAAGTCCCTAAAGCCCTAAGGCCCTTAAAGCCCTAAAAGCCATGAAGCCCTGAAGCTTTAAAATCCCTAAAGCCTTAAAGCCCTTAATCCCTAAAACCTTTCATCCCTGAAGCCCTAAATCTCTAAACCCCTAAAACCCCTAAGTCCCTAAAGCCCTAAACCCCTAAAGCCCTTCAAAGTCCTTAAAGCCAGGAGCGCATCGTCCACCAGCCCGTGGAGCAGATCGTCGAGGTTCCCGTGCCCATGACGCAGGAGACGGGCATAGAGGGTATCAGGGATTGGGGTCTAGGGTTTAGGGATTAGGGTTTAGGGTTTAGGGTTTAGGGATTAGGGTTTAGGGATTAGGGTTTAGGGTTTAGGGATTAGGGTTTAGGGTTTAGGGATTAGGGTTCAGGGTTCAGGGGTTAGGGATTAGGGATTTACTGTAGGATTGGTGTTTAGGGTTTTTAGGGTTCAGGGATTAGGGTTTACTGTAGGGATTGGGGTTTCGGGTGTAGGGATTAGGGTTTAGGGATTGGGGTTTAGGGTTTAGCGACTAGGGTTTAGGGTTGAGGGTTGAGGATCCTATGGTGCAGGGTTCAGGGATTAGAGTTTAGGGTTCAGGGATTGGGGTTTAGGGTTAAGGTTTAGGAATTAATTACGGTCTAGGGTCTAGGATTCCTGGAAAGGGGTCCGTTAAGGGATCTCCAAAGGCGTGATAAGATGCTTCGGGTCGCTTGAAAAGTTTGGACCATCGGGTTTAGAGTTGAGGGTTTTGGGGGTTTAGAAGTTAGGTTTCAGGGGTTTATAGTTCAGGGTTCACCGCTTTCAAGAATTAATTTACCCTTGCCTGAAAACTGTTGCCTTAACTTGAGGCAGGTTCAGGGCGGCTTTAGCAGCACCGTTTCTGCCTTCCCAGAGCCTTTGTACGTATCCCACAAATCAGATGCAGCATTCAGGCAGGTACAGTTTTTAGGTGCCTAGTTCGGTTTAGAAGTTTTTTGGTTTATGGCTGCTGCAGCAGGAGCAGGTCGTGCACGTCCCCAAGGTGATGCAGCACGAGCGAGCCCACCACTTCCACGTGGAGGCACGCCGTTTCGAACTTCTTGTTTGTGACGATCTTACTGCTTTGGCGCCTGTTGTTGTGAAGAATCGTGTTCTTTGCGAGGAGATCGTCGATGTTCCCGTGGAGCAGCACATCGAGCAGATCGTGCATGTGCCCAAGGCACCGGCCAAGATCCAAGCTTCGTTGTATAAGTCCTAAAGCCTAAAGTTTAGACACCCTTTCAGATACCAGGCAGGACTTGAAAAGGAAAGTTTCCGCGTCCAAATAGGACGTTGCTGGAATCGAAGGAATGCTCCTCGCGATCCGGGGATGTTGAGGACCCGAAACACTCTATGCCCCCGAATCCGGTGTGACGCGGTCCAAGAACAGAGCTTCATGTGGAGGCGAACCAAACCGGCGCCTTGAAGCCCTTAAACACCTAAAGGATAGCAAAGGCCTTAAAACCCTAGCCCTTAACCCTACAATGCCCTACAAATCTCAAAGCCTTCAAGCCAGAGACTTGAGTACGCCCTAAACCTTTGTGCCCTCTAACCTTTTGGCGTTTTAGATCCTTTGATGTTTGAGGAGCTCTTCTTCTAGCTCCCGTTGAAGGTACGTACAGATGCCCGGGCTCCCTGTTCGGAACCTTACAGCTCTCTTTGAGGAACCCTTATAGATCCAATTAAGGATCGTCGAGGAAGAGATTTAAATCCTTTAAAGGTATAATTGGGTGGTTGTCAAAATTAGGCTCCCTTTTTGGGTCCTTAATTTACTACGGCACCTAATATTTAGGGTGCCCAAAAAGCGGCCCTAATTTTGACAACCACCCAATTAGTTATCACCCCAGTTCAGACTGTATCTACCAAGTCCCATGATCCCCCAAGTTGATCCCTCCAGGGAGTCCTTATAGACTATAGATCCCTGGGCAGGTCCAGAAACCCTAAACCCCCTAAAGCCCAAAACCCTTAACACCTAAACCCCTAAACCCCATAACGCAGGAGCCTGATTATGAAACCTTGGGCCTTTATTAGGGTTCCTTATATGAATCCTAGTGTTTTGGGATTGTAGGCCCAGGGTTTCCTAATCAGGTTCCTACATTATCCCGAAACCCTACTTAAGGAGCCCTTATGGATCCCTGGGGCAGGTCCAGAAAGTCGAGAAGATTGTCCACAACCCTGTGGAACTCGAGGTTCCTGCTGGGGGATGGGGGCGGGAAGGGTAGGGTTTAGGTTTTAGGGTTTATAGCTTAGGGTGTAGGATTGACGGTGTAGGACTGAGGGTGTAGGGCTCCTGCTAAACCGGGCCGTGTATGGTTTGACATGTTTTTGTGTCAGATCTTTTAGTTTTGTTTTGCGGGCTTTCGGGGGGGTTATGTGCCAAAAGGATTCCTGCATCGAGTTGGGTAAGAAACCCGAGCCTCCACTCGCAAGCTCTAGCAGGGAATACTATCGTCATCCCGGTACAAAGGCTGGTTGTCCATCAGGAGCCTACCCCTAAACCCTAAACCCCCGAACCCGGCATTAGTGTATTCCGGCCAATACCGGTGCGGCTCGAGGGTTTTGTTTGCAGGGGGTGAAGTTGAGAAATTTCAGAGTGTAGGCTTTCCCAAACCCCCTAAACTCTCGAAAAAATGCCCGGAGAGAAAACAAAGACCGAAGAGCTGTTGACCCGGGAAGCCGCAGCTCGAAACGCTGGGCCCCTAACCTGGACCCAGAAACCTCACCCCTCGCGAGGGCTCGACAGAAAGAGCGCACACCCTAGAACCCGAAGCGCGAAACCCCACACCCAGAAATGACAAAGCGGGAGACACCAAACCCCAAAATGTGAACATGGCTTAGAGTGTAGGGCATTTAGGGTAAAGCGCACTTTAACAACATTCTGCATAACCCACGAACCCCGAACAACCCTCTACCCGAAATCTTAAACCTTCAATCTATATAAGTCTGGAGATTTGCTTCCTGTAACGATTATGGGCTATGGCTATGTCGATTAGTTGATTTGGTCAAGGTAGGCTCTACAATCTCTTCCATGCAGCACATAGCCAGCGCGCTTGATTCGTAGATTTCAGGTGCTGTAATATACACGTTTTTCATTTCCGAACATGTTTTTCGGAAGCTGAGAACGGCCAAAAGCCCAGGGACCATGCGAAATAAACCCCGAACCCATTTTTTTCCGGGCTATGTTGCGGCATAACTATGTAGGGACTATAAAGGGATACCCTAACCATTTATCCAGGCACTCTCGGGAGGATCATGGTTACTGCAACTGGTTTTATACGTGCACTGGGATTTGGGTGAGTTTACGCAGGGCTCCTTCGTACAATCGGTGGGTGCACATTGGGGTGTCCTTTTGTGGAACTATGGAAGAGAACACAACCTGATTCTATGTAGTTGCATTATTCATAACTCCACATAGCAGTACACATCAACAAACGCTGAAGCCTCATGAAACACCTCAAATGCCAAGTTTGCAAAATGATGTAAAACACAAGCCAACCTGAAGCCTTAATTACCCTAAACCCTAAACACGGCACCCTAAACCCTAAACGCTACACCCTAAACCCTCGTAACGCACACGTGAGCAGGTGGAGGTGCCCCGCCCTGTGGTGGTTGAGAAAACCGTCCAGGCCCAGGGCCCGACGGTGACTACACTTATAATTGCTTCTGTTGATGATATAAACCCTGCATTACCTTAAGGACCCTAAACTATGGGAATTATGGTATATTCTTTATTATGCCAATTCTGGTAGCTATGACCTTACTATTAAGTGCCATGATCCTCCAAGTAGGTAGGGCTTGGGATGTGGGGTTTAAGTCTTGGGCTTCGGGCTCAGGGTGCTGGGTTAGGGTTTAGGGTTTGGGAGTACGGTTTGAGGTGCAAGGGTTCTAAGGCGGAGTTGGCACTCAGTGGAAATGGTGTCACTGAATTGGGATTTCAGCTAATCTTGTTCGTTTCTGCCCAGTTGCCAGGCGGTTCACAAGTTTCTGATATGGTTTTGGGTTTGGGGTTTAACCCCTAAACTTCAAATCCTAAACGCTGAACCCTAAACCCGGAACCAGAAACCGTAATCCCAAAACCCCAAACCTCCTGCCCAAACTCCCGGGAGGATCTAGAAAGTAGATCCCCTCATTTTGGGCCCTATACTACTAAGGGTACTCTATAGGTACTTCTTGGATCCTCCCGGGGGTCTGGGTGGGAGCTTCCGGGCTTCCAGGTGCCCCGAATCTCCGTGGAGGAGAAAGTCGTGCGGGTGCCGAAGGCGCCCTTTGAGGGGGCTGAAAGTGGGGTTTTGGGGAGAGTTTCGGATTTGGGGTTTTAGGGTTTTGGAGAGTTTCGGATCGGGGTTTTAGGGTTTTGGTGGGTCTTGGAAGTTCTTCTTAACACTAGTTTTCTGGTAAGGGTTCACATCTTCCCAGAGACCCCCAATATCCTTTACTTAAGGAATATACCTTAAATCATGATAGGAGTTTTAAGTTCAGAACTATACCTTAATCATGTTAGGGATCCTCCTATAAATCAAGGTATATTCCTTAATTCAGAGATATTGGAGTCTCGAGGTTCGGGGTTAGGATTGCTTGAAGGATCATGAGACTGAGGAGCCGGGGTCTAGCGCTCTTTTGAAGGGTATCAACGGGTTCAAAAACGGGCTTCCCTTTGAGGGTTTATAGGGTTTAGGGCCTACCTAAAGGGTTCTACATGGGACTTAGAAACTGGGCTTGTATCTGGGGGAGCCATGCTTATATAGTCGCTTATAGCCCCAATTAAAAGGTACCTACAACCGTACTTACGCAGGAGCGCCGGTTCTTTTGACTTCAGGTTTCGGGTCGAGTGCTCGGTTTTCGCAGCTATCGACCGGATATCCACAGCTGATGGGAAGCAGATGCCCTGAACCCCGAAAATCCGCAGTTGCAGGCCCTGAGTCCCTTCCTTCACCAACGACCTGAACCCCACAGGTGGTAAGAGTTCAGGTTTCAGGCATAGGGTTGGGAGACTGGCTTCGGCAAGCCGCAAGAGGCTATTACCCCCTATACGCCAGAGTCACTGCGCGCACCCTGAACCCCAAACTCCAACTCCCTCCCTGAACCCTCAACCCGAAACCCGAAACCCTAAACCCCTAGTCGAAACCCGACTTGCAAGCCCGAGATGAGGTGCTCAACACCGTGGTGGACACCGTGGTCCAGAACACCCTCGAGACCGTCGAGGTCGTGAAGCCGGTGGTGGTCCACACCTCAGACCCTCAGCTCCCCAGAACTTCTTGAGGGCGTAACTCTTCTGTCTAGGTTTTCAGTTTTTGTTCGCGTTAACTGCGTTTAGGGTTTAGGGGCGGTCTACGTAAGTGCTTCGAGAGGGTTTAGAGCTTGGGGGGGCTTGGGGTCCGGGACGGGCGGGTCACAGCTGGTGGGATCTAGCGTTACAGGCTTCAATTTGGGTATATCTCTTTGTGGGTTTAGGGTTTTTAGGCAGGGGCTTGGGGTTTTGATTGGGATCCGGAAAAGGTTGGGCAGTCGTCTGAAGGCTTAAACCCCAAACGTCCTACGCCTTAAATTCTCAACCCTAAACCCTAAATGCCCAAAACGAAACCCTAAGCCACCAACCTCAAACCCCACATCCTAAACCCTCAACTAGACATAGAATAGAGGTTGTATGTTGAGAGACGAGGTTCCGCTAGCATGGGGCGGGCAGCATTCGTTTCATTTTTGAATGGAGAAAGCATGGATTCAAGTAGACTGAAGCATCATTCAAGCTTGGAGGTTCAGGGGACTTAGTAGGTACAGGCATAAGTACCTTGTTTGGTGCTATAAGTAAGTCTAAGTATCGCTGCCTTATCTAATCTTATCTACAACCCTAGTAACCAAGTCCCAGCTGCGGTTGAGTGCTCGGAGCTTTCAGGGGGGCATGACACACCTGTAGATAAGTTGTCCTCAAGTCCCCCCCCCACCCCCCTCCGCCCCCCCAAAGCCCAAACCTGTGACCCAGGCGGATTGCGCAGCTCGTTTAGATTGCTTATCCCCTTTATCACCCTCAGGTTCTGAATCCGCAAACGCCTCATCCCTGAAACACTGAACCTCAAATGCCTAAGCCGTAAAACACCCTATTCCCAAACGTGACCTGCCAAAGCCGATGCTCTGAACTCATAGAAATTAAAATCAATTACAGGAATTAGCAATGAGAATCATAGCATGTCTACTAAAGTTCCTATGACCCTAGCCCGTAAACCCAACATCCTAAGTTCGAGCTCTGCGGCCCTCAACCCAGAAGCCCTAGACCCTATTAAACCACCAAGCCTTGAAACGCTGAATCGCTAAGCCTTCCTGTTTCGCGGCTTCAAGTCTGCCTTACAAGGAAGAACCCTGATCTAGGACCTTTGGATCCCTTGTAGACCCCTTGTGGACCCCAGACGCCCCAAGCAACGAGGTGCACAAGGTGGTGCAGCGAAAGAAGCCCGTCATCCAGGAGGACCCCTCTGGGTTGGGATGTTTTGTAGAGTTTTCTCGGGAACCCTAAACTCTAAACCCGGATCCCTTAAAGGCTCCTGTAGAGGTTCCTTCAAACGTTCCTCTAAGGGTTCCTGCAAAGAGTTCCAGGAGGGTTTTTGGGTCCAGGGGTTGGAATTATGAAGTCGTGAGGCTTTGGCCATAATGTACCTATTTTGAGGGAATCGGTGTTCTCCGCTCAACGTGGCGGTCGGTTGGGGGACTTGGGATCAGGGGTTTATGTCGAGGTTGTGGGTTCGCCGGTCTCTTCGAACCCAGTTGCTCGTGTCCGCCACCGTTTTCCTAGAAGAAAGAAAACATGAGACACACACATCGGTTTGCACGGCTTTACACATGATAGGCGTGAGAACCAGTTGTAACGGAATAGCCGCCCTTCTTTGCAGTTACAATGGAGCTGGGGCCCGTGACAGCAAGACTAAGGAGTTACTATAGGGGCCTAAATAAGTACCGATACCATTTCGGGGGTTCCTTATTATATTTACAGGAAAAATGGGTCCCGAAACCCTATTCTGATTAGTAAGGCCCCTATATTAGCACGATCAGTTCGTGCTTGTTATCATCAGGGCAGCATGCAAGGTCAGACCCTTGACGAAGTAATACAGGGCCTTAATAATTAGAATCTTGCCTGGGGGTGTACTATACTATACGTATAGAAAAGGACCCCCCCAAAAAAACACCTTCCAATCATTAAGGCCCCTACAGGTAGTTGTCAAAATTATGGTCCCTTCTTGGGCACCCGAAATATTAGGTGCCGTACTATAATAGGGACCCAAAAAGGGACCCTAATTTTGACAACCACCCCTACAGTAGACGGCCAGGATGTTGTGCAGGTGCCAAAGGCCTGAGCCTGAGAGGGGTATCGCGCCTTTGTGCTCACGGCCTCTTGCAGACGACTGCTGTTGCTCGCCCGGGTTCCCCAGTTTGACATTTAGAGCCTAAGCCCTGAGATCTAAAATGCCGTAGCCGGCACGGACTCTTCCAGGTCCAGTGCATTCTGTGTAGGGGCTACTGTGCAACATTCCTTCCCCTCTGTCCGAAGGTTCAGGGTTTGGGTTCTGTTCTGGCAGGTCGTCTTCCAGCACGTGCCGGTGGAGAAGGTTGTTGAGAAGCAGGCAGCGCAACTTTCAAAGACAAACCTTCACCCTCAAACTACCAACCTTGGCCCCCTAAAGCAAGCCGAAGTCCCGGGCAATGCGGAGAGTCCAGAGGGGAACGGGTTCAGGGCTTCAGGGAGCCCCAAATGCTTAAGGACCATACGACTCTTGACTGATAGCGGCAGTTTGACTGAATCATTGTATCTCCTTCTCACCGATTTTGCGTGTTGTGTTGGAAATTGAGAGGGCGAGTGTACGAGACCCTCTCAGAGAGACGAATAAAGGGTTTAGGCTCCAAAACCATCAGATCACTGCCAGGACGCTTGAGCCCCGAGTCTCCTCAAAAACTTCTTGGCCCAAATTCTAAGGATGTTTAATTAATAAAATGCCATCAGACCTCAGCCCGACCCTAAATGATTTAAGTGCAAACCAATATCGCTTCATCAGCCTGCGATCTTCTTGAGCCCGTTGCAAAACCGCCAGTTGCCAGGCTCAGGGCTGCTAGGGTGTGACGCTGTCGACTTCGGATTCATCCCTGTTGGAGTTCATGCGTGGCAGTTTGGGCATCCTGAGGTTACAACTTCCAGGGGGTATGTTCTAGCATGCGGCGTTAGGGGTGACCGCAGGGTTTTTGCATGTTTTCAGGCTTCGGGGGGGGGGGGGGGGGGGGGGGGGGGGGGGGGCTTGATGACGAACCTGTTCTACTCTTAGCAGTTCTACTACTGCAGATGCCTGCTGCCCTTTAGTGCTTTATGTTCAGACTAGCTCTACTACTGCTGATGCCTGCTGCCCTTTAGTGCTTTATGTTCAGACTAGCTCTACTACTGCTGATGCCTGCTGCCCTTTAGTGCTTGCTTCGGGGGGTGGGGGCGGGGGGTGGGGGGGGGGGCTTGATGACGAACCTGTTCTACTCTTAGCAGTTCTACTAATTACTGCTGATTGCCTGCGGCCCTTTAGTGCTTTATGTTCAGACTAGCTCTCGTGCTGCTGATGCCTCTGTTGCCCTAGGAGCTTTGGCACACAAAGCGAGCAAAGCGCGGTAAACAAGTCTCCAAGAGTTGCGTGAAGCGCTGAAACTCTTAACAACAACCACAGACTTTTGTGAAGCCTTGAAGCTCAAAACAAGAAGAAGAAGAGCAGCAACAACAACAACAGCAACCACAGACTTCTGTGAAGCCTTCAAGCTCAAAGCAATAAGAAGACGAGCAGCAACAACAACAACAAGAAGAAGAACGAACGACCACCACCACCAGCACCACTACCACAACCACCACCACCACCACCACCAGCACCGCTACCACAACCACCAGCACCGCCACCCCCACCGCCACCGCCACCCCCACCACCACCACCACCATCACCACCACAACACAACAGAAAAAAACAGCCTGATAAAGTTTTCAGTTCAAGGTGCTCGAACAGTGTGTTGCGAAAATGCCACTCCAGCCAGTGTTTTCTACACATTGGTCTTCAAAGTCGTGGAAAAAACGACACTTTTGACTAGTGGCTCCGCACACTTCCAAACACAAATGCGCAAAAATGCCGAAAAAAACAACATTTCCCTAAACACGGTGCGAACCCTCAATGCGCTGTCGCCGCGCGGTCGCGGTTGACGCCGCAACCATGTTCTAGGGTACAACTATGGCCATCGTATTACTTACTTCCTATTCAGACCTAATCCGCCCTAGCAGGCAACCTTGTTGCAGAACATTGCGGCTTGTCTATTTTAGTGTTGCGTTTATGAGTATACAGAAGCTTACATGTTAACCAAAAGGTATCCCGTTCCAGCGAAACCGGTACTTAGACGGATCGCTGAAATCTACTGCTCGACGTTGTTGCTTATTGCTGTTCACAGAAAATGTGTAAACAGGATTTTTTCGGCAAAACAAAAGTTAAGCGTCCGATTTTTAAATGCTTGCCAGTTCCTCCCATCTCTGGATCATACACCCTGACATCCTAGTGCACGGAACCCTACAGCTTCGTGCTTGCGATGCAAGCAGCAGAAGCCGCCATGCTTTCAGCCACCAGCCGGTTAGAATACGGTCGATAATAGAAATCCTGCATTACCCATAATAAGGAATATACCACAATTCCCATAGTTTAGGGTCCTTAAGGTAATGCAGGACTTCTATCATCAACAGTAGTGCAATGGAGTCAATGTCCATTCAGCCCATGTCTGGGCCTTCAGCCCTAGCTAGAGGGTACCCTAAACCTTATATATAGATCCCTTAAAGGAACCCTTAAGGATCCCTCTAGGTATTTCTTAACTAACGGATGTTGGAGTCCAAATGGGAACCCGTTCTCTTTGCAGGTGTCCGTGCCGGTGATGCAGGAAGTCGAGCAGATCGTGGATGTGCCGGTGGTAAAGCACAGGCCGCGGGGCCCTAAACACAAACCCTACACCCCCAAACCCCTAAACCTCTGAGCTCGAATCTCCTGAACCCTAAACCCCAACGCTTTCGCGCCAATTACATAATGGTATATTATGGTATATGATAGTATCTTGAATATCTCACAATAGCATCTTAGAGTATCTTCTAATGCAATGATAGCATGCTGCAGTATATCCTCATTGCTGTAGTATAACCTACGTTCAAAACCCGGCTGGAAGTCTTATGGCCCTAAAAACTGAAGACTTCACCGAACCCTGAACCCTAAACCCTAAGCCCTACACCCTAAACCCTAAGCCCTTCAGTGTTTCCAGCCCCCGCTTTGAGGCTCAGCTCACGATGTCGGGTTTTGGGGTTTTGGGGTTTTGGGGTTTGGGGGTTTAGGGGGTTTAGGGGGTTTAGGGGTTTAGAGGTTTGGGAGTGTAGGGGTTTATAGGGTTTAGGGGTTAAGGGGTTTTGGGGTTGAGGGGTTTAGGGGTTTATAGGGTTTAGGGTTTAGGTTGCAGCGCTGAATCTTGCCGTGAGGTTTCAGGGTTTAGGGGCAACCCTGCACTTCATGTCCTGCACCCCGACGCGCCCATCACTCGCCAGGCAGGTTCCCGTCGTTCAGAAGGCGGTGAAGCAGATCGAGGCCCCTGGACTATGAACCCTAGGTACCCTAAACCTTATATCTAGATCCCTTAAAGGAACCCTTAAGGATCCCTTGAAGCGAACCCCTAGGTTTTCCTTAATTAAGGGATATTGGAGTCTCTACTTAGAGGATTATGGGACTTAGTAGCCAGGGTTATAGACAAGGTAACTATACTTGCAATTGAATATAACCCCAGTTAAGGTACTTGTAACTATAAATCCCAAACCCTTGCAGTTTAGGCTATCAGCTTCGGGTGGTTCAGGGCAGGGTGTGTTTATCCTTTCTCATGCCTGGTTTGCCTCTCTTGTTTTGATTGCTGCTGCTAGTAGAAGACGAGTTTTAAGAAGTAGTAGTAGCGGTAGCATTAGCAGAAGTTGCACAAGTAGGAGCAGTGGTAGTTGTAGTCGTCGTAGTAGTCGTACTGATCGTAGTAGTTGTGGTATTGGTAGTGGTAGTGGATGTGATCGTGGTAGTGGTCGTGGTCGTGGTCGTGGTGGTGGTGGTGGTGGTGGTGGTGGTGGTGGTGGTGGCGGGGGTGGTGGTGGTGGTGGTGGGTAGTGGTAGTGGTCGTTGTAGTTGTGGTGATGGTGGTGGTGCTGCTGGCAGTAGAGTAGTAGTAGTAGTAGTAGTAGTAGTAGTAGTAGTAGTAGTAGTAGTAGTAGTAGTAGTAGTAGTAGTAGTAGTAGTAGTAGTAGTAGTAGTAGTAGTGGTAGTGGTAGTGGTAGTGGTAGTGGCAGTAGGTATCGTCGTGGTAATAGTAGTGGTAGTAGTAGTGTTAGTACTGGTAGTGGTAGTAGGAGCAGCACCAGCAGCAGTGGCAGCAGCAGCAGTCGTTGTCGTCGTCGCTTCTGCAGCTGCTGCTGCTGCTGCTGCTGTCGCTGCTGTGACTATTATTGTTACGGCCGTTGTTGCCGCTGATGCTGCTGCTACTGTTCGGTTGTTCTGTAGTTTTGCTATCGTCACGAAGCCCTTGCCATCACAACACACTCGAAGAACTTAACCTAGTTGTAGAATAACCTTTAATAATCTTTTTTAGGTAGTATAGTCCCTATATAATCCCTATATCACCAAAAGGGTTAACCTTTAGTTCCCCATGATACCCTCGAAGAACTTAATTTCAGTAACCACAGACCAGAGAGTCGAAAACAACCGATACTTTTGTCAGGTGCCGCAGGTGTCTTATACGGACCACCATGTGGAGGTTCCGATTCACAAGCAGGCAGTACGGGGTCAGGGTTTGAGGGGCTCAGGGCATAGGGTGAAGGCTTAGGAATAAGGCTCTAAGCGCATTACAGTAGGTTACAATGCCTGCAACCCCAAAAGGGTTTCATTCTAAAAGCAAGCGTTAAATCATGCCTTCTGAAAGCTACAAGCCGCGCCGATGTACCTGAATCCGAATCTCTAACGCCTCAAAGAATGCTGATGTCCTGAAACCCCAAACCTGGCCCTAAATCGAACCATCCTGGGATAGGAGCACCTCTCTCCGGTAGTATCGGGGCTTAGGTTACGAGTCTAGGGTTTAGGGCAGATTGGGATTCCGATCTGCGTGTAGTATTGACGGATCGGGGCATCGAGAATTCTCGGAGTTGGCTGCTGTTTGCAATCTGAGGGCCATGGTCCGTAGACCTTTGTTTTCTTTACAGCCCTAAACCCTAAACCCTAAGCCTTGATGCTCGTTATCCCGTCAACCTTCGCCAAGTTGTTACTGACCGTTCTCCACAGCACTTCCACAGGACAAGTAGTACCTGGTATTCGGAGGAGAGAGCGCCCAAAGTTGGGACAGTGGGCAGAGTCCAACATGAAGTTTTCTCGAAATTTGGTGCACCTCGCTTGGGGGCTCTTACAATAAGGATCCTACTGCTTCGGGTTTAGATTCGGGTCTCGTTTTCTTTTTGGAAACTCGCACATAGCAGCATAGCATCGCCCGGCAGGTGCATGTTCCCATGGTGCAGACCGTCATGAAAGAGATTGAAGTGCCTCAGATTCAGTTCGAAGACGAGATCATCCCCATCCCCGTCCAGAAGCAGGCTCGCCAGAACCCCTGCAACCAGCGCAGAAAACCCTAATCCTTAACCCCTAAGACCCCTGCACAAATGCCATCATCATCATCATCACCATCATCATCATCACCATCGCCATCACCAACCATGTCAGCATCATCAGCATCATCAGCATCATCACCACCGTCACCACCACCACCACCACCATCATCGTCGGTATCCTCCTCCTCCTCCTCCTCATCATCATCATCACCATGAACACCCTCATCATCACCATGCCCATCCTCCTCCTCATCATCATCTTCATATCATCATCACCGCCACCGTCAACAACAGTACAATCATCTTCATCTTCATCATCATCATCATCATCATCATCATCATCGCCATTGTCTTCATCACCATCGTCATCATCCTCAACATCATCACCGTCATCACCACCACAACAAGTATTTGTTGAGTTTCATTGTGTTCTTTGTTGTTGTGACGTATTTGTGCATTTATTGAGTTGTCCAACTTTTTTGGTTTGTTTGCTTTTTCCATTACTATGGCTTCAACGGTTAACATCAGTGTTGCGAGTGAAGATGTTATCCTAAACCCTAAACCTGATGTACTGTCATGAAATCAGGGCAGGGCTAGATCAGGGTACTGGCGACCATGGCACGGCGAGGGGGTCAGGTCCAAGTTGTTTCTTGGACTGCGAAGGTAGCTTCCCACAGGGCTCTTCTTTTCCGACAGCATGGCGACGGAGTGACAGGAAAATAGACTCCCCTTAAACCCTAAACCCTCAACCTCAAAACCCTTAATTCCCGAGGCTCTCTAGACCCTCTGCAGGAATAGATAGAGGCCCTCCTCAAACAGAAGCTATTAATCGCACCATTGCCCTAAACCTTAAACCCTAAACCCTGGTACACTTCTTAAAAAAACACCTTAAATCCCTAACCCCTAAATACCCCTATTGCCAGGTCCAGGTGCCCATGGTGCAGAAGGTGCAGGTGCCCGTGGAGGTTCCGCAGATCCAGTACGAGGACCAGGCTCCTCAAGCGGGCCTGGGGTGCTCTTTTTTGGTTTAGGGTTTAGGGGTTAGGGTTTAGGGTTGAGGGTTTAGGGTTCCGGAAGAGCTAGTAACAATGGAATTTGAATTGTCCCTTTATACTAATGCTGTCCTGTATCCCAAAACCCGATCCGGCATAAAGGCCACACTCTAGTAGTAATCCGTATGGCTTCCATGCCACACCTCTACAGTTCTCCTCGGGTCCTCAGACTTTTCAAAATTGGTGCTGCAAGGCCGCACCCCAGACCCTCAGCCACAACTGCTAGAATTGACAGCATTTCTATAGACGCCTGGGCAATTACGAACAGCATTATTTCGGGTTCCTTTATTTAGACAGTCACATGGCTCAAAACCCTATCCATGCTACCATCGTCGTTCACAAGATGACAGGTGGTCCAGGTTCCTGTGCAGAAGCAGGCCGCGGCGGTTTGAGGAGGGGGTTTGGGGTTTAGGGTTTGAAGTTTACGGCCCTGCAGCCTGAACCACAAGCTTGAACTCCTATATAAATCTTGTTTCATTTCCGAACTCCCCTCAACTGTCCGGGGCCCAAGCCGTAGATAGGAAAGGATTTTGGGTCTAGGAGTGCAGGGTTCAGGGCTCAAGGATCAGCGAATTTCGGTCAAGCGTGCATGGTGTCCGAAAGGGGCGTTTTTGCAGATTATGCTTTCGCCTGATTTGGGTTTACTCTTTTCCGGATTCCGGTACCCTTCCACATCGAACAAAATCATGAATGGTTGTTGAGTCGTGGTATTGTAGGGCATGGAGCGATGTAGGTAAAGCAGGTCCATCGATCGTCCGACCCAGACATGTATGTCTATGTATCTATGTATACAGTTATGTATGCATATGTATATATATATATATATATATAACACATATATGTATATATATATATATAACACACATATATATATATATATATATATATACACATACGCGCAAAGGTATGTATGTATGTATGTATGTATGCATGCATGTATGTATCTATGTATGCAGATGAAGACGGATACGATAGACTGATCCGAGGGAAGACGAAGGCCCACGGAAGGATGACGAGATAGATAGCTAGGCGGGAGATAGTGTGGGAACCTGATTAAGGAACCTTGGGCCTTCATTAGGGTTCCTCATATGAATCCTACTATATTGGGGTTACCTCTTAATCAGGTTCCTGAATGAGATAGATACGTAAACGGGGCCCAAGCAAAAAAGCTCTTTCAGGCCAACTCGACGGACCAGTCCCATATGTTCCAGCATTTTAGAGGAGCGTGCGGGTGGCCAGAATCCTGCTCATGCGCATCTGCACGCCTCCAAGTATATTTCTCACGTTACAAGAATCCACCAATCACTGAAAAATCCAAACCCCAAAACCCAAGTCCTAATCCAAAACACAAGTTCCCAATCTTCAACAATTGTGAAAACTACTGTTGATCCGTACTCTGTGCCGTTCCTTGTGAAACTCGTGATGATACAGTAGAGGGTAATAGTCATGTCCCAAAACATTGTTCGAAGTATTAAGGCCCCTTCGAAGAAACCCCGTTCCAAACATTATAAGGTCCCTATACTACCCTAGACCCTAAACCCTAAACCTGAAACCCTGGTACACTTCTTAAAAAATGCACCTTATTTCCCTAACCCCTAAATGGGAGTTTCCGAAAATACTTGACCCTAATGTAGTACCCTATATAAGGACGCCAAAATAAGGTACCTCTGTTTTCGGAAACCCCCAATTACCTTGAACCTTAAACCCTAAACCCTAAATACCCCTAACATTATAAGGTCCCTATACTACCCTAAACCCTATACCTTAAACCTTAAACCTCTAAATCCCCCCTATTGCTTAATAATACCTATATTATTTTGGGGGTTCCCTATTATAGTTATAGTATAGTGGGCCCCCCAAAACCCTATTCTAATTATTAAGGCCCTTATTTTAAGTCCCCCTATTGCCAGGTCCAGGTTCCCATGATCCAGAAGGTGCAGAAGATCGTTGAGGTGCCTCAGATCGAGTACGAGGACGTCCCATGAGGGCCTAGGGAAGTTTGCTAGGGTTTTAGGGTTTAGGGAAGTTTACTAGGTATCGATTTGGGATAACCCCAAACCCTAAACCCCAAATTTTCAGTTTCCCTTATTGTTTCATATAGAGCCCTAATCAGACATCATGTTGGGGGCCCTTGAAATCGACACCTCGTTTACGCTCTAGGGCCAGTTTATAGTGAACCCCAGAAAGATGGAACATGGATTTAGGCCCCAGAAAGATGGAACATGGATTTAGGATTCATGCCGGGATTCCTTATTATACTTTTTACCCTAAGGGCGTGAGGCTACTGATGTTCCAACTTTCTGGCTTCTACTGTAGGGCTTGGGGGTCTCTTGCAGCTTTAGGGTTGCAGGGTTTAGGGCCAGTCTAGGGTTCCCGGGCCCCTAGGAGGATCTAGAAAGTAGATCCCCTAATTTGGGGCCCTACACTACTAAGGGTACTTTATAGGACCCCCCCCATTAAGGGATCTACATTTTGGATCCTCCCGGGGGTCTAGGTTTAGGCCGCTTAAGGTTTAGGGTTGCGAGAACATCTCTGTTTGCGTGTGGAGGGCTCGGGAAGAAGATCAAGAGGGTTCCGGGGATCTAGGTTCCCCAGTACGGTTGATGATATAAATCCTGCATTACCCATAATAAGGTCTATACCATAATCCCCATAGTTTAGGGTTCTTAAGCTAATACAGGATTTATATCATCAACAGTGGTACCCTTTCGTCTTTTGGGGTTGCCTTATGAAACCCAAATAGTAGGTTAGTAGGAAAAAAGGTAGTGCATAAGCCTTGTTTAGGGCGTAGGGCGGTTTCACTTTTCGGGTCAGGGGTATAGGTTGTAGCGCCTGAGGCTTAGAGGAGAAACCCACTCGACACCTGAAGCCTTCCATCCGGTGAGGACCAGATCGTGCCTGTGCCTGTGCAGAAGCAGGTGCAGATCCCCATGGTCCAGACCGTTCAGAGGCAGGTGGACGCGATCTAGGGGTTCAGCAAAATTCGGCAGGTGTCTGAGGGTTGAAGGACTTGACTGGTGTGTGAGGCGTACAACTGCTGTTAAGAGCTTTACCATGGTATATCCTAAACCCATCAGCAACTGAGGAGGTTTAGATTTGGTGCATTGCTTTTTCACGGCATGGGTGGGCTGGACTTGCATTGACTGCGCTACTGCTAACCGACTCAACAAGAGGGAAACGCTCCATTCTAAACCTGAAACCTCATATCCCAAACCCTAGGTTCTATATACTGAACCCTACACTGCACCTTATTATCTGCTAAATCCTAAGCCCTAAACCCCAGACCCGAAGCCAGGAGGTGTAATGCTCTTTCTGTTGTTGCGTGCCAGGCAGGTGGATGTGCCGCAGCTTCAGTACGAGGACCAGGTTGTCCACGTCCCTGTCCAGAAGCAGGCAGTGAACATAAACCTTAAGCCCTAAACCCAATGCCCGCCCCAAACCCTAAACCGCAAACCCAAAGCGCCGACCGAGCCCATGCAGTCCCTAGCATGAGTTTTTTTCGGAATTCTGGCTTAGCCTACCAGGACTCACTCTGGTGACGTGAATGGGACCGGACCCTGCCCTCAACCCTAAACCTTAAATTCCTAACCCTCAACCCTGAATTGAATCCTCAGCCCTAAACCTTAAATCCTTGCGGAGCAGAGAAAGAAGCCAGCGCACTTAACAACAAAAACTTAAACCCCAAACCTTAAATTCCAATCCCTAAACCCTAAACCCTAAACTTTAAAACCCTAAAGCCCTAAACCCTAAACCCTAAACCAGCCACTGGGAGCTCCAGGTGCACGTGCCGATGGTCCAGCAAGTGCAGAGGCGACCCCCCCGCCCTGAGGGTTTAAGGTTTAGGGGTTCCTTTAAGGGGATCTGTAAGGGTTCCCTTTATGAGGATCTGTGGGGGTTCCCTTTAAAGGGATCTATAGGGTTGAAGGTTTAGGGGTTTGGGGTGTAAGGTTTAGGGTTCAGGTGTTCAGGGTGTAGGGTTTAGGGCTTGGGGGTTTGGGGTGTGGGGTTAATGGCTCTGCAGGGCTGCAGGGGATGTACTATAGAAGCCTGAAGGACTAGTTTTTCGTGTGTCTTTGGGTTTCCTAAGATCATAACATACACCAAAACCCGAACGGCAGGCCCCTTTATTCCACAACTCGGTTTGAAGGTTTGGAGGATTCAGGCCTTGTGCAAACTGTCGGGTCTTGGTTCTCTGGGGCGTGGCTTGGAGGTTCATGGGACTTAGTAAGTATAGCTACTAGTATAACTACCTCTTTTTTTTAACGCCCTAGTTACTAATAAGTCCCATGAACCTTCAAGTGGGGATAATGTCAGGAATCTGCGGTTTGCGGGTCCCATGATGCTTGGGTCACGCTTGGAGTTCGGGGACTTGAGTGGTTTGGGGTTGAGAGCATGCCGAGTCACCTTACTACAAAAAGGTTCATGGGACTAAGTAATTAGTAACTAGGATTACAAACAGTGTAACTGTACTTATTGCAACTTATAGCTCTAGCTCATATCTGCACTTATTGTTACGAATTACAACTCTAACTTACAACTAACGGTCCTTATTATAACTTAGAACTCCAGTTTGGGTATTTATAATTGTACTTATTAACAAATAGGCCGCAGCCATTGCCCCGCGCCGCAGCATGGATTTCAGGCCTCCGCGGTAGATCCTCACTCTTGTGACCCTTAGAAAAATCGAGCCACGGTTTAGGGTTTAGGTACAGGCGTGGCGGTGGAAGTTTTATACTATCGTTATGTAGACAAAGCTCCAGCTTTTCGGTCCTTTAAACTTTGAACCCTAAACCTCAAAACCCCAACTCGCCGGATCCTTGAGCTTCGCAGTGAATGCAAGACTAAGACGAACCCCAAACGCTAAACCCTAAAGCCTCAACCCCCTTAAACCCTAAACCCTAAACCTTCTTAATTGGCATCCGTTTAGTCGGCAAGTGTTTCGCTTCGTGACAGTCCGCATGACCGATTGCATGAATCCTAAACCCTGAACTCAAAACCTTAAACGCCCTTTAAAACCCTGCAAAAGCCTCAACCTTTGCTGCAGGCAGGTGGAGGTCCCACAGATTGAGTATGAGGACCAGGCCCGGTCCTTGCATGTCGCGGCAAGCCGCTAAGCCCGAAACCCTAAGCCCAAAAACCCGCTATTTGGGACGTAATGTTTGGGATCTAGGGTTAGCTGGGACTCAACGTGGTTAGCTTGGCCTTGGTACGGAGCCTCAGCATCTTCTTCTCAAGTCTAAGTTTAAGTTGGAGGAATGCATGGTTTCGCGCGGTTTCCTGCTACAGTAACCAAGGTGTAGCAGTCGCGGTCTTACCTTCGTGGTTCTCGATTTACGCAATTTGTGTGCTACAGTGCCTTTGCCACTGCGTTGTTGACCTCGTTGCATTGTTGAACATGTAACATATCCCGAAATCGTCAAAACCCGTAAACCTAAGCCCTAAAAGACCATTCACCCCAGGAAGGGTTTGTAGGATCCTTGTGAAATCCTTTTCAGCCTGACTCTCCGTGCCTGGGTTTGGGTGTTCGCTGTGGGGAGGGCCTGGGGTAGAGTTTAGGGTTTAGGATTAGGGTTCAGGATCAGGGTTCAGGTTTTAGGTTTAGCCCGAAGGGTCCAGAGGACCCAATAACTAGGTGCTTTGGTTTAATATGGTAGTTATGTAGGCTATATACGATCTTGGAGAGTGTATGATAATCAGATACCTCGACCCGGGGTAGGCTTTAGGATTAGGGTTTCGGGTTCAGAAGTAAAGATCTTCATAAGTTTGTTGGAACCCATGTGGACATTTCTTTATATTAGAGGTTCTTTCTCTAGAGTGCCTTATAGCAGGGATCCTTCTATATCGGTTTACATGTTAGGGCCCCTAGTTTCTTTACCACCCATGCGTACGCATGTACGGATACAGCAAAAGCCACAATGCTGGCATACTTTGTTTGTGTAGTGGTACCAGGCTAGAATCCTCAAACCCTTTCTGCTTGTCCATGCCCCGTACAACCCTACAGGAGTCATGCAAAGCCTCTTTAAACACCCCGCAAGACCAAATCCACGAATAGTGCTTTCGGTCATGAAGCCCTCAAGCGTACACCACTGGAGTACAAACCCGAAACCATGCCTTTTAATGAACGCGTCGAAACCCTAGATCATCCCCTAAACCCTAAACTACCCTAAACCCCAAACTATCCTAAACTACCCTAAACTATCCTAAACCACCCTAAACTACCCTAAACAACACTTAACTACACTAAACCCTAAACCCTAAACTACCCTAAACCCTAAACCCGAAATCCTTGAAGGTCTAGGTCGGGGGCTTCTTGTGGGATCAGGGCTTTCAGCGGGACTTGCCCCTTGCACTTCAGAGGGTGATCTTCATAGGGACCCTTAGATGATTAGGGGGGAGGGGGATGTAGGGGACTCTACTTCCTGAAAAGGCCTGGTTATGTCCTCACTATGGGCATTGAGGCCCCCTGCCCCCCCCTCACGCTACCCCACTAAGGGTCGCTGTGAGATCTTGAAGCTTTGATCAGCCTCTAGGGAGCCGCGGCTGAGCGGCTTGTGCCCTTGACACTTCATGCGAAGTAGTTGGCGGCAGAGGTCATGTAAGTTAGTGTCGTACTTACTAGGACCCAGAGTAGGCCCTGATTCCTCGGTTCAGGGTTTAGGAACCCTTATACTCTTAGGTCTAGCTTATTGCTAAAGCAGTTAATTAATGTATCTAGAGGTCCCGATTCACGGCAGCCAGTGCTAGAACAGGTGGTGCAGATCCCCATCCAGAAGCAGGCGCGACAAGATCGCCGAACCGCAGCGGCTCTGTATTTAGGGGCTTAGGATCGCCATGCTATACTGACTTTCTATTATGATTTTTCAGCATTGGTCGCACCATTTACGTAATACGACGAATCTTGATACAGACAACAGCGAGTTTTACAATGAGAGTGATTACCATGTCACTCATGTCACAGTGGAGAGAACGATTGGTGGCCCGGAGTCTCATTCAGGCCGTCAGAAGCGTTAACTGCATTCCTTAATGGTGAACCCGAAAGGCCCTCGACCCCAAGACAACCCTGGGACGCGAGCCCCTGAAAGCACGAAACTTCGAGGCCTAATCGCTTTAAATCAAAATTTCGAACCTAGGACCCAAGAATTGTGTAAGCGGGTGTACACATGATACTAATAGAAGTTTCGTAGGTTAGTCAACCCTAGTACTCTACTAGTACTCTACTAGTACTCTACTAGTACTCTACTAGTACTATACTATAGTACTATACTATAGTACTATACTAGTGCACAGGTGCATGTGCCGCAGATGCAGACTGTCCAGAAGACGGTGGAGGTGCCCCAACTCGAGCAGCCGGGCTGCAGAGGTCTTGGGGTTCAAGGGCCGAGGGCTGCAGGGGCTAGCATAACTTGGCGTTCTTCTGGTTGGCTCTTAGGGCTTTAACTTTTTTGGGTTTCTACATGGACCAAAACAAGGAGGCTAAAAGTTTAACTTTTAGCAGGGGTTCAGAAGTCAGCCAAGATAATTAGGGGCCTCAATGTTTAGAGGGGTTTTGGGGGGTATATACATTGCAATACGGGCCCGAATGACAGTATTATCGTAATTTTGCAGGCTTCTACATGTCAGGCCGGGGTGTGAGTGAAGCTTGAGTCTGACACATGGCAGAGGCCAAATCTGCGACTGTCTCTGATGTTCTTTCCGACGCTGAACTTGGGCAAGCTTGGCATGCTTGCAGGTGGTTTAGAGTTGGCCAAACGCACTGAGGTTCGTTGACAAGGTGGTGCAAGTGCCAGTGGAGAAGGCCGTGCACGTGCCGATGGTGCAGACGGCAGCTAGGCTGCAAACTCTCCATCCACCCCAAAAAACCTTAAATCCTAAACCTATCCTGAACCCAAAACTATGAGACTTAAACCCTCATTTGCCGAGGTGCACAGAGAAGTCGAGGTTCCGCAGATTGAGTACATCGACACTTGGTGAGTACAGACGGAGCATTGGGGCTTAGTGATTAGTGTCTTCGAAATTTAGGGTTTTAAGTGTCAGGATCTTAAAGCTTTAAGGTTCTGTGCTTTAGGGTTCAGGGTTTAGGGCTTCAGGGCTTTATGGGTGCAGGGTTGAGGGTCTAGGGATTTGGGGCTTTGTGGGTGTCGGGCCTAGGGTTCAGGCTGGGTGCCCATTGCAGGGCATGGTTGTTGGTTCATGCTCTACTTACCTTTTTGATTATCTATCTCATGTAGTAGTAGCAGCAGAGTAGTACACGTAGCAGTTGCAATAGTAGCAGTAGCAGTAGTGGTGGTAGTAGTAGTAGCAGTGGCAGTAGCAGTAGCAGCAGTAGCAGTAGTAGGAGTAGTAGTAGTAGGAGTAGTAGGGCTAGTAGTAGTAGTAGTAGTAGTAGTAGTAGTAGTAGTAGTAGTAGTAGTCGTAGTCGTAGTCGTAGTCGTAGCCGTAGTCGTAGTCGTAGTCGTAGTCGTGGTAGTAGTCGTAGTCGTAGTCGTAGTCGTAGTCGTAGTCGTAGTCGTAGTCGTAGTCGTAGTCGTAGTCGTAGTCGTAGTCGTAGTCGTAGTCGTAGTAGTAGTAGTAGCAGTAGTAGCAGTAGTAGCAGTAGTAGCAGTAGTAGTAGTAGTAGTAGTAGTAGTATAACTAGCAGTAGTAGTAGTAGTAGTAGTAGTAGTAGTAGTAGTAGTAGTAGTAGTAGTAGTAGTAGTAGTAGGAGTAGGAGTAGGAGTAGGAGTAGGAGTAGGAGTAGTAGTAGTAGTAGTAGTAGCAGCAGCAGTAGTAGTAGTAGTCGTCGTAGTCGTAGTCGTAGTCGTAGTCGGCGTAGTAGTAGTTGTAGTTGTAGTCGTAGTCGCAGTCGCAGTGGCAGTGGCAGTGGTAGTGGTAGCAGTAGTGGTGGTGGTGGTGGTGGTCGTAGCAGTAGTACCCATCCGCCTATCTATACACATGAAGGTTAATGGTACAGCATGACCGTCCATTAGCAGGACTGCGCCTGTGCCTACCATTATAGCCAGTGCCACGGTACTGTTGTATAGCTGCAAAGCTGCAGGACATGTGTTATCAGCGTAAACCCTGCACCCCTAAACCCTGGGTGGCCCTGCTCCAGATGGTCGCCCGCAGTGATATCGCTGACAGCATGAATGTAGAAGCCCGAATAGTTACCCGTACCAGGCCTGAAGGTCCGTTTAATAATGAAGTAAGTGTGTATGTATGTATATATATATATATATATATATACACATATATATATATATATATATATATATATATATATATATTCGTGTATATAATACGCGCCGAAACCCTATTCTAGTTATTTCGGCCCCTAGATTACTTTAAACGTAATTCTACCATTCGCTGCTGCTCCTTAAAGACGCAAAGCCGCACCGGTTGTCGGGTGCAGGTCTCGCAGGGTTATCATCTACAGCGGTTTAGGGTTTTGGGTTTGTGGGTTAGGGTTTGAGGCTTAGGGTTTAGGGTTTGAGGGTTAGTTTTGTAAACCCTAAGCCGTAAACCCTAAACCCTAACCCCTAAACCCTAAGCCCTAAACCCTAAAACCTAAATCAAAAGCCTTAAGCCCGAGGACAACCATGTGCACATCCCGGTGCAGAAGCACCGCCACGTGCCAATTCACATTCCTGTGGAGCGCCCAGTGGAGGCCGCTGGGAGGGTTGTTTGTTAAGGGTGCCACCTTTAAAAGGATCCTTAAGGGTTCCTTTAAGGGATCTAGAGGGTTTAGGGTTTACGCTATAGGGGCGTTAATAATTACAAATTTGTTTGGGGGGTTTCATATTATAATTATAGTATAATGGGCCCCAAAACCCTATTCTAACTATTAAGGCAATTAAGGCCCCTACATTAGGGTTCCTCTAAGGGTACTTTAGGGGTTTGGGGATGTGGGGCTTTAGAGGTTTAAGGGCTTCCTTTCAGGGTTCCTTTAAGGTTTTAGGATTCGGGGTGCATTGGGGATTGTGATGTCGGCTTCTACTCTTTGGGTTCTTCTGTTTTACAGAACGACGCTTTGCTGACTAGCTTGTTTGCCGTTGTTTGTTTGGGTTGCTTTCCGAAAAGCGAACGTGTTATGCATAGTTAATGTACGCGGCAGATGCACGTACCTCCACATGCTGCAGCTCGCAGGTGTTCGTGCTTTGGGGATTTGGGTTTCATTCCCTCATGATTGTGATTACCCCAAAATTCTCCAGTTCGGGAGAGGTTCAGTCCCTGTCATGGTATGGATGTTGCCATTCCCTCATGCAGGTATGC